GTATATTCAGAAACTGCTCATAACAGAAATCAATCCTGCAGAAATAAAGAATTGAAGAGACTTAAATAATCTCTTACAAAGAGAGAGTCAGATTTATATACTTATGAATGAGTTTCTATATATAGAACTTATTAAAAGATATTATAACTCTTCTCTAGTGAGTCATTTTACAGATATTAGAACTTATAAGTTGCTTATAAGAAAATACTTCTGACTGAAGATGTGAGAACTTGTGAAGAAGATAGTAAATTCTTATACTATTTATCAGAGTTCATGAATAGTGTGATTTAGATTATATGAAGAACTTACTTCTCTACTCATTTCATAAGAATCTTGAGAACAGTTAGAAATGAATACTCTTGTAAGTCTCTCTGAAAGTAAGAACATATATAATACCTGCTTTGACAGTGTGCTGATGATAGTGAATTACTTTATCAAGATAACACACTTTATACTCACTTATAAGAACTTAAAGTCAAAGAATTTAACTTACATCTTTATCTGCAATGTGATTCAGTTGCATGAATTGTCTGTGAATATTATTTTAAACAGAGAATTAATCTTCACAGAAGAGTTCTGATCTGATCTGATAACTATATTAAAGATCTTATAAGATTTAAGCATGACTTTTTATTAATAGACAGATAATCAGATAGAATATTTAATGAGTATATTAAAACAGTATCTGCAGTGCTTTATCAATTACAATCAGAATGACTGAGTGTATTGATTATCACTCATGAAGTTTATATACAACAACTCAAAGCATATCAGTACAGATAAAACTCTCTTTGAGATACTCACTGAAACTTATCTGTGAATAATCTTGATAAATCTGTGAGAGTATACTATAGAGTGTGATGATATCTGTGAACAGACTGAGAGAATTCAGAATATCTGAGAGAAAGCTCATAAATTCTTGAGAAAGACTTAAGAGTATCAGAAGAGATACTATAACTTCAAGCATATTATAAAAAGTTTCAAGAAAGATGATAGAGTCTGACTGAGTCTAGAAAATATTATCATATAAAGACCTAGTAAGAAGCTCAATCTCTTATGAACAGAGTCTTATAAGATTATAGAGAAAGTTAGCTTATAATTTTATAGATTGAAACTATTATCTGAGTTATAGATATATAATGTTTTTCATGTCTCTTTACTTTATAAATATAAGAAATTCTCAGAAGAGAATTCTGTGACTCATCACTCTGTCTATGAAGTACTAGAGAGTGAAAGAGAATATCAGATTAAAGAAATTATTGACTCAGAGAAGTGAGATTATAAGCTCTGATTCAAGATTCAGTGATAAGAGTATTCTGATAAGATGAATAAGTTCACTTGAAAATTATTCAGACAGATAAGATATCTGTAGAAACTGAGATATAACTTTCATATTATAAATTCTGATAAGTCAGAATAATATAATCTTCACTAAGAACCTGATTATGATAAAGATATTAATACTGTTATTTACAAACTCTAGTTTATAAGATAATGAGTTTCTACTGAGATGAACAGTCTGCAGTGTATATAAGAGAAGAAGAAATCATATTCTTATTAAGCTAAAAAATAAGAAAATAAACAGAGCTGTGAACACAATTTGAAGATTAATAAAGAAAAAACAAAGAAAATCTAAACTTATACTCTCAACACTTATAACACTTAATTTTCTCACAACTATCAATTTTCTTCTTTAAAGAAGTAGAAAGTATCATATCTGTAATACAGACAATTGTTATATTTGATATGAAGACTGTTAGAAATGCATAGACTTCAGAGAAGCTGAATATCAGAGTATATATAGTTGTAACAGAGTCTTAAAGACTGATCATCTGTGTATGTAATCAGATACTTCTCATGAAGCTGTATTTACTCTCTCAGTTATACTGAAGTATTCAACTCAGAAATAATTAAGATATGAAGAGAGAGCTCATCTGCTCAGATTAACTCTTATTATGAATTCATAACATTCACATTGTCTTAATTACCTGAATTTTACAAGTACTCAGAAACTCATCTCTCATTGATAATGAAATTGCAGAAATGCACTGCAGTGTGAGAATCATTGATAGAAAATCTAGACATATTTACATATGTCTGATCAGTGATTGTGCAGGTAGAGAGAGAATAATTATAGACCTGCAGAGCTGTAGAAGACACTGATAACACAGAGAGCTTTATAAGAACTATTAGCTAGAGTCTGTAAAAAATTACTTATGAGAAGACTTACAGCAAAGAGAGAGACTGCACTGCTTGAAGTCAGAGACTGATCTGAGAGAGACAGAGAGTTAACTGCTGACTTGAAAATCAGATACAGTGATAGAGCTGAGAGAGATAAAGATACAGTTATAAGCAGCAGCATCTCTGCTTTATCAGCTGATAAAAAGTAATCAGAGAAGTTATAGAGATACTCATGAGAAGCTTGACAGCAGTCAGATATTATTGTAAAGATATTGAAATTGAAAAATTTTTATTCTTGAGAAGTTCTTGAATTAATATGTGAATATTATCAGAAACACTCTCTCTCTATTATCTGAGTGAAAACACTTCATGAATAAACAGAGATACTCACAGTTTATAAGAATGAAAGCTGTTACAGAAAAAGAGAAAAGAAGATAAGATTCTGTAGACAGATCTGAAATATTTATACTACTTTAGAGAGATTTACTTACACTGTAAGTAATCTCACAGAATAATCAGATCAATCTAGTAAATAAGAGTGATTATAAATCACAGATCTGAATCTTTCTATATAACTATAAAGAGTAATTGTAGACTGTGAATATCTTGATTCTATAATTTTACAGAGTTGATGAAAGAATGAAAAATTCCTTATAATTCTACAGTGTTAAAGAACAATGATTTATAAGAATAAGTAAAAGATTAACTTATGAATATTTCTCTTTAATAAGAGTAATCTTACAGAGAGTGATTCATCTGCAAGATGAATCTGTATAATGATTATACAAGAATCTTATGAAAATGATTAAGAGTCAACTGAAATTCTTCTGTATAAAAGATATGAGATAAATCTATGTGATAGTCAGAGAAGAATCTGTAAATTATAAAGAATTTTATGAAATAAGAAACTGAGTGATAGACTCTTTTCTCTTCACAGTAATAAGAGATTTTTTCTCACTGAGATTTTTTATAGATATGAAGAATTTTTAGTGAGTATCACTGCAGTGCTGAGCTGACTATGAAGTTACTCAGTGAAAGACTTTACAGATGAAGTCTTAGAGAGAGAGAGATATATAAGAAATCTCACTTCTCACAGATTCTTTATCTCTATTTCTATCTCTTATATAATTAATAGAGCTAGCAGCTCTTGACTACACACAACTATATAGACTGAAGTTCATGAATACTATTTACAACTCAGCTTGAATGCTATTATACATTTAACCTCTATATTTTATCTTTCTATCATGAATACTTCTAGTAGTTAACAGTACATATCACGCCAAGCTGCAAACACTCAAATAATCGCCTGTGAGCACTTATTCTTACATGTAAACAGACTAGCACTTCTGAATAATATTCACTTCTTTGAGCCTAGCATCTGTGATACCTGCTATCTTTTTTCAATATTATTTTTTTCTTCTCTGTGAATGCATTCTTTTAAATAGAGAGACTGTGATATGCTTTCACTCTCTATTTAAGTTAATTCTCTATTCAGCTCTAGCTTCTGCTTTATTTCTTACTATTTTCTGAAGCTTCTGCTTCTATCTTCTCTCTCTGCTCTTTTCTTCATATGCAATTACTTCTTCTATGAGAGCTTTTACTTCTTCTCTATAGAGTCTTCATTCTTTTCTTCATATGCAATTACTTCTTCTATAAGAGTATTTACTTCTTCTCTACAGAGTCTCTGTTCTTCTCTTCATAGATAATCACTTCTTCTACAAGAGCTAATCTCTATAGAACAATCACTGTATATATAAGAGTGTACACTCATCTCTCATCTTTAAGAGAATAAGACAAGTTTTTACTCTTATATCTGACTCTACGTAGCAGTGTACGCTACAATTATAGTAATAAAAATAGATTTAATCTATATATTTAAGTAATTAATAATTGATTGAAAATCAGTTAATAATCAATTCAGTATTATTATTAAATTCAAGAATAATTTCAGTATTAAATTGATTTTAAATTGATTTTAAATTGATTTTAAATTGATTCTAAATTGATTATAGTAATAAAAATAGATTTAATCTATATATTTAAGTAATTAATAATTGATTAAAAATCAGTTAATAATCAATTCAGTATTATTATTAAATTCAAGAATAATTTCAGTATTAAATTGATTTTAAATTGATTTTAAATTGATTTTAAATTGATTCTGAATTGATTATAGTAATAAAAATAGATTTAATCTATATATTTAAGTAATTAATAATTGATTGAAAATCAGTTAATAATCAATTCAGTATTATTATTAAATTCAAGAATAATTTCAGTATTAAATTAATTTTGAATTGATTTTAAATTAATTAAGAATTGATTATAGAATTGATGATAAATAATTGAGTGGTTTCAAATTACAAGAAAAGATGTATTGAGCGAGGTCAGGTAGTGACACGGGTCACATTTGCGAGGTCAGCTTACATAATGAGGTCAAGTGACGTACTTAGTAAGATCAAGTTTTCTGCTTTCTACTCAGAATCTTAGCAGCTGCTCAGGTTATATATTAGTCACTCATCTTTGAAGCTAATCTCAAATAGGAAATAAGCTAATTCAAATTTATTTTTATTTTTTATTTTTTAAATAATAATTTGATATTTTTATAATTTTAAAGAAAAAAATGATCATTTTTAAGTTATTTATATTAATTTTTTTAAGATAAAAATTATATATTTCTATTTTTCTTTTAGCTATAATCTGAGATAATTCAAATATATTTCATCAGAGAATCCACATGTCTACTTGTGATAAAAGTAGTTTACTGCTGAGCACAGAGGTGAGCCCGCTTGAGATAAAGTTGGTCCATGGTTGCCACGGGAGATACCAAATTAAATCACGTGACAAGGCTATCTTCCCTGTGCTCTTGATTTGGAAACTTTTCCCATCGCGATCACAGCAGCCCTTACCAATTTTGCGACCGTTTTGTAGCTATCTTGCATTAATCCATTTTTACCACACTTTAATATTATTTTCCACCCATAGCTCATTATGGGTAAGAAGAAGCGTGGTCATCCCGACCTCGAGGAACTCCTGAGCCGGCCCTGGTGCTATTACTGTGAACGCGACTTCGACGACCTGAAGATTCTAATTTCCCACCAAAAAGCGAAACATTTCAAATGCGATAGGTGCGGTAGAAGACTGAATACAGCCGGAGGTGAGGACTGCCCAACTTTAACTTTAGATCGATTACCCGACAATGTATTGACTAACTAATATTGGTACTAGGATTATCTGTTCACATGAGCCAAGTCCATAAAGAGACATTAAGTGCCGTGGATAATGCCCTACCTAACCGGTCGAGCTTGGATATCGAGATTTTTGGCATGGAGGGCGTCCCAGAGGATGTATTGCAGGCTCACAATCAGCGCGTCCTGACTCAATATCAACAGGCTGAAGCGGAACGACGTGCTGTGACTGGGAACCCCGCACCTGGGGTGCCAGGTGGTGGAAGTCAATCGAAGAAACCCAAGTTCGAAAGTCCCGCAGAATTGAAAAAGAGACTTGCCGAACATAAGGCGAAACTTGCTGAACAAGCGGCGGGAAGCAGCAGCGGGGATGTCACCCCTGTTGGCGCTGGACAGGGGATACAGACAGGTGCGGCTGCATATGTGAGTGTCTTTCGCGTTTTTCCATCCGAGCCCAATATTTGAAACGCTATCTGACAATACATGGACTGTAGGCTCCAACGACTCAGTATCCTACAGGTCAACAGCCGTTGAATGGCTCAAGTCAGCCGTATCCTTATCCGCAGCCCTATGGACACACTGGCGCTTATCAACCAGGTGCGGCGTCATTCCAGAAGCAACCCGATTATGCTTCTCCCGTCTATGCTCAATATCCACCTACCGTACAGCAGTTTCCCACAACTCAATTTAGCCCTCCGCAAATGTCACCACAACACTACCCGCCTGCTGCGTCGACTTTGCCCCAGCGCCCATTGGGAACCAATACGCCCCCTGTAGCATTTCAACAACAGCAAGCACCCCGAACCCAAACCCCCCCCCAAACTAGTCCCTTCCCCTCTCGTACACCTAGTTTACCTACTGCTCCTAGCCTTCCCCAACGCCCAAGTTTTGGGGTGCCGCAGGTCAATGCCTTCCAAATGCAACAATTGCATCATGGTCAACCTTCATATGGAGCAGAGCAATCTCAAAGTAGTAGAAGTCCTTCGGGACCTCATCCTACTGGAGAACAACCCTCAAGCTCAATTGATGACCTGATTTCAGGAGCAGCGAAGCAAGTTGACGAAATGGCCGGCAAGTCCTCCACTCCTACAGCGAAGCCTGAGGACGGGACTGGTGAGAAGCCAGCAAGGAAAGAGAAGGAAAAATCGAAGGCTACGAGAATGGTGTATTCTGATAACGAGATAAGCCCGGAGGAGAAAATGGCTCAATTGCCTAGGTACGCATATGTTCCTGAACGCAAGGAGGATACGGTCCTTGGGGACGCAACTACTGCTGCAGTCGTGGGAGTCAATACCGCTTCCGACACATTGGTAAATCCGCCGCAATAAGTACGATGTCCGCTTTCCATCCGATTTCATCCATTCCATCTCCTGGCCGTCCTTTTATATTTGCTTCGGAAGGTAGCCGTCACAACAGGCGGATTATATATACTGGAGGAATGGTTGTAGCGTCCAGTTAAGTCCTTCGACACACCAAAATTCTAGAAGACATATATTCCTTAAATGCAGTTTCAGCATTGATCCTCAGCAACTGTGATGAGCAGGCAGGTGCGCTTTTTTCAGAAGCCGGAACCGGGGCCAAATATGGCTGTTAATCTCTGACCTTTCAACCGAAGAAGAAATACCGACTGTTCATGGAGACCTGCAAATGCATAATTCCACCGATAAAATGACAAGGAGGATTTCGTCGGCACTGGTGAGTCCGATTGCAAATCTTATATAATGATGGTCTTGGCCGTTGGAGGAGGGTTGCTTTCGGAGCAAATCTATGCGCAGCTAGGTTCATTCGAATGTTCTTTCACTTTTTTTCGCTTTGTTTTCTCTTCTGCAATTTTCGTTTTGAGGAGCTCCAGAGTGACCAACCGTTCATTTGGCAGAAAGCCGGAGACAGGGTTGGCGAAAGGGAGTTTAAATTTTATGTTGAGTCAATTAAAAGGGGAACTCGTCCCCTTGTCTCCAAGCCACGATGAGAGTATTTCGCTGCTGCGTATTTCCATATACTGAATGTAAGTTTACTTTTTTGCGATTGCTCTTGTAGAAACGAACTTCCAAAGGTCTGAAGAAAACAAACAAATAAATGGGAGGAAACAAATAAAGAAGAAAAAGACGAGGGAGAAAAGGCAATGCAGCGCAGTGGTTAGTCCAGATCATTCTTTTTCTATTGTCTGTGTTTTCCGATCTCCCTTGATAATGGCCCATGAGTGATTTGTTTTGAGTGACTTGTTTTCTATGATATATTCACCACATATTTTCAATTAACTATTTTTGGAACTGGATATTTTCTAAATGTCAATGATTGTCGTTGAGGGGGCTTTTGGTCAACATAATTTAACAATCAGGGCTTTTTACTGGACTTCAGCTATACTGTGTCCTGGACGGTTATTGGAAATCCAGCATCCGGAATTTATGAAAAGAGTTACATTACAGTTGATCTAAATTTCACCTAGGAAAAGGGAAGCTTCTCTTCTTAATGTATCCATATAACTAGGCGGCTTATTGGTGGATCCTGCGGGCGGGAGCAATGTCCCCTTCTCAGCCCTGTTTTCCGTTGGCGCTAGCAAGCCAGACGACGGCTAACCATAAATCTATTAGTGATTGATCACCCAAGTAGATATTGATTGTATAAAACAGTAAATATATATATTTTTTTATTATTATTATTATTGAGTTTCAAAATTTCTTTGCGCGAAATTATGTATCTCTCCTTGCGTTCTGAGTCTGTTGCCCGACGCAGGGTTTCTCCACGCTGCAGTTAGTAATTATTTATTCCAGGCGGCCAGTGTTAGTTACATCATCATCCCATTTGCGACGCACGCCATTTTCTGACAAGAAGCCAAGCCAGAGCTTCCTCGTGTCTCTCCCCGAGCTGCCATCATGATAATGACATGAAATCAATCAATCTCGGCTTCTACTACTCCTCCAGTTCTCACCTCCGCTACCCTTCGTCTGGCATACTTAACTTGCGCTAAGCCATGAGGGAGAAGCCGCCCAACATGCCGATTACTGAGAGCACTCCGCTGCTAGTCGTCCAAGTAGCTTCACGCCGCCCACGATATCGTCACTCGACACTTCGGGGTGCTTGTTCCTTGGGTCTTGCTACCCTCCTATCTATTGCGGTGGTCCTTTTTCTTGTCCCGTTTGCTGTCCTACCTCGCGATCACGGATCTATTTGTTCCTATCTTCCATGGTCCAACCCTTTCCCGCACACGTCATGGCCTCACGGGAACGGCCTCAACTACACAGCTTTGCAAAACATCCTCCAAACCCTTCCAAGTGCTGAAAAAGCCAAGGAATGGAGCAAATATTATACGTCGGGCTCGCATTTAGCTGGTAAAAATCTTAGCCAGGCCATATGGACTCAGGAAAGATGGCAGGAATATGGTCTTGAAACTAGTATCTCTTCATATGACGTATACATCAACTATCCAGCAGATCATAGGTTGGCGTTGCTTGAAAAGAAAGGAGGAAATACGGTAGTGAAGTTTGAAGCAACATTGGAAGAAGATGTCCTGCCTGAGGATTCTACAAGTGGTTTGGTCGATCGCATCCCTACCTTCCATGGCTATTCGTCAAGTGGGAATGTCACAGCCCAATTTGTGTATGCCAACTTTGGAACATACCAGGATTTTGAAGATCTCATTAAAGCGAACGTCAGTCTAGAGGGGAAAATCGCTTTGGTAAAGTACGGTGCTATCTTTCGCGGCTTGAAAGTGAAGCGTGCACAGGAGCTCGGGATGGTGGGTGTTGTTATATACTCAGACCCGCAGGAGGACGGTGATATAACTGAAGCAAACGGCTATGAGGCGTACCCAGACGGCCCGGCTCGCAACCCTAGTGCTGTGCAGCGGGGTAGCGTGCAATTTTTAAGTTCGTCCACTTCGAATCGTTGTGTTCTTCTGTTTACTTACTAACGTACATGTACTTACAAACAAGGTATTGCACCTGGCGATCCAACGACTCCAGGGTATCCTTCTACCCCAGGCTGCCCTCGCAAAGATCCGCGTCATTCAATTCCGTCAATTCCATCGCTCCCAATATCATACAAAGAGGCTATACCTCTTCTCAAAGCTCTGAATGGACATGGACCTAAGGCCTCTGATTTCGATGCGCACTGGCAAGGCGGTGGGCTCAGCCACAAAGGAGTGGAGTATAATATTGGTCCAACACCAGAAGACGTTGTTTTGAATCTGTACAATGAACAAGAATACATTACAACACCGATCTGGAACGTAATCGGGGTCATCAAGGGCACTATTCCGGACGAAGTGGTTATTCTTGGCAACCACAGAGACGCTTGGGTTGCAGGCGGGGCCGGAGACCCGAATAGCGGCTCCGCCGCTCTTAACGAAGTGATTCGTAGCTTTGCCCATGCTATGAAGGCTGGTTGGAAACCACTTCGTACCATTGTCTTCGCCAGCTGGGATGGGGAAGAGTATGGCTTGATCGGCTCCACAGAGTGGGTGGAGGAGAATCTCACCTGGCTCTCCAAGTCTATCGTTGCCTATCTCAATGTCGACGTGGCTACCAGTGGACAACATTTCAAAGCAAGTGCCAGCCCCTTACTAAATAAAGCTATCTATGAGGCCACTAGCCTCGTCCTTTCACCAAATCAGACCGTCGAAGGCCAGACTGTCCTTGACGTTTGGAACGGCAAAATTTCCTCCATGGGAAGCGGAAGTGACTTTACTGCCTTCCAGGACTTTGCCGGCATTCCCTGTGTCGATTACGGTTTCAAACGGAAGGATGGGGATGCGGTATACCAATACCATTCAAATTACGACAGTTTTGACTGGATGAATCACTACGGCGACCCGAACTGGACGTACCATATTGCCGCTGCGAAAGTCTGGTCTTTAACAGCCGCATACCTGGCAGAGAAACCTGTTTTGGGCTTGAACGCAACCGATTACGCCAGTGGGCTAGCCATGTACCTGGACACCGTGAAAGAGAAAGCAACCACTGGATTTAGCTTCAAGTCACTTGATGCCGCGATTGTAAATCTATACAACGCCGCAGTTGCATTTGATGCATACACGTCGTCACTTACAAAGCAACTCGATGAGGATCTGCCCTGGTGGCAGTGGTGGAAGAAGGTACAACTTTTCTTCAAGATTCGTGCGGCAAATGACAAATATAAATACCTAGAACGGAAAATGCTGCACCAGCAGGGCCTGGATGGGCGAAACTGGTTCAAGCATGTTGTATTCGCACCAGGCTTGTGGACTGGGTATTCCGGTGCACCATTCCCTGGCCTCGTCGAGAGCTTTGAGAGTGGTAATTTGGATAATGCCAAGGTAAGGCCCCGCCTTTAGATCAAACGTCACTATTATGTATATCAGTTATTCGCATCTTCTGTCTTGGAATATATGTTAACGAATTTTGCTGGATATTTAGAGATGGAGAGCTATCATTCAGGAGAAAATAGACGATGCCACGGCCTTGCTGAAGTGATACCCTTAAATGCAAAAAGGAAATTTCAGGCCTAAGGCTGGTAAGGAGGCTCTAAACGCCACGAGCACATGCCTTGTTCGGCAGCTTCGGCTTACAGAAAGTGTGGTTTCGTCTACAGATTTCGGCCATTTACAATTAATCTCTTACCAAGTTCTTAATTTTATTATTATTAATTTTAATTTTATTAATATTATTAATATTATTCTTATTATTATTATTATTCTTCTTCTTCTTCTGATTATTATTATTATTAATTATTTTAGCAGTACATAAACAATCATATTGCACATTTCCTGCATCAATTGTATGCCGTATAAACACTGATGCCGTGTATATATTCACCAAGTCGCTCTATGTGAGACAAAAAAAAAAAGATTCTCACTAAGAATAACATCAGAGCTACTCAATTCTAGTTAAATCTCTAATCTTTCAGCTGTCAATGACACCGACAGTATATCAAAGGTCGTTCATGTGCCTAGGTATAACGTCGTCAGTACATCAAGACGGCCATGCTCTTAAAATCTCGTTTCGTTAGATTGTATCGTTCGCTCATGGGTTTTCAGGCGTGACTCAATCCTACCCCGCAGCCAGTGAGTCAACTATTTAGTAATTTTTTCGACTTCCCTCCAGCGACGACGCATGGAGGTAGTATACCGCTTGAGCAGCCTCCGATCTTTGCTTTTCAGCAAACCTGCCCCTCGGGTTTGAGAAATGGCGACGAGTTGTCGACGGTCAAGCATCCCCCCTGTCCCGTCAGTCGTCCTCCTGTCCGTTTTCGTGCGCACGCCGCCCTCCCAACCCGCCCTTATGGTATTGCTGATCTGATCGAACAAAGCCATTACCACCAGCATTTCCTTTCTTCAAAGTCTCGCGGTCTTCCCATCCTCGAGTTTCTCCATCGGTATCTTCCTGGTAATGGGATGCCTCACCCCTCTCTACCTCATTTCCATTTGCAGTAACAAGTCCATTATCGTCCCCATCCGTATCTGCGCTCTCACTAAAATGGTCATTCTCCTTGCACCAAAATACCGGCAACGCACTCAGGCTCGCTATGAACGCCAAAGTCCACCAGGGTAAAATCATATACCCTTTCTTAACGCCTAGCGAAAAGGTTCCTCCGAGGATCGCTGGACCTATCGCCTTTCCTACCGCAGACGCACTTGTGGCAACACCGTTCAAGCTACCAAGAATACTCATGCTTTTGGCGGAGTTCGTCAGCAAGATGATGGAGCATGGGAATGCGAACACCACACAGGCAAGTTTAGAGCACATAAGTAGGAATGCTGCTATCTGGCGGGAGGCGTTGGAGGGGAAGAGCACAGTAAAAGGCGTCAAAAGATAGGTCATTGGAAATATTACGGAAACGACTTTGAGGCAGTTGAGAACCCCATAACGGTGAGCAGCGCGCGGGAATATGAAAAACTGGGTTAACATGCCGATTATGGCGTTGATAGTGTAAAGAATGCCGATTTGTTGGGCGTCTAGAACAAAACTTAAGTAAATGTACGGGAAGAATGGCTAGAAACGTAAAAAAAAGAAAAGGGGGCAAAAACAGGAAAAAGAAGAACAATGCACGTACCGATACCGAAACCGCCAGAAAACTTGAACGGCAGATTCACGTCCGGGTTGTTTCCGTAGTCCTGCAACTTATGGTTTAAAAATACGGTGAATACGGAGTCGAATGCCACAGTGTGCATGGACATAGTGGCATAAGCAAGCAAAACGAGATTTGACTGGGGAATCAATATTTGTGACCATGGCAAGTTTGGAGAGTCGCTCTTTTTACTGCCTTGCTGCGCCTGAGGCTCGCGAGAAGTGAGGAGCGGTGTGGTCTCATCTTCTTCGTTTACCACGATGCCACGAGCGGTCTTCTGCTCCTTTCGTCTCTCAAACGGTCTTGTGAGCATTTTCCCCAAAGTCAAGCCCCAATCTTGATGACCCCTTTTCGATGCGAGGGTTTCCTAATTCAAGTAGGTAAGTATCATGCCATGTCACTCGGAAACGGGGGGGGGCAGATGGAAAATACAGGAACGTACTTGAAGAAACAACAGGCCTGTGAGTATCCCAATAATAAAGAAAACAGACACAGCCATATTGGGCAACGCATAGGGGTACTTCTTGAAAAACTTGCTATGGCCAAATTGCTCCTTGTGCCTCTTAGCAGGGTCAGCCAGCGCCCCGCCAAATGCAGGGCCGAATATGCTCCCAATCGTCCACACCAGCGGCATTAAGCTGAAAGCACGGGGCTGTAGTTCCTTCTCGGGAACTAGTTCCGCGACAATGGTCCGGATAATGCCCACATTCCCATTGCCCAATCCAACACAGGCTCGTGCCAGGATAGCCATGGGTAGTGAGGTTGAGAAACCAAACAATAGGCTAAAAGACATTGTGATGCAGAGACCAGATATGATGACTGGTTTTCGACCGATTCGATCAGATACCGCACCCCACGCTACGGCTGTTAGGCCTTGGCACACTGAAAATATTGCAGAGGTCAATCCGACCCATTTGGCGACTTCGTTGTCGCTGACTCCTAAGCTGCGTATCATTTCGGGCTGTATGAAGTGTTGGTAAATGATGATCAGAAACGGTTCCCATGTCTATGTAAGTTGATTGATTCAAAAGAAAGGGTTCATGGCATATATAAAGCTATGTAGAATACAGCATTCTGCATCTTTGAGTTTAACTCAAAAAAGACTTAAAAATGAGGCAGAACTAAGGTGAACGAAACGATAGAGGGTTCGTACATACAAGATATGGAAATACGGAGGTGAAAATAACTGGCAAGGCGTAACACAGATCAACATCTTAACTCCAAATGATTGAAAGTCTCCTCCTATTCAATACAAAGCAAAATAAGTGTTTTCTTTTATAAGGGGAGGGATAGGGAAATTACCAGGCTCGGCGAATCGACATATTGCTACAATCACGAAGTCCAGCCAGTTAGCTGTTTGTGGGCATTTAGTTATATGACAGGATCCATGTTGACATACACAATACAATAAATTGCTGCACCGGCAGCTTCGGCTTTTGGGTCTTGGGATCCATGATGGCTGCTGGTTGGAGTTGGACAGAAATAGTTATATATGTTTTGCGCTGGGCAAATTAAAGAAAGTGCTGTAATTCAAGCGTGAGGGCTCACAGCTTCGGGTTCTAGAATTTGAGATGGATTGCATTGAAGAGATCTATGGAATTCAACATAAATTCTTGGATGAGCAGGAACACACAAACATCGTCTATGGGCGAGGAAATTGAAACGAGGGGGAAATGTAATAAAAAAAAAAAAAAAAGATATAAGCCGAGGAAAGGAGCCAGTGATTTATAATGACCGAACCCCCCAACTACCAGCTAATTCTTACCATCCCGTTGGTTGGTCTCGGCTTTGACCTAACGTAGGGCGTTTTTGCCTCCGAACCATTCCTGCCAAGCCGGTTGGACGTGGGACATGGGCGTGTGGCAGGGCAGGGAAGCTTTGATAGCAATGCTCCACCACAACTTCCTCATTATTTTGTGATGGTAATCCGTAATCCTCTTATATCCGCTAGGAGAATCTCGACATATCTATGAACATATAGTTAATACTGTTGAAATGAATGTAGCCCTACGGAGTACTCTGTACTTCTCCCTGAGTTCCCCAAACCTCTGTAGACGCCAAGTGGGGGAAGGGAACATTTTCGGTGCCGCGCCATGACCTCCTTGGTGCGGCGGCGGCCCGTCCAGCCTGCCACACAAAGCGCTTGCTGTGTCAATTGAACAAGCCAATTGATATCTTGCCTGCAGCAAGGCTTACGCAGCGTATGCCCACCAAATGCTCCATTGGTAGCGTGAGTGCTCCTCCTGTCTGAGGTCTCCCACCATAGACACCGCCTCATCATGGTCCAAGAATGGGACAAACCTGTGAATGGACCATTTGACAACGGGGTTGACATCAAAATACCATCCTGGGAAGCCTGGAGGGATATGGCATTGTTTTAAAACCCTCCCGTATGAATCTGATGTTGCCCACCCCCACTGAGTAGCCCTTCTTATGAGCTGAAGTTCGTGGCCCTGGAACCGCAGTCATATATGCTCTGGAATTTCCGCTTCTATCCTTTCTCCGTGCTCGCTGCAGCCCCAAGCATGATGTGGCCATGGTTATCTCAAACCAAAAAAAGTTATCCCTTTTCTCCATACGTGTCTTAGCTAGATCCGATTGCAGACCAGTACTCCGTACTGCCGTCTAGTTTCTTTATTGCAACTCTTGGTGATGTTGATGGAAAGTCAGCTCGGCATATCCTTCCAGCAGTCTCTGCACAGCAGCTTGCAGTACAGCTTTCAGACAATTGATGTGCCAATTCTCAGTAAGTTTATCTTACCCTAAAAACATAACTGGCCGACAAATCTACGAGATATCGAATTCCGTCCTAATCCATAGGCGTGGCATGCAGTGCACTTATAGTGGAAACTCTTCTCTACGCACATATGGTAGTATTCTCCTGAAAGGGACGGGATACAGACTCATTATTTTAATATGTCGACAAGAGTCCGGTTATATTGCGTCTGCACCTCCCATCTGATGTATAAGCCGCCGAATCGTCAAGACCTCGTGGCTAACCCAGTTTCTGTGCAGATATGTGGTGTCGGTGAGTACTAGAAACTTATTGGCACTTCCTTTTCGCAAAAATCAAAGAAAAACAGAGTGAAAAACAGGAAATCAAAGCAACCACCATTCGTCAAGGGATTGAAATTTGAGGTTCAGAGCCTAGATCCGAAATTGATTACTAGTTAAAGGTGCGAGGAGGGCACTCAAGGACAATAGTAAGGAATTTTTGAATTTACAAGCCAATCCAGCCACTCAGAAGCTTATTATTGTCCAACGCATGTTTCCTAGCAAATTCTCAGCCAATTGACTTTCTGATTTTCTCTTTCATCAACGCAAGCTCTTTACTGATCTGTGCGGAGTAACTTACGGTGTACATGGCTGTACTGTTTGCACATTGGGGCTACGCCATACCTGAAAATGATGATCCAGGTAAAATATATATAGATATATAAAAAATAAAAATAAAATTGAAAGAGATGATGATACTGAAATTATACCAAGCCCAGCTGGGAGATCCGAGCCACTGTCAACTGCCAAATGTTACCCGAACTTGCAACGTCGTCCGACTCCCAACGGCCTCCAGTGAAAACCGGTTAAGTTTGTCGGCTTCTTCCTTTGTTCCCTATATTTCCACTACGATTGGGACGGGTCAGGGAAAAACACGATATTCACAGCGGAACAATCTTTCCGGCCACATTTTGTTTCGGCAAAAAAAATTAAAAATAAAATAAAATTGACTTGTCATGGACTGGATGTGGAATCGGAAAGAATAAAACTCTTTATGCTCTCAGATGCTGAGCCTGAAAAGTCTGCTATGTTTGCCACGAACAGGCTCTTAAATACAGAGAAACAACAATGGGTAATTCCGGATTTGCAATTTATTTATCTAGTTCATCTACAGCGTAATTTTGGTGAGGCTCGCATTTTTTCTTATTCTGCGCTCTGTTCCATACAGGATTAAGTTCAACCAATCGGGAAAGACTGGTGGAGGGAAAGTAGATACACGCCTCTCAGACAATATTCGCCATCACAATAATAGTGGAATGAGCATGAGGTCACTCCATACATCATCCTATAGACGAATATTTATATCTTTGAAATCGACTGCCTTGAGATTTTTCGAACCTTAATAGCAGTCTGGGGTCTTGCACGAGCAAAACTTATACATTGGGCTATTTACCTTACTACTTTCATGAACGTTCGTTTCACGTCCATGGCATACTGAAACAACTTGAAGAAATGTCAACCTGTTGATATAACTATGACAAAGATGTCGAAATGACATCTACCTCCGTGAGGGTTGCGGATGTTCAGACAAAACATTCCGACAAGAAGTTATTCCCAAAAAGTTGGTTATCAGAGCACAATGAGAAAACCCCACCGAGATGAGGAAATTATTTAACAATGATACAAAAGTACAAAACGGCGATGTCCTTGGGTCATTCATGTGTCATCGGCGTCCGCCAAAGCCGCCCAGCATTATTCTTATCACAAGCTTCAGAGTGGGCTGAACAACCTTCGGAATTTCTACACTGTGGATAAGCTACAGTTCCCAACTTCCTGAAAACGGTCACTTGGCCGGTCATGGACAAACTTACTACGTTTACTTCCGTCTGAATGGGCCTCTCCTAGGGCAGATAGCCCCTGCAGCAGATCTTCGGCTGCAGATAGCCACATGAAGGTTTGGCGTTGGCGTGAAGCTTATTGTGATCTTCCTTCATTCTTTGAACCCCTTTGCAGGCCTAGGCCAGATATAAACTATATATAGAGGATGTTGGGGAACATTGTCTGCTGTCTAAAATCCATCCCACCAAATCTTTTTGCGCTCCTCCATCTATTTCTCAAAAAGTAGCTGATCATTCCAGCCTAGAGAATATTACCAAAACGAAAATTTATTCGTTCTTGCTTTGGCCATGGGATTAGTGGACAGCTATATCACCTTGACCACCTGTGGCGTTGGTCTTCTACTTGTATGTTTGATCTAACTTGCCCGTCCAATAGAAGCGTTTGAAAACGCTGACAGATTGTTTTAATTCAACCATTTTCTGAGAGATTATAGTACTTTGTGGGAAATGCGATTTATAACATTTACTTCCATCCCCTGAATAAGTTTCCAGGCCCAAAGTACCTAGCTGTGGGTAGAATACCCATAACTTGGGCAACCTTCCGCGGCCAGAAAGCACAATTTCGCTTTAATGCTCATAGAAAGTATGGTGAAATTGTCCGCATCGCTTCCAATGAGCTTAGCTTTGCCCATGCTCAGGGATGGCGTGATATCTACGGCACCCAGGCCAAAGTGGAAATGACCAAACCTGCGAGCGGTATTGAGGAGCAAGAAGGCGCCCAGTCTGTTGTCACGGCTGAGGGAGATACCCACAGCCGACAAAAGCGGATGCTTGCGACTATGTTCACGGAGAAAATTCTAAAAGAGAAAGAGGCCCTTTTCATTAGCCACGCTGACTTGCTGGTAAAGAGATTGAAGGGGCTTGAAGGACAGCCTGTGGCATTGGGTGATTGGTATAACTTTGCAACCTTTGATATGATGGGCGACCTTCTCTTTGGTGAATCCCTCGGAATGCTGTCGACATCGGAATATGTGCCTTGGGTTAAGTCTATTCACGGCTTTCTCAAGGCATTTGCTTTCACAAATGTCCTAAATGAATATCTATGGTTTCGAGCTCTCTGGGCATTTGTGCCTTCGAAGATCCTCGACACGTTACGGGACACTCATTTCCTGTTTACAGCGCAAAAGGTAAACCGCTACCTAGAGCTCGACGAAAAAGCTCGCGTAGGCATGATGGGACACCTGTTGGATGGGGGTAGCCGCAAGGGCCTCAATCTAGGGGAACTCCACACAAACGCTCCTATTCTCATTTTTGGGGGCAGCGAGACTTCTGCAACGCAACTCCGCGCTCTAACTTTCCTGCTTTTCAAGAACCCCGAAAAAATGGGGAAATTGATCACCGAAATCCGGTCAGCGTATACTTCATCTGATCAAATCACATACGATTCTCTTCTGGAGCGCACCTACCTCAATGCGTGTATCGAGGAAGGACTGCGATATTATCCACCTTGCTCCAACGGATTACCGAGAATAGTCCCAAAGAGCGGTACAACTATTTGCGGCGAGTTTGTCCCCGGCGGTACGAATGTTTCCGTTGCAACATTTGCTCTCTTTCGTTCACCTAAATACTTCTCCCAGCCGGATTCTTTCATCCCAGAAAGATGGCTTCGCGAATCGGAAGGCGGCAATCCTGTTTTTGCAACGGATGAAAAGGGAGTTGCCCTTCCGTTTAGTTACGGCCCACACAACTGCCCAGGGAAAAAGTACGTAGTTCCTACTTGGAATTAGTTTCTCATTCCACTCTCGCAGTTTTTCCTACACTAGATGGTTTAACCACTAACTTTATTCACAGGATGGGATATTTCGAACTCCGACTTATCCTAGCCAAAGTTCTCTGGCACTTTAACTTGAAACTTCTGCCCGAAGATGACGGCGCGGAAGACTCCTGGGACAAGATGCCCAACTATCAAACCTGGACGAGGCGGCCGCTTAAAGTAATAGCGAAACCTGTTAGGCGGTAGCAAGCTTTCTTTCCACTATTTTTACATTATGCTTTTTAAAATGATATTACATCATTCCCCCAATAAATATTGGAATACAAGTACATGGACTAAATCAGATATAGCCCCAGTCATTACTCGCCTCATTGACTTGATGATCTGTTGTCCATTTGGCTGGACAGGAAAAAAATGGCGTTGACTTTTCATTTTTGTGATTTCCTCTTCTGCTTTGCATTTCCTCCTTTACTGCTTTGTTGCTATTTGTCAAGGGAAGAAATTATACAAAACCAACCGATCTTTTACATGTAGACAGTTGTTGGAAACAAGCTAGGTCACTGTTCGGCGGTTCTGACTGTCTGCTAGTCAACAATTACTGATGGACTGGGTCAGATACGTGTGTCCACAGCTTGAGAGGTACATAGTTATCATCAAGAGAGCTGATGCCTACACACCTGCACTCAAAAAATGTGTTAGAATGGTCATGTATGGAGAGAAGGGGGTGAATAAATGAAATGAAAATAATAAAATAATAAAAACAAAAGAAACTTAATCATTTGACAGGCTAAACTAGAATACCATAGGGACAATAGCTGGGATTTATAACTTCAAGTGGTGTTTCTTATTGTTCGGAGAGTCATCATGTTATACATCTAACTAAATAAATATCTAGCCAGTTAGGTTTCTTTGTGTCTGATCACACGACCTTCCAACCACCCTGGCGATTGTGAGACATGTGCAATGTAGAGTGATTTTCATTTCAAGTATTTCATATATTTATTCTATTTTCTAATAGACCCTGAGGGCAAAGCTCGAAGACCTATCAGGGTTCAATAATTATCTACAATATTTGATCAACCTAAATTGTCCTTGACCCTTTGTTAACTCGTGATAACTACTCTGTATAGATGTGCATATATCTCACATATGAGAAAACAAAACTTTACAGAGGCGAAGGTTCAGGAAAAGACAAACCTAGGATAAAAAAACATGTAGAGCAAAAGGGGTTTCATAGTATATTCATTTCTTCATTCTAAACGTCGAGACAAGTGCCGATTCTTCAAGCGTGAAAGACATGAAAGCGCCTTGCAATTTCTAGGCGGTAACTAAATAATTGATACACATTTTGCGATATCGCGGTTATTCTTAATCAAATCAATCCTGAGCAAGAGTAGTATCCAGCTCGGCGACTTCAGCCATGTCCATTCGGAACTCACGCACAACTTGGTCCCAATCAGCCCACGACGGGTTCGGGTACTAAGGGAAGCTCAGTAGAGTCTGGAAGCCGATGTAGGGTTTACCTTGGAGATGAGTTTGAAGTCGTTGTAACTGGGTTTCATGGAATTTGGCTGCCCGCTTCATAAGTTTGTTGATAGCCGGCCACAACGTCCCTTCGTATGCTTGTCATCAGCAAACTCCAATCCTTTGTCCCTCAGCCCACTCAAGGGCTGATGGATGGCACTCAGTCATATTGTAATACTTCCAGAGGAAATCCTTCTTCCCTCTGAGACTTGGACATTGATATCTCTATCCCATAGTAAGATCTATAAACAAGAATGTAGTAGTTAGTAGTTGCAAGTAACTAAATAGATTGATGTAAAGAGATACATAACCTGATGGTTCCACCGACTCTCCCGTAGTGTCCCATGCATAAGCCATGTTTCTGCTCCAACATCTGTCATGGTTGAAAGTTATGACTTTACCAAAGCCCTCATATAAGGGATGCTCTAGTATTGTAGAACAATCTCGGAAGCAAATCGAAACTTTGTTCAGTATCATTTCACCTTGTCGGGGAATCTTTGGTTTTCACCTTCAACATACCGTTCGTCATAATGATAGTGAAATTTTGATGATGGTTTTAGGATATCCCGTGGAGGTTAGTTCTCAGGTACACTGATTCATCTGTAGAATGCCGGTGAGTTTCCCCTTAGTTTTGAATAACAATAGGGGACACACTCACGAAAATACTTCTCTTCTGGGCCTTCCGCGGCACCACTAAAGTGTGCCTCCATTTTGGTCCGCACACTCAAACAATCAACATGGCAGCAAACCTGCTGGGCAATTGCAAGCCATATCCAAAGCAAAAGAGATGCCAGGATTCCTTAGAAACAACAATTCTCAGACAAAAGCAGTTAACATAGATATATCAGGCTATCAAAAATTCAACTTCCGTAGGCTAGGCCCCTTTATAGCTGAAGAAAGAATGAAACGAGCACATAGGGTAACACTAGGTGCCACCGCCCATTCGTCAGGTCGGCAAGCACACTTAAGTCGAGGCCTTCAAACTTCGAATGTTGAACACGCCAATAGAAAGCTGGGTAGCGGCTTCAGGAACCTGCCATGAGGTCGGGTACAGACCGCGGTCAGGGATCGATAGAATTTACGGGTGGGCCAAGAACGGTTGGTAAAACCAAATCCAGCTACAAGACACTATCCTATTCGTCGAGTCTTATTGTACCTGTGGCGTGCTGGAGAGCTACTAATGGCTGACACAAGGGGGGAGTCAGGTAACGTATCTGTTTCAGTAAGTGAAATTAGATGATTTATGTACAGTAAAAGTTAACCAAATAGTTCAGTCTAATACCGAAAAGCCCTTATTTCCAATAAAGTAGTTTAGGACAGTCCGTAGACTTAATGTTAAAGGAAATACCGAAAGAAAATGGAGGTAGGAATGCCAAAAAGATAAGTCTAACTATCACACGAAAAAGAAAAAAACTGACACGTTCTTTGGAGTTGGAGGAGTAAAAATATACACGTTTGTCCTTAGAAGTTCTACAATACTGGATAGGGGAAATTCATATCGACAGATCTTCAAAACGCTTTCACAGCCGTTGGAATGGCACTTCCCACCGGAATGCCCGTTATAACTTGTCGCTTGAGATTCTTTCGCCGCTCTGTGCTGTTGTCTTTGTCTGGGGACCGCACCTTAACGGGTAGCGTAGTCATGGCTACCTCATGCGAAGGGTATTAGCAGTCGTGGTGTTGATAATGATGGTGGGCATGTTCTGCGTAATAGGAAGGACTTTGAGGAAGTTGGTTGCTGGTATTTATTTGCGGCGGATATGATGGCCGCTGTGTGGGGTGTAACGGTGAAGAAGAAAGATATGTACTGGAAGGATATTGCGGATGGTAGAGGCCGGACACCAAGGAATCAGAGCTATTGCAGGGCGATAAGTTGGAGATATGCCCATATTTTTGCGGTTCTCGTTCAGGAATGGCTCGTGGCAAGGTCCGCGGGCTTCTTCGCGGTGGGCGGGGATGTCTATCAGCGGTTTGTTGGTTATGCATGTTAAATTCTGGAGTTGGGATACGGCGCTGGGATGGCGAGGTCTTTGGTTTGCCTTTGTTTGTGTAATTGACATGTCCGCCGTCTCCTCTGTGATGGCCTCCTTCCTCTGTTGCCGAAGTATTGCCACTAGGAGAAAATCTGACCTTTCGGCGTCTAACTGGGATATCATTATCGCTAGACTCCTCACTGTCCGTTTCAACTTGAGTTTGTAAGCTAGAATTATCCTTTCGAGTAGCTGGGGTATCATTATTACTAGATTCCTCACTGTCCGTTTCAACTTGAGCTTGTAAGCTAGAATTATCCTTTCGAAATTCAGTTGCAGGTTTCCTTGCTTCTTGAGAATGTCTCCTTCGATTGGAGGTAGCGCCTTCTGGGTGGTCCTTTTGACGTTCACATCCTTCTAGGCCGTCGCGGAAGCTATTAGACTCCACGTCGGATGCAAATGTCACATGCCGCTGTGGGCGCGCTTCCTCTCCGGATAATCCCCGGAATCCACCCACCTGTGCCCACTGGGCAATTAAATGATCAATTGCCTGGGAGGATACATGAACCGTTCCCGTGACATCCTGTGATATTGGAGAGAGGGAGCTATTGAGATCTTTGAACGATAATGCAGGCAATATTGTTGGTATAGTGGATGGCGGAGGTGGGCCAGAACCGTTGAGCTGGGAATCAGATAAGCCCTGATATCTCGCATTTCGACTGTATTCCTCAGCTTCACATATAGCGGAGTAACGTAACCGATCAAGACGAGATATCGACCAGTGTAGGACGATTAGCATGTTTTGGACTTCGTCACGCTCTCCTTGAACGATGTAATTAGGTATCGAGCTTGGTGCCTTGCTGTGACTTAATTAGTTTTCTAGGTGTATATTCAAGAGTAACCGATAAAGACTTTTACCATACCTACTGATAAGCTTCCCAAGTTGCAGGACTTGTAACATTACAATAAGGCTCAACTTCAAAGCGTCAAGAAGAGCCAGCAGATATGTAACATGGCGTTTCCTGAAGCAGCGCGCGAATCGCTCCTGGATCAAGTCTCCGTCATTTCGCTGAGCTTTGTCCAACATTTTCGCAAAGAAATTAAATATTGTGTTGCCCCGTTCACTAATTTCCTTTGCGACGCGCAAAGCTAATGGTGAATGCGGAGAATCCTTCGCTTGGAGGGTTTGCCCGACCTGCTTCAAAGCCGCCACGTATAGAGAGAGGCCCTTAGCGATGCTATGAACATCTATGCCGAAAGCTGCTACCTTGCAGGCGACGGTATTGAATGAGATGGAAAGCTTGAAGCCCAACTTTACCACCTGGAGGATAGAGACTGGATTGATACCTGTTAGTTTCGGCGAGCTGGGATTAAATAAGAGAGTCGTACCTATTTCTGATGACATGGTTTGCCGCTTATCGATATGACAAGAATTCTAACCTGTACCACAGTAAAGATGTAACTAAGAGTCCAAAAGGCCTCGATTGCTAGAGATGAGAGAATTCGGTCTGTTTAGTTTCTGATGAAAGTGTTAAGGTAAGTCAAAGATATCATCATAGCGACGGCTAAGAATTGTTCAGGGAAATGTCAATCAACGGGTCGATCGAGGCTGGATAGATATAATGAGCAGAGCCACTAAGAGTAGACGTCCAGCGTCAGGGCTAATAATGTGGTGAGCGAAACATATCATGGGTAAGGCGAAGCCCATTTTCGCCTCGTTTACCAGCAGTAATTCTTCCGGCATGTTGGTTTAATTGACATCGCCATTCATTTTTGAGCCTCACTCCCTGAGGCGAGGGCCTGAATTTGAAGCAGAATACTACCCGGTAAGAACCCAAGCCATATAGCGAGGAGCATCGTGTTTGATAGAACAAAGTTGACGCCCCGTTTTGCTCGAGAGCTTGCAGATCACCTGATCTTCCCGCCTGGGGTTTATGGAACGGACCTTTCTCAAGAACCCGGAGGTGTCGAGTGGGGGATCAAGCTGATGTAGCTCCCAGAGCGGAAATTTCTTTGTTGGAATATTATTTCCAAAGCAGAAGGAATTCTCCCCAGGTATCAGTGAAAGTTATGGAGATCATCGAATGACGACCCTTCGGGGCCCTAGGAATAGTATCTTTTGAGGATCCTCTATTCATTTGTCGGTAAGAATAATAAATGGCCGTTGATTGAACACCCATCTTTAATTCAGTCTTGGTCCGCTATTTCTCCTCGATCTACCAACATTCCCACCCGAGAGAGTAAGGTCCCATCACACCACCAACTTACATGTAGAACCGTGGATAGCAGGACGCCTTATCCAAGCCTGGCGCCAACAGGATTATACCACCTGCAATATATCAAAGGGAGGCCTTTGAAACTATGTTCGATCCATTGTTCGATCGGACCAGAGTTGAATTCCAGATTACCCCAGAAAAAATCGGCTTCCAAAAACCTACTCGTTTGCGGGAAAAGAGCCGAATTCAGCCCGATGAACCAGACGTTCGTTTCTAGCTATACATGCAGTTCAAGTGCAGTTGGTGCTTCCAATATCGAAATGTCTACTCACCTGGGACTTAGAAGAAAGGAAGTCCCTGAGAGTTTTGTAACTCCTAGACTCCCGAATTATAGGGTCTTCGCGTTGCTTAGGATGCGGTGAGGGTACATTCGGCAGGCAAAACTGAATACCGGCAGCATGGAGTCTCAAGTTCTCGAGTCATTATGGGAAATACCTAATATTTCCTGCACAAAGGATACGGGTAAAAATCCCTATGTTTCTTTGGAGGTTCCAGTTAAGTGAAAAAGGTGCCCGCCCGTAGTGGTAAATACAGGTAAATATCCAAATCCTTTATTTAATGACTAGAGCTCTGAGCTCTTGAACAGCATGCATGATTGAAGGATGAAACACGCTGAGCATGTTGGTTGCTGTAGGTTGCTGTAGGTTGCTGTAGGTTGCTGTAGGTTGTTGGTTGTTTCTGACCACAGCTTCCACATGGGTGGCTGTGCTCCAACCCTGCTGCAACCCGATTGCGGTAACGTTAACTAGTTAACTAGGTTTAGCCGGTCGCGCCAACTCTCCTTGCTCCCTTGAAACTCGAACCCCAAGTTCTGGATAGCCATGGCATCTCGTTTTAGAGGAACAGGGGGCAGTGGGCATTTGAGCACCGACGCCAGTATCTCGTTCTAATGAAGTCTGCGAGGTACATGTACATCCATTATACACAGTCTCCTAATTGCACGAAGACGGAGATGAGGTGCTGATCTACGATTTCGCACCCGCAAGGCCCTTCGATGTAATTCTCGCCAAGCTCCTCACGACGGTTGACCAACTTGTCCCTCTGCCCCCCATCGCGTCGTTTCCCGTAAATAAGAGATAATTTTGTTTGCGACCGCTAATATATCCGAGAGTGGAGAGTAACGGTGGTGTGGAAGGTCACAAGGTTGGTTGGATGAGCAGCGCGTTGGGGAAGCTTTGGCTCCGACACCCTTCTCCATCTTAGTCGATGGCCAGTTCTATCTCAGGGTGGAGTTGACGGATTACGAATGCGTCGGACAATCTGATTTTTGCCATTCGAAAAAAAAAAAAAAAACCGCATATATCAACACTAACGATAACTCTTCAGGCTGTTATAATGAACCCCTCTACCGACCCCTCGAAATCCTTGGATTCTTTCCAAGCTGTCCCTGGTCCAGCACAAGCTGGTGAGGATGGGGCGCTGACACTCCCTGGCGCGGCAGTTGTCTCGAACACAGCAACGAATAAACTGGAGACCACAAAATTTGTCGAATCAAGTAAAGAAGGAAGATCACCGGTCTCGGATTTTGACGAGTTTGGATTACCTATTCGGGCCCCTAGCCAGTCCCCACGGCCAAGCAAGCATGAACCACCAGACACGGCGAGTCGGTCGAAGCCCGTAAATAACAATGTGGTAACTCCGCCAGTTTCTAACGAAAGCACACAAGAATCACGATTATCGAAAAATGATGCAGGACCGTTCACCGCTGCATCGGATATTACGACTCAGGAGCGAAATGTTTCGCAGCCAACTTCAACTGCCAGCGTCTCCAAAAAACCGGAGGACTTACCAACAATAGATCCCCTACGTGGGTCGAAACAGCCTGACGCACCAGAGAACTCAAACAAGCCTCAGTCCCAAACCTCAGAAATTTCAAGAAACCACAAACGCGGGCCAAGCGCGGCAGTTATTTCCGAATGGTCACATCAGCGTATTGTTGTAGAGGAGGAGGAGGATGAGGTCAATGAAAATGACAATGTTGATGAAGATGACTGGAAAGATATGCCCGCTTTGGGGGAATTTGATATCTATGACGACTACGGTAGGATTGTTGCTCGCGGAGCTGCACTGGAGGACGATGCAGCTGTATACCAGGGGTTGGGAGGTGCTGGAAGGGGGTACACTCGGGTCCAGATCGACGAAGATGCGCAGTCAGTCACGAGCCTAGATGACGATACTAAATACCTTTTTAAGGAGCCGGAGAGTAATGCGATTGGGGTGGAAGACGAACAACGGGATCCTCTCGCGCAACTACAGGCCACGAAAGATCTTCTAACGGAAGGACAAAGAATTGCGTACGTTGGAGTGACAAGACTAATGATCTATCAAATGGTAAAAGAGTTTGAGACTTTTCGGCCATCAAGATCCTCGAAAAAATATATCGCCTCAGCCATCGATTCCATGGCCAAGTGGGGTCAGCAGATGATGATACGACTCTATGCACATATGGATATAGATTCTGCGGAACAAATAATGATCGAGCAGCTAGCAGAACATGGTGTCCAGCCGACAGATCTTGTCCCGCCGCTTATGCAAAATTCGCGAGTTAAAAACCCTCTGTGTAGCGAGTCTACTTCGACCAGACCGCCCACTTCATCAGCAGTCCACATGGAAAAGTCCCTTGGCTCAAGTGACACATCTGTAGCTTCTGAACAATGTTCGTTGCCACCAACACCACCCCCTCCATACGAAATTCACGCCGATGAAGATTTACCAAACGTCAAGTCCCCGTCTGAAATGCCGACGTCAGAAAAGATCGACATCGATCTTCGATGGACTGTACTCTGCGACCTCTTTTTAGTACTTCTTGCTGACTCAACATATGATGCTCGCTCACGACGATTACTGGAACGAGTTGGAGATGCCTTAGATGTGTCCTGGTCGCAAATATGCCGGTTTGAAAAGCGGGTGATTGATGCTTTGGAAATGCAGGAGGAGAAAAGTAAAGAGACCTGGGATGAGGCAGAACATATGGAAGCGCGACGGAAACAAGCCTTAAAGAAAAGATATATGATCATGGGCCTTGCAACAGTTGGTGGAGGCCTGGTAATTGGCCTTTCAGCAGGATTACTCGCTCCAGTTATCGGTGCAGGTCTTGCCGCTGGGTTTACTACCATCGGAGTCACGGGGACTGGCGCCTTCCTGGGAGGTGCTGGGGGAACAGCACTTATTGCATCGGGTGCTACTCTTACCGGTGGAACAATTGCAGTCAGAGCGTCTCATAGAAGAACCGGTGCTGTGAAAACGTTTGAATATCGCCCCTTACATAATAATAAGAGGGCTAACCTTGTTGTTACTGTTTCTGGATGGATGACTGGAAAGGTTGACGATGTCCGATTACCATTCAGCACTGTCGACCCTATCATAGGCGATATCTATTCCGTCCTTTGGGAACCGGAGATGCTTCAAAGTATGGGGGATACAATTAATATTCTCGCTACAGAGGTATGTAATGTGCAACTGTTGCGTCGATAATTTCTACTTTTCGTGTTTCTAATATCAATCTAGGCTCTCACTCAAGGTCTTCAGCAAGTCCTAGGAAACACAATCCTTGTTGCTCTAATGGCATCTTTACAACTCCCAATTGTGCTAACTAAGCTTTCATATTTGATTGATAATCCGTGGAATGTGTCCCTAGTCCGTGCCAATGCAACCGGTCTCATTATGGCTGATTCCATCATGGCTCGAAACCTTGGCAATCGACCGATAACCTTGATAGGTTTCTCTCTGGGATCACGCGTAATTTTCTCTTGTTTGAAAGAGCTTGCGAGCAAGGGTGCCCATGGACTAATTCAAAACGTCTATCTGTTCGGTTCGCCAATCGTTGCAAATAAAGATGAGTATACGAAGGCGCGAAGCGTCGTATCGGGCAGGTTTGTGAATGGCTATGCTTCCAATGACTGGATTCTTGGGTACCTATTCCGAGCAACCAGTGGTGGAATTATGCGGGTAGCCGGCCTTGCACCTGTTGAGAATGTTCCTGGCATTGAAAATATGGATGTGACACAGTTCGTCAACGGGCACATGGCCTATCGCGCGGCGATGCCAAGATTACTACGTGAACTAGGATGGGAAGTTGAGAGCGATGAGTTTACCGAAATCGAAGATCCTGACCCAGACAAGCATTCAGAAAGACAACGAGAGTTGATTCGTGAAATTGACGAAGCACGGAAAGAAGCAGAAGCAGAACCAGACAAAGCTAAGTTTGGTTTCTTTAAGCGTGGGAAACTGGCCCGAAAGAAGGGGTGGGAAACTTATGACGTTGATCGGAAGGACCACTCTTCGCGCGAAAGTAGCCTCGGTTCTGCCTCTGATAATGTTCTATTTGATATCGATGCTATCCGCGCCGAGCTAGCATCGGAGCAAATGGAAGTGAAGCAGCTAGAATCCACTTTGCCCCCAATAAAAATTGATCTCAATTCGCCGCCCCCTCTACCTCGATATTCGTCGAGTGAAAAACCATCAGGGGGTACTGAGACGCCTTCGAATACAGAGATGCCCACAGCCAATGACCTTCATTGTTCACCCTCAAAAGCACCATCGAGTAATTTTGGGAGCCGGCATGACTCAGTTGAGCGCAATCACGACGGCCATGACGACCAGATACAGATGACGTTTGATTCATCATATGCCAGCCCTCCTTCACACTCACCGCCGGCATCGTCGTCGTCCTTATCCCACGACTTGTCCCGTGACTTATCCTTTATGAATTTATCACCATCACCAATACCGTCCAGCGGAGTCAGCCCAAGATTTGGCAGTATTAATCTCAGTCATAACGCCTGGGCCGATGACGATTACAATGAACGAAAAGACGGAGATATGAAGATGACTTTTGAATAGGGAATAGCATTCGGGGGCGCTTGGTTTTTTCTTGTTTTGTTCCTTTCCTTCCGCTCATTCGGCTGATGTATATGATTTCTACTTACATACAGTCGCTCCCTGTATTACATTTTTTGCATATATCCTTTACACCACACTTGTTTTGAACCTAATCAATATATATACATATTTTTAGATGGATGGCAATGTCTTTCAATGTTTGCCGCGGTGTTACTCTATGAATCCCACATGGTGCTAGGGAGTCCATTTATCGTCCATGACTGGCTGCCCAATGACTTCGACATTTTTCTTTTAGAACGTGGGTATGTCCTTTTACCTATTTTGATTTCCGTGGATCAGATATCTATACGGTACATTTAAGCCCCATATTCTCGCAAAAGACTGGTTAATAGATGTTGTGTTCTTGATTGTGCGAACACTTTTTCTTCAAATATTCGAGCCAAATGCTCAGGAGGTATGTTTAGTGTAATGAACTCTCATGTGTAAAATGATTCTATTCCTAGAAAAATACATCCGCTAGCGCGCCAGAGAGGAGAGCCGACATGCTTGGCAAACAGCTCTCAGCACGCCCGCCCAGCCTTCGATTGCACCCCATCAACCTAGTTGCAAGCGTGTCATCTCAACGCAAAGCCATATTATCTAGCGCGACAATAGATATCACTCGATAGATACTGCTGCTCCTCTTTGCATATGAAGTGGTTATCGCGCTCGCTTCTCAATAACCGGTCCACAGGACTGTACATTTGCTCATCAATTCCTCCTGGTGCGGCTCCTTACCTCTCACTGCCTACCTGGCTACCCACTGCGCCTCTAAACAATGATACCCAAAAGACCTAATTCCAGCTATGCCGCAACATTCCAAACACGACATAATCATACGGGAGGGGCGCCGCTAACCCAGGCCGGGGGTCAGTTGATAAACCGGAGAGATTCAGGTCCAGGACCCAATGGTTCGACTAACAGGAAGGTTAAGCCGGAACCCGCAACAGACGATGAACCGCTCAGCTCCACTGACGAGAGTGAACAACTGAATTCACATTCGGAACTCCCACCTTCCCCTGAACCCACATGGAAATCATATTCCCGGTCGCCAAAAGAAGCGGCGAGCAGATCGGCTGGAAACACCAGGGTTGACGCCGATTTGTACGGTGAGGACGATAAACGGCCACCAAAGCGGAGGAAGAAAGGCATAGATACCCCGCGGAAAGGAGAAAGACGATCGGGAAGGGTGAAGCCTTCCCTACCTACGTCGCCTAAGGAGACCCCGCGTAAGCCTATTTTCATGGAAAGCGATTCTCTCTTCTCTCCATACCGGCCCCCTCCAACGAAAAGACAGTATGGGGCGACCAATATACATGCTGCCCCGAGCAGGAAATCATCGAAACACTTTGAAGTTCCCGCTTCTACCGCGGAGGATGGGCAGTCTGCCATTCATTCATCCCAGGTCTCCTCTAACGGGCCTAAGTTCAAGACGCCCCTTTCCTTCCCAAATGAGGTCACATCTAGCGCATCACTTTTCACTGGCACATCACACTTCGATGATTACGATGACGATGGCGATTCGTCATTGTCCTCACTCAGTTCAATATCTTCCTCCATAAGCCTCCATCTAGCAGAAGCCGAAAAACACGAACTTGACTGTGCCACACCAAGACAAAAGGCTATAATTTGTCCCATGTGTGACCAAGCGGTTGATCCCAGGTTCATAGATGATTTGCGGTCCCCTAAGAATCTTAGTTACAGGAAGAAAGCTCAGTTCTGCAGGGATCACAGGATCAGAGCCGCAGAGTATGAATGGGCTAACAGGGGATATCCAACGATTAATTGGGAGAATCTTCACAAACGTATCGAGAAGCATTATGTGGAGCTGGATCAAATCTTAACAATGAAAAAGTCTTCATTCTACCGAAATGAGCTCGAGTCATCCCGTACTGGGAAGAAGAAGGGAAACCTGCGTTTGACGGTTGACGAGGATGAAGCGGATAAGTTTTTACCTGGTTATTATGGCCCCTGGGGGGCAAAGAAGATGTAAAACCCGCATTCATTCCGTCTATATTTTGCTGTAATAGTGCGTTCAATATACTAACTCGGTACATTTGCACAGGATGGATGCCATCATTAGCCACTTTGCGGGGAAATTCAAGCACCTAGCACCAACAGACCACCTAATAAAGGCTGCTGGGGTTTCTGGATTTGTGCAGTCTGTCATGGTTCCGGAGTTGGCAGTAATGCTGGTTAAAGAAGATATGGGCCTTGACGACGCAGGTGCGCGACAGGTATTGACGGATAGTATGGAAATCGGGAATCTGATCAATAAGCAGCCAGATGATGTCATTAAACAGGTTGGCAGACAATGACGATTCTGCTAGGGATATGGATTGTTTTTGAGTGTTCCCTTTGTCGTGGGAAGCTTTATTTCTATGATCTGTTAGCATACTTCCGCATTCATATTTCATGTATCTTCTTTCCCCTTTCCCCCCTATTCACTACCTCTAATCATTCCCTATATTCCACCCCTATACCTCCTCGAGAGAAGAAATGTGTGGAATAGTTATCACATTCATATTTTATATACAACTTTTGTTCTGTCATACTAACATTACACTCAATTTGTGAACTCAAGAATCTGATATGAAACTTCAATCCACTGAATCATACATCATCTGAATCCAGTTAATCGCGCACTCTCAGGTGCCAAACCTTTCGTAAAATCTAGCCTCACAAGCTCAACTGGTCGCATGACATCCGTGGCCCGATGAAAATTACTAAGAATCACCTCCTAACACCATCGGATAGCCCAGCCATAACTGGATACCTGGCCTCACATTAGCCTACACCCACGCGCCCATGGCATGCTCTAAATCTAAAATTCAATATTCCAAGCTTCTAAACCCTGGTCGCCCTTTTCCCCTTATATGCTAATCCAAAAACAATCAAGCCATATGTAGCCAGGATACTCAGGCCAATGGGAACAGGCTTCCTCGTCTTCAGCGCTCTAGGGATCGCGCTTCCCGCTAACACAGTCGAGGCTATCAGGCTCAATTCTTCGCCGAAGGATTGTTGGCCTTGGAGTCGATAGTAGCTGAGGGCGTAAAGGGCGCCGACGGAGAGGCCGGCGGCGATGGAAGGGATGGATCCGGTGCGCGCGTAACCGATGATGCCGCCACAGGATGTCAGGACGGACAGCGCGGCGGCTGAGATGGTGATGTTTTGAGAAGAGGGCTGTTGGGGATGTTAAGCTCTTGTCCAGTGGGATGAAGCGAGATAACAGGGAAGCGTGGCTGCGTGGCTGCGCTAGAATATGAGGGGGAGAGGGACGAGGGGGATTGGGGCTTCGATAAGCTCCGTACCCACCATTGTTACTTTTCGTGCGCTTCTTAACACTTGTGGCTTGGGAGATCGTGTTTAACAAACCGGCTATGCGTCGTAGCAGCGATATAGTGGGTGTGGAAGTGTCAACTCGGTGGAAGTTTATTTTAAGCTTGGATGGAGCTTGGGCCATCGGGCCCGAGATCACGTGCTGATGAGTACGGTCATGTGATATGCGACTACCTGTTCTTGTTCTAAACTTCGATAGATCATGGATGCGCAGGTTGAGGGAACTGGACGCCATTGCCCGCTTTGCATCCCTAACGGTGCAGATACGTTGGATCGAAAAGAATACTATATCTTATCCGCCTCGCATTTCTTCTTTTAGAACCGTTCCATTGCCGCAGCTATCACCACAATGGCTCCAAAACGCCGTGTTGCATCATCAACCTCTACGCCAGCAAAGGCGACTCTCAGTCCAATTCCAACAAAAGCAAGCGCCTCACTTTCTCCCAACTCTCAACCTCAAAACATTGTAGTTGGTATCTGGCAGCAATATCTAGAACAAACACCCAGAAGAACACTTCAACTAGATGCATTTATGGCATTTCTACTTATTGTAGGAGGCGTACAATTTCTATACTGTATGCTGGCCGGGAACTATGTAAGTCATTTCTGTCCCTCCTCTTTCTTTCCCCTTGCTTTTTCTGGAAGTCCCTTTAGCTAACAATGATTAAAACCTATCTTAAAATTTAGCCATTTAACGCGTTTCTCAGCGGCTTCTCCTCCGCTGTCGGCCAATTCGTTCTCACTGCTAGTTTGAGAATGCAGACGAGCCACCAGGGAGGGAAAGATGGAAAGGCTACGTCTACATCCAAAACCGTCTCGAAACCGACGAATGAGGATCTACCGTCGAACGGCTTATCTAGTGAAAGGTTGGTGGTCCTATGTGTCAAAAATTTCCAGGATTATTTGCCTATTGCCCTCCTTCCCGGCCTAGTGCATATGATGGGGACAAGCTCTGCAGAAAGCCTAAAGTTATGTCGAGCTGAGACTGACCTGTGTATTTTTATAGGGCGTTCGCGGACTATGTGTTTGGCAGTTTGATACTGCATTTCTTCTGCATCAATTTTATCAACTGAGCCGGCTCTTCGTCCTTTACACTCTTTTTTACATTTCTTCTGCTGCTGTCTACGTTTTTAAACAACTAGCAGTTATGTACGATATATAATACTACCAACTGCTCAAGGTCTTGAGACCAATTAAATAGACTATCATGCGTGGTTTCCGAGTCGTTAGGGAGTTATGGCACGGGGACTAGATATGTCCCCAGGGCTGGTAAAATTATGAACGAGTATTTTTATGTCATTTGTTAAACCCAGTATAACAGTGCAATCCCTCACTGGTCTGAACAGCCCATGGTGTGTTAGAATGACATATCATTTGCCTCGACGTGACTAATTTACATCCCTAACGGGTCTCCAAGATAGAAATATAAACAGCTCTAAAGCTCTAAATATGCCATAGTTTGAATCTATTCCAAATCTCATTCCGGTCTAGGAGGGAAAAAAACCTAGCATCAAAACCCCCTCGCACCCCTTTTCATAATTGGTCTTTTAACCACACTCCCACCCCCGCCGGCAGCCACATTAGACCCAGGCCTCCTTACAGCTGTTGTCCCAGAGGCAGGCCGCCTCACCACGGTCCTTACCCCCATACTAGCAGACCCTCGTTCCGCGTCCCGTTTCCTCCGTAATGCGTCGTCTTCGGTCTTTTTCCGCTCCTGCTCAGCTGCGCGCTCGCGATCAGCAGCCATTTGCGCCTCGATTTCCATCCGTCTGTTGAATTCGTGCTCTGTCACACGACGCTCTCGGGCTGAGTACCCTTTTTCTTTTATCGAGTAGAAGACTCCACCTAGGTCGGCAAGCCACTAGAGGTTTTTGAGGTTTATGTTAGCCATCCAGATATAGTGAGGTATTGGAGGTGGTTGGCTCTTCTTAAGGAAGACGGAAGTGGTCATGTTGAATATAAAGAAAGAAAACGCAGCGATGCTACAAGTGGGTTGAATCAAAACTTACCCGAGGATCCACAGATGTAACGGTAGACATATACTCCTTGCTAGTTAAGATCAATTCGTGGTACACTACATAGTCGGGTAGATAACCAAGGCCGTATAGCGCACTCGTCGGGTGAAGTTGTATCGTGACGCTCGTGCGGAGATTAATATACTCACCAATCCCCTTGACCCTGGCGGCCTGATGGTAATACCCAGAACATATACACTTTCGTATGACGTCCCAGTCGGTTCCGCAGCTTGTTATGGTCATCTTTTGCATTGTCATGATATCGTACAGCTGCTCGCGGATCTCCTTGGCACGGCGCAACGCTTTGGAATGCAGGAAATGTTTTATGCACCATGAATCCGAGTAGCCGTTCGATTTCCACTGCGTGTATACATGAAGCAGGGTGAGATGGTCGGACTCAGGCACGAAAAATTTCTCTCGAGCAGCATCTGATTCCTCTTGGCGCTCTTTGGGTCGGTAGAATACACCCGGTACAGAAAGCATTGACACGATCGTTAGCATCTCCTCGCTACATTCATATTCTTCAGACGCACTGATGAGAAGCTTCGCAAGAGATGGGTCCATGGGAAAAGCACTCATGCGGCGACCCATTGGTGTTAAGTCTCCAAGATTATCGATGGCACCCAATGCCCAGAGATCAAACAACGATGTAGTAATGGTATCTTGCGGCGGTGGATCCATAAAGTCGAAATCGAGTAGATCCTTGACTCCTAACGATTTCAACAGTAGCACAGTGTTGGACAGGTTCGTTCGCTGGATTTCAGGGATAGTTTGGATGTATAACTCGTTTTTGAACGCAAGTTCTGTGAATAAGTGATAGGCCTTGCCAGGACCGGTTCGCCCAGCACGACCAGCACGCTGCGACGCATTTGCTTGCGAGATGGGCGTGATTTGGAGGGTGTCCATACCCATTCGCGGATTATAAACCTTCAACTTGGAAAAACCGGCATCGACCACATACATGATTCCATCGACAGTTAAACTAGTTTCTGCAATGTTGGTGGCAACTATCACCTTCCTAACTCCAGGCGGTGCTTTATCGAAAATTTTAGCTTGTAAATCTGCAGGCATCTGACTGTATATTGGTAGAATGCTAATCTTCGGAGGATCATTTAGGAGAGCCAAACGCTCCGCTATCAATTCACAAGTCACCTCGATATCCTCTTGTCCGGTCATGAAAACAAGAATATCCCCAGGTCCTTGGGAAACGTGGATAGCCAAAACCTGCTTCACCGCACTGTCAACATAGTCTTCACAAGGCGATCGCGAATATTGAATGTCCACCGGAAATGTTCGTCCAGGGATAAAGAATTCTGGAGCCCCTCCGTAGAATTTCGAGAACCGTTCAGCATTCATTGTGGCTGAAGTGACAATGAGCTTCAGATCCCGTCTGCGCGCAAGCACCTTTTTAATGAGGCCCATCAAAACATCCGTATTCAGCGCTCGCTCGTGGGCCTCGTCCATGATAATACAAGAGTATTTGTCAAGGTCTGGCTGGACTAGAGATTCTCTTAATAGCACCCCGTCGGTCATGTCTAGCGGTAAATGCAGACGTTAGTTGGCATTCTCTCACGTGAAAAGTTCAAAGGGTCCATAACGCACACTTGATAGCTGTTTCATTGCTAGTGCAATCCTCAAAACGAATGGCATACCCAACAAGCCCTCCCAGCTTAACTTCCATCTCCTCACTGACCCGCTTCGCAACACTCATCGCAGCGACACGCCGTGGCTGCGTACAGCCAATCATTCCAAGTTTTGCATAACCATCCTCGTAAAGAAACTGCGTTAACTGGGTAGTCTTACCCGAACCAGTCTGCCCAACGACAATAACTACCTGGTTGTCCCTAATGACCCTCAAGAGTTCCTCCCTGACTGCAAAAGCAGGCAGATACTCCCTCTGCTCCCTCAGAGTTTTGCTCTTGCTAAACGCACTAGCTCCTTCATTCTTCTTCAAATGCGCCGCAAATTTACTACCCTTATGCTGTGCCTCCTCCTCCCCGGGGACTGCTATAGCACTATCTCCCTCATCCTCCTTAATGCCCATGAGATTCCCCAGAGCCGTCCCAGCCACATTAGTGGCATCCTGCGCCTGTTTCTGCCGTTCTTTCTGTACTCTCTTTTCGCGCACAACCTTACTTCCCTTCCGACTAAACACAGCCATGTCGCTCTGCGGATCCCGCACTGCAGGGACGGGTTCAAGCTGCTTCGTAAAAACCGTCCGGCCGTCCAGAAACGGTGGCCGTAAATCATGTACGAGCAAATGTACACGAGTAGAATCCTCGTCATCTTCAAAGTCAGCATCATATTCCCTCCTCTGCGCCACGCCAGAGGTCAACATGCGATTCGTCTCCCAAGCGTCGACATCTCTCTGCTTCTGCGCAGCGCGGGCACTGACACGCTTGCTATTCTTCTTCTCAGACAGCGCTGCTTCCCGCTGTTGATCTGCCCATGTGCTGTCGGCCCCGCCGAATGGGTTATGCGTCTCGTCACCGAAAGTATGTCCTAGTTCATCGCCAGCGTACCAGTCCCGGTCCAGTGCAAGGGTGTCTTCGATGTCGACAAGAGGTTCTACGCCTTGGAAAGTCTCCTGGTGTGGGGTTGAATCTCCATTGCGTGTTCCGCGGGGGGTGGACGCACGGCTGGTGCTGCCATACTTGTCCTCTCTGTTGCGGTGGAGCCGACTTCGGGGGGCGTAAATGTGCTGGGATGATGTTGGAGTGAAGCGGTCTGAGTCCAGCTTCCGGCGTTTGGGACTGTCTTCTCGGGCCATTGTTTATTCCTTGCTGAATTGACCGGTCGAAGCAAAACGACAATCATACCATGATATCTGGTTCTGTCGCCTTGCGACTCAAATATTGATTATCCTGGGGTCAAAACTTTGCCATGTTTGACATGTTTGATCCGTTTGCAACGGAATTTCGTTCCACCGACTAGTTTAACTACTAACGTAGGTGAAAACCCAATTTCCCGGCACGGAAAAATATTCAAGCCACTGGATGATGTATGGTTGGATAGTTAGTTAGATAACAATTCGAGTGAAGGGTGGGAACAGGCAAATAATTATCACTGCTGGTGCAAAAATTTATCAAAGGGCAATTGAATACTCTGTATAGCAGCAGGGATGTGCAACACCAGTAGAAATTTACATGTCAAAAACAACACCCTGTTTAAAAATTCACACAAACACAATGTCAACAATGGTAAAATTAGAAGGAAACAGATAATATAAAATTACAATAGATAAAATAAAATATATTCAGTAACAGAAATGAATGGCAAAGTGACTGATAGTATTTCATTCTGTCCCCAGGTCCAGAGCGCCCCGAATCAATTTCAACCGTAACAATATCCAAAAAGCACACAGACACTTGCGGCCTTATATCCCTTCTAATAATTGCCTGACACAGGTAAATTCTGCCGCATGCTTGTTCTTGTTCTCCCTCTCTCTTCATCTGTCTCTTTTTTACCCCCCCCCCCCCCCCTTTTTATTTTTTATTTTTCTTTCTCTTTCTGTTGCAAATCCACGCAAAGCTGATTCAGTTATCTGAGAACTCAGCGTCACGTTCTTCCTGCAGAAATTATGACCTCACTTCTCTAAAGACACCCTTGAGAGAGTACAAGTTATCCGACGAAATAGGTAGGTTGTAGGGAAAACTTGAAAAAAAAAGAAAAAGAAAAAGAAATGAAGAAAAGAAAAAGGAGAAAACAGCAGGAAACAGCAGGAAAATTCTGGCCGCTCAGTCAAATTTATCGGACCATCACACCATCCTGGAAGATCTCTTTGGTCTCGATTCCTGCCCCTTGTTTGCTTGGTTTTCGTCTCGTCTTCCTTTTCATGATCCATGGTTTCAACAGCACATCCTCAGGTCTTGCTCGGGGGGTGGGGAGTTGCCAACAGCTACAATTCTGTATTGCAATCACTCGCGAGCGTATTCCAGACCCGGGAAACGTCTTCGTGAGAGCTAATAAGTCTCGCCACCTGCACCATTGTGCGAAGGGCCCACCATGGTGGAATATCCGTATGTCGCGCCGGCCTGTTCGTTGGAGTCGAGGTTCGGGCTCAATATGTTGTTGGAAGCCTCGGGCGGGACCGCGAAACCTGGTCCCGTTGGGTTGCCTGCCCCTGGAGCATTGGAAGCCGTGCCCCCGACTGGTCCGCCGGAGCCGTAGCCGCTGCTCGGTGGCCGGTTCTGGTTCTCCCCCCTTGAGGATTGGGTCTCAAACCAATCAATTCAATTGTTCAGATATTGTGTCCCCCCCAAGTTGAGGCAACAAAAAGAAAGTACATGGGAAATGGGGAGGAGATACTAGGGAATTAGCGTACTCACTTCGCGATATTTTGAAAGATATATTTTCAGTGCTTCGGAGTAATTTTCGAATCCGAGAGAGGTCATAGCAAAGAGGATGTCTTCCCCATTGACCGTCTTCCTTTTCTCCTGTTGGCATTTTTCCGAAGCTGGAAGGTTTTTAGGCGACGTAAATTAGTTCTTGCATGTCGCCATATTCTTATCGCCGAAAAAGGTAGGGGGGCGAGTACTCACCTTCGCTGGTGATAAACGAGATGAACTCGCTCACACATTCTTGCATACATTCTTTTGCTTCCTTTGCGATTTTGGCATTGTCGGGGAGAGCGGTTTTCATTATTCGAGCAACTAGAGAGGGTTGCAATTGTTAGCATCATATAATGAATCGACCGGGACGGTGCGCTGCTATCTTAAGTATGTGTAACTGAGAAACGATGGTCGGTAGCAATCCGACATGGGAGAGAGCCCTATGCAAAGGTGCCACCAAAGAGCGTGCAGCGCATAATTAATAGGACAAGCGAATAGAGTGCTAATCCAGGGATATGCTTAAAACCAAACAGCACTTCTGCCTGGATGTTTAAGCGAGGATAGGACGGCAACCAGCCAGTGACACACGGCAAGGGCAAAGAAAGCAAATAATAGCATGGGAAGAGCACGCGCAAATCAAGTCAGAAATCGTAACATGCAAGAACGCGCTTAACGAACCATTTGCAATAGGAAGCCATCGATCTTGCTCTTTCACCTCGAATTCTCCCTGGCCTTGCGCTTGTGTATCTTGGTGTTCTCGTTCCATATGCTCCGCGTCGTCGCCTGACTGAGTTCCTGGTTCCACCTCTGGTTCCTTTGGAGGAGAGGCCGACGACATGATTTTTACGTCTTTTGGATACGCGCACCAGATAGCAACTTCAACACGGGCGGGTGAACACGTCACTCCTCTCGAATCTTAGGATCTGCGGTTCTATGCAGCCCTGCGTCAACGTACGTCAGACTGGGCAGCTATTCGCTTCACAACAGCCCTGAGCGGGAACCTCAAGAGTTATGGTGTGGGGGAGAAGACACTCGAGTGGCTACTTTTTTCGCCAGACCTACTGGATTGTTGCGCTACAGTGGCACCGGTATTGCATGGGCCGGTACAGTTAGCTCCCAAACGCGCTGTTGACGCGCACTGGCCAGCAGCCCTCCCTTGAGAATCCGACGATGCGATCGGGAGTTATGGCGTGGGGACGATGGATAAATCTGAAACTAAACGGGTTGGGCGGTGATGGGTGGAATAATGCGGGTCAATTGACCGGGACTAGGGCAATGGTAATTCCAGGTTGGGCCGATACTTATTGATATCGCCTGCAGCAACGGAGCTACGCGTTGTGAGACCGTCTGTTGTCGTTCTTATAATTTGTAAACGAGCCAGTTGTAAAAGAACGAAATAACGTGAACAAGATGACCAAGTGCTCGTAAGTCATACAGCTCCGAGTAACGACTTGGCCGCTAGCCTCAAGCTTCGACCACGGCGAACAAGTTGTACTTTCAAGTTGGGATAGGCCCGCGCGGCATAACCCACACTACTTTCTTGTTTCTTGTTTCTCGAGTTCCTGTCTTCTAGCCCTCGCTCTCTGTCACACTTCCTTCCTCTCCGCTTACTCTTTCTTTCCGGAACCTAGCGGTGAGTTAACGGGGCGCGTCGTACGTCACACACCACACCGTCGACAAGCTAGCTAAACCTGGCGGTTCTACCCGGGTCAGCAGAGGGGACAAAACTCAAAACAATTCGATTGTGGCTGGAGATGGGTTGCAGATGGAGACAAATTAGGGAGTTTGTTGGGCGTCTTGAACGATTTGGGCGTCGGGGAGCATTGTTGGATGAAAGAGAGTCGCAGCAATTCCGCGCCGGCTGAGGCATGTGTATTTCAATACGGTAACCGCCGGGTAAATATTACGCTGGCTCAGACCAAATGGCAGTGCTGGAGGCTGTAACGGTGATACCAAAATAGCAAAAATCGGCGCTTAACTTAGAGATGGCCATGGGGAAAGTCAGAACTGGAGTTGTTCGATGAGCGCGCATTTTCGCGTGTAGTACTACGCAGCGGTGCATTGAAGTGGATTCCAGCAAATGGCCAGTGTTCTGTTTAGTTTGTAAGAGCTGGCATCCTCGAATTATCGTTGGTCTACATGGGATAAGGCATTGTCAACAAACACAATAATTGGATGGGGGCTACTTGGTAACCTCCCTCGTCGAGCCAGTCAAAACCTGCCAATTCTCATACTTTTCCCCTAAGACAGCTTGCTTGTTGGCTGAGGGACTCTGGATTCCTGAAATTAGATTAATCCTCAAAACCCCGCCGAAAACATCGTCATAACCCTTCATAACCCTTCAATATCGATTAGGTGGATATTGTAAAGGCTGCTCTCTCTTACAGCATGGGTGGGCCCTTTTGAAAAGTATCATACACCTCGGGCCTCCTCAGGCTGCCCAGCAGTTTCATCACTTTCATACAGATGTGTTCCGGCGTTCTTCCCGCGGTGCCTTATGGGAATAAATGCATGGTGATCATGAACTGGCCTTGCATTGGGGTGTCTTTAGCCTTATTTTTTTTTAAATTTTTGTCTCAACTTCACCTAAAAATCCAAAAGAAAAAGATGATTTCCCGGCCGATCCCCTCCCCCTTCAATTCCGGCATTCTCCCCCACATTGATATGGGCGTTGATACGGCTTCACTAGCTTCTCCGATCGGGAACAGAGCATGAACAAGAAGAACCCTAAAAATCGCTTCGGAAGAATGCAGTCAACTGCCGCATGCCCTGTTCAGATGCCAGCCGGTACAGTCCCTAACCTCGATACTATCCGTTGAGGGCGCAGTTTGGGGATTATCTCTCCGCAACTCAGAGCTTAGGCTTCCTGCGCGGACTGTGGGACTGACGCACCTATCGGTACCCAACGAGATGCTGTGGAAATTGGGCCTGGCAGGCGCTGGTATTTTGACGAAGACAAAGCCTTTCAAGGAATGCATGACTATTGGGCACGATGTCGAAATTGCTGAAATTTTTTGGATATTTTCGAATCTGACAAGGATAAGTGGGTGGGCTAGCTTTGCCAACTCAGAGGGGACGAATGAACCGCATTCTCTTGTTGACAGCATGGCAGGGACATACATATTATGCCAACATCTGTAGCTAGCTGCAGGAGAGAAATCCTTGGTACAGATTTGTAGCTGGGTGATATAATCTGCATTGTGCATGTGGGATAATTCAAATTTAATTCTCCGTCTTGCTCAAGGGAGTAGACCAGGAACGTCATTCTCTCTCATGTCATGTCTATGTACAGGAAAATCCTGAAGGTAAATAAGCAAGCCATGAAGAATGAGATTGTCAATTTCCACGACAGGTTAGTTATGTGAAGAAGCCATTGACGCGAAAGCAAGAGCTCATCCATTTTGAAATTAGGATGACGAGACGCTACCGCTTACTAGTTACCTGATCCCGCCGAAATATTTACTTTCCGGTCTGATCTATATTATTTCGATGATATTCTTCAACTCCTCCTCATCATTTCTTCTTCTCCCCTCCAAAAGTCATCGAAAACTTTTAGTTCTGTTAGGCACGCCTGCATAGAAGCCATTTAGCCCCCAAGAGAAATTGCATCATGGATCACAGCCCTGACCGCCAGGTCGGCCTCCCTCCCTCGATAACGAAGTACGGAGTAAATTAGCTAATAAGCCAAAGAAAAAAAAATAAAAATAAAAATAAAAAAAACATGGACTGACTGACGGATTTAAATCCTACCAATCAGAGGTACAGAGGAAAGTACGGGGTGTATAGGTCGTTTGGTCTGAATTTACATGTACTGGACAGACTGCGGATCAAGAGTATATCCAAAACTCACACCATCACATCACATGGGCCATGGCGGAGACCGCAGCGCACGACTACACTGAAATGCGAACGGTTGGGCAATTGAGTAACTTCACCCTCTCAGAAAGTGTACCAGAAATAGCGAAATCGGCTTTCTTCCTTGGCTGGGCGTAATCCTCCCCCCCGTCTGCACTTCATGATAATGATCACCACTGCCGTGCCGGTAAAGATGTATTAATTTCAATATGAAAAAATAAAATAAAACAAAAAATACAACCCCACAGAGTATTCGCCTCACCTTTGATAGGGGCAAATTTTGGGGGCCATTTTCTCGAAATCCCTTACGCCGAACACCTCTTGATGCTGATCCCAATGAAACCCCGGGGGGGGGGGGGGGGCGCTGTCAAAAATTTTGTTAAACAAGGCAGAGGTAGCTTCACCTCCTCCACAAAAGTGCCCTCAAAAAAAGACAAATTTCCCCTTCCACCACTACCGCATGTATGTCCTCCGTCTTCAGGAATACTAGTCCTATCTCCCTCATTCCCGCACGACTTGGATATTATTCTTCTTCTGTAGAACTCGCAGGCAGTCACCGGTCAGTTCTGAGTATAAACAGAATAAAATGGTTGCCCGGCCCCCCAAATTCAATGACCTCTATAGCAGAAAAGAGACGGAAAGCCTCCTCCTCCACTTCTTCTTCCCTTCCATCCCCCTTCCAATCATCTCATTTTCTCAATCCACATCTCACATCCAGCCCAACCCGCAACCCGCAACCCCACCCGCCATCCTCTCACAGCAGAAAAAGGAAGAAAAGAAAAAAACCCCAACTAACCTTCCACCCATCCAACTCATCCTGCTTCGCCTTATACTGCTTCAGCAACTCATCCAGCACCTGCTTCAGCCCGTCCGAATTCGTCTTCAGCGGCGGTATGACATCCTTCACCGTCCGCTCGACGAGCACGCCGTTAATCAGGCGGAAACATTTCCGGTCGCCAGCGAGGGGTTCGAGGGTGTCAATGACGAGTCTGGGTGGGGAGGCAGAAAGATATGGATACGTGAGTAAGTATGTTATTTGGGCGGGGGAGGGAGAGGGCGGTTTCGGCGCGTGAAACATATCATCAGGGGGGTCTGCTGGGGGATGAGGAGGGAGCTTTTTATTGTAAAAAAAAGAAAAAAGAAAAAGAAACTCACTTATGTTCCTCTGTCTCCTGTTCGATATCCCCGATCTTCTGCGCGAGCTGCTGAAGGGTTGTTTTGTAGTTTTGATATTGCGCTTGCAGCTCTGTGGATTTGTTTTGGTGCGCGGGTTGGTTTTTAAAGTTAGTAGGTTGTTTTTTTAACATCGCTCCATAATTGGGGGATTGTTTAGCTTGCTTACCTTGCTGCTTCTTCGGATTTATTTGTTGAGCCGCCATTGTCTTCAAATATAGGGGTGAGTCGTAACCTTTCCGGTTGAGGAGCTGCGGGGGAGATGGTGTTTGGTTTGAGGTTCTCCGCAAACGTTTATTTAACGTGATCAACCACCACCCAGCGCCCGCTTACACCCAACGCCCGCCCAATCTTCATTTTTTCATTCATCTTTAAACATTCACAACATGCACCATGGTAGCAATTGATGATTTGAATGCACAATTGATCCCTAATTACACTAAGACTACTAAAAAATATGAAATTAGTTGATAGATATATCATAGCATTATAGAGATATTCAAATGTCAAAAAAAATAAATAAATAAAAATAAATAAATAAAAATAAATAAAAAATAAAATAAATAAAAAATAAAAAAACAGGCTTTAGTCACTGCACAGATTTATAAGAAAAACAGTTTCTTTTTCATATTAATTAATTGACAGTTTATGATTTCTCTTATACATTTCAAATTGTTTATAATCTTGTTATTAAAATTCTAAAAGTATTTATTGAAATCAACTGAGTATCACAATTTTATCTCTCTAGAAAAAACCAACTTTTCTGAATAAAATGCCCTGTAACATGACCTCACATGATATCATGTGCATCTCATCAAATTCATGAACAGCTGGCTCTGCAGCCTGTATAACTCTGATATTAATCTTCATTCTTTTCTTTACAGATTTCTCTACTATATTTACATTCTTTATACTCTTCTCTACATTCATTACAACCTATACATTCATTAATATACTCTATTTATTATAGAAAAAACCAACTTTTCCATGCAAAAAACACTGTAATGTGATATCATATGCATTCTATCAAAAATATTTGAATGCTCTGACTCATACAGCTCAGATCAATCTTCAAATCTTCATTCTTTTTTTCATTCTGCTTCTTTCATACATTCTCTACAGTATTTACATTCTTTATACTCTTCTCTATGTTCATTTTGTCAAATGCTCTGTAACATGATCTCATGTGATGTCATGTGCACTTCTTTGAATTCAGATGGGATTGAACAGCTGGCTCTGCAACCTGTACAGCTCTGATTAATCTGATAATGATGATGAAGGTGATACAGAGTGGAAGAGAGTGATAAGGGTGATAGTGGTGGTCGGGGTGATAAGAGGGGGGTAGAGAGGTAGAGATAGAGAGTGGAAGTGGTAGAGGGGGCTGCGGGGCGGTAGGGACGGTGGTGGTGGTAGAGGGGGTAGAGGTAGAGAGTGAAAGTGATAGAAGGGCTGCGGGGCGGTAGAGGCGGTGGTGATGATAAAGGGAGTAGGGGGTGAAAGGGGTGGTAGAGGGGGTAAGAGGGGGTAGGGGTGGTAAGGGGGAGTAGAGGTGATAAGAGGGGGTAGGGGGGACTGCGGGGCGGTAGAGGTGGTGGTGGTGGTAGAGGGGGTAGGGGGTGGAAGAGGTGATAAGGGGGGTAGGGGTAGAGGGTGGAAGTGGTAGGGGGGGCTGCGCAAGCAGCAAAGCGAGCGTAAGCGAGCGTTTGATGCTTGTCAATATTATAAGAATATACTCCGTACGTTCTTCCCGTATGGATGTTATCAGTCAGCCAGCAAACAACACACTAAAAAGTCATGATTTACTTGCTAGAAGCCTGATGCATTTTCCCTCCGAGCGAGAATTTTAAGATAGGGGATTAAATGAGCTAGCAAAAAAACAAGTTATATCTTCGTATGAATTGATATCTATAGCTTATTATATTTCACAGGTTCTCTGTTATGTTGTGAGAAACCTCAGAGAAATAGAGAGTTAATATAAACTCAATTTTTGAATGGGTTAGATATCTATATATTTCTACTAAACAGTTTCCAAAAAAATAAATGAAAAGCAGAGCTAACTGCCCAGAAGAAGGAAAAAATTGCCAATATTAAATATTATATATATTCCACTGGCAACATATTTGCCTCGTAATTGGTTTATTATCCGGTACCTCAGCAGCTGAAGCTCGAGAAAATTGCCAAATCCCCTTATTTTAGCCACATTAGCACTGAACCCCCCTGGTGGCCAGAAAATATATTGTACCGAGAAAAAGAAGTGAGGGCCATTGTAAGCTTACAGGTAACATTGTCAGCGGAGATCGCAAAAAAGATCGCAGCAGTTTGCGACCCTGCCTCTCTCCTCCCTCGCCTCGTATGCCTGTTCCGAAGCTGGAGGGTGATACAACCCCACCCACATCGATCTTTTCGGGAGTTCTCTTTCTTAACCTCAGTATGCTAAATTGTGAAAAGCTCCCTGACAGCCTAGTTTTGGGAAATCTAGTGTTGAATGCACTTGTGTTGTGTTGAAGGTTCAGTTCTGTTGAAAAGATGGTGTGTATGTATATGTGTGCATTTGAACCAGCTTCGCAAAAGAAATCTGGATTTGATATCGCTAGGGGTGAATGCATCAAAGGGATACGGTGTTTTTATTAAGCTGGCGGCATCACACTTCTCAATCACGGAGGGGGTTTTGTTGAAATCGGGGTTTCAACCAGTTCGAATTTGAAAGGATTGTACGAGCAGGTCTCATTTGCTGTCAGGACCGGCTGCTGGGGGCCAGTCAAAACTGAAATCACAGAGAAACACGTATATTCCGTCCTCTAGTTGGATTCGTGATGAGTTATCAATGCCGTCTTATCAACGAAACATGACATCCCTTCGCGGAACGAAGAAGAATGTCCCGGGTGGGAGGATAATGTGGTAATAACATCAAACGCCGTTCGCATAGTTATATCACAAAGGCTGCATCCAAGCCGTGTCCTGGAAATAATCCGACATGCCCGGCTCATGCAGATATAGTTCACGCCACTCGTCTTCCATGTCCGTCAGGTCTTCCATCACAATTGGCCTAACTTGCTCGGAGTCACCGAATGAAAAGAGTTGCCGCCAATCCGCTGGCCCACCGGGTTCATTCGTCGTCTGATTTGCTACTTCGATGTGGTCGACGACGGCAGGTTGCTGAGCTGGCGCAGTTGTAGGAGAAGTTTTGATGACACGGTCCTCGAACGGAGGCTCAGTGGGTGTCCAGACAGTATTGTTGAGATGTGATGGGGCTGGTGGTTGATCCGTGTCTGGACTGGTTTGCTCAGAGTAATTTTGTTGGTGATCTGTGTCAGGGCTTGGGTGTTCGGAGTATTTGCGGTGCTGGTGATGGTGATCCGCATCCCTCGATTTGTAGGTGGAGTCTCGTATCTTGACATCCTGGATGTCACGCTGCAGGCGTTTTGAACTCTCAAATAGGCGTAGGATTGTTTCCGCATTGAGCCAGTATTCCGCGTGAATGCGAAGGGAGGCGAGCGTTGAATCAAATCGACGAAGGCCATTGATGGCCAATACAGGGTTTGAAAATCGAAGTTCCACCCGTACTTGAATCATTGCTGTGAATAGGGCATTGACTGATGAAATCCACAAATACTTGAGCCGATCCTTCCCTCTAAGATCCTCAAAGATAGAGACAATTACGCCAGCAGCTGCACTGCATATCTCAGCATCATTGGGGCCGTAATCATCTGAATATGCCGAAGCCCGAGGGTGAGGGCGGTGAAGCAAAATCAGGAAGTTATTATAGGTCAGATGGAGCAAAGCCGGCCACGAACCGGAGTCTGCGGTTGACATCCGAACTGAATCTGGGAGCATTAGCGACCAATTCGCGAGTGCTCTATCTGCCTCATTAAGAACAGCCTTTCGCCGTTCGGGACTAACTCGTAGCCCAAATCTTTCTTTCATGATGAATGATATCATAGTGCAAAGCTCGGTATAGTGTATCACATAATCAATTTGAACCCGGCTTCCGCAATCTTCGAAATCTGCCGCAGTAAGAGGCTCAACATCGGAATCTTCTAAGTTGCTGTTGCGTCGTTTGCCCTGGTTAGCTACCCATTCCCCCCCATATCGATAAACCTGAAGGGTACGAGGGGAAATTGAGAACGTACACAGCCTGTGGTCTTCCATATAACAATGATATCATGACGTCGAACTGAACTAAAATCCACCAAACCCTTCGCCACATGCGCTTATCGGTCGATACCATCCTGCTAGAGCCTGCATTGCGGTGCATTCCCAGACCTGTTGCGATTCTAGCCGCTACCCCAACCCAGTAGTGAGAGTTCGCGGAGACGTCATCGTCAACAGGATCGGAGTACCAGGTAAGTAGAAGAGCTGCTTGTACGAGAATATCCCTATTCCGTTCGACACGCGCGTCGAATAGTATCTTAGCCCGGCGGAAAAATGCTGTCTTGAGAGAATCACGCTGCGGCCGTGGACGAGACACATGGGCACCAACAACGAGGATGGCCTGAAGAAGTAATAGCGAAGGAGGATCTGAAGGATCTCGACCTTTGTATTGTGCCATAAATACGTCCTCGTCGATTATAGGACAGCCAGGGTTGACGTGGGTGAAGTATGCATCCACCAATTCATCTGCAAGCTGCTGGTCGGGAAGGACAAAGGTCTCTCGAGGAATATGCTCCAGGCTATTCTTCATACAGTGCTTCGAGATTTCATTTGCTGGGAAATGATAAACCTGATCATTTCGGTCGCTGTGCTGTTGTCGAAACAGAAAGTTTATGTTGGATACATCTTGGCCAACGTATATAACTCTGACGCCCGGCTTTATGGAACGGTGGTGGTCTTCCTCATCCAGAATTTGGACTAGGCGTCTCTCAAGCTGACGGGTGTCATCTTCATCGCCGTGTGAGTCATGAGTAAACCCTTCCAGAAACGGCTGTGGTACTAGAGGGTTTATGTCAGGCCCACTTAGTTTTGATGAAGGGACGTTCGATGAGGTTGGGGATGCAGACTGCGGTTGCTTGCTTGCGCTGGTAGCTGCACTATTCGTAGGTAAAGGGGCACATCGAATAGGAATCGGATGTCGAAGGGATCGAGAGAGCGTCCGTTTCTTCTTCTCGTGAATGCGGCAATCGCTCTTCCCCGACGAACGGCAATTGGAGCAGGGTATTCCATTCCGCGCATCGCAGCGGACTTTCCTTTGGTGGCAATGGACACAAGCAGCGGGGCCTAAGTAAGGTGTGTCAGTTGGGATAATATAATAAGTAACCTTAGGAAGGAGATACACAGTATGGAAGACCCGGCGTCGGAAGAAGCGCCGTTCGGTGTTCTGAACGAATAGGAGATTGATGTGAAGGCAATAAAGGGGGACCGTTTCCCACTTACGCTTCCGCTTCAGCGCCCCCTCAGCAGCAGCTTGTGGTTTGTCGTCGTTAGATGACATGATGGGAACACGTGCAATGGCTCAGCTTCCCCCCCAGGATATTATATACCCTCCCAGTTGTCAAGAGTTATTCAACCAGTCCTTTCCATCGTAACTAACATTGCGAGGGGAAAGGAAATGACACAAAAATAAATGATTATTGCTCCAGCAGCAGATTCCAGGCTTCCCAGCCTGGAGTAACTAAGCGTCTCACGTGGACCCCGGCTGATGATTAAAAGCTGGCTTGGAGTCGCAAGGCGTGGAGCGGGCTGGATCTTATCCACCCCCGGCCTCACTTTAGTCCGGTGCGACTGCTGCCAGCAGGGTCCTAGTGATTCCCGCGGCTAAAGCTAACTAACGGTGGGGAACTCTGGGGAGAAGGAAATAAGAAGCACATGGCTGGTGGCAGAAGTATGGAGGTGCATTGGAGAAGAGAACATCACGACTGCTACTTGCTACTACTACTACTGCTAACTGCGTCAGTCGCAGGCTCGCAGGCAGGGACAAGGAACGTCAACAATTAGATTGCCTTTTCATGTTTCACAGAGCCAGGTCTGGCCAGTTCTGGTTGGCCCGGATCCAGAGTCTAGCCTTGAACAAGCATTGTTCAGACCGAGCTTGGAGAGTGTGTGCCTGGACCTTAAAAAAATACATACATATATAAACATTATTATTCTTCCCAGCTTGCTCTTCCTCTATTTGATGAGCCTCTAGGCCCATCAGGAATAATAATATATTCTAAAGAATTTAATGTCCTCTCTGACCACCTGTAGCCCGGTGCGTACGTACTGTACTGTGGCTGGACTAGGGAAGGTGAAGAAGATCCAGATCTACCGAAAATGGCCATGCCCAACCTTTTCTAAGCGGCCCGTGTTCCCTTCTAAATCAGTTCAGCTCTGTCACATTATTATTGACGCTTTCTTCAACTCTTCATCCTGCACTTTACTCGGATACGCGCGCACTGGCGGGGTGGGGGAGGAGGATTTGGGTTACTATGGGTATTTTATAATATTATTATTATTTGCCTCCCACTCCGCCCTCCTCCACAGCTTCAGAACAAAACCCCAGCCAATTAAATTATTCTTTCTCCCCCCACCCAGCCAAACCCCAGAGCGGGTTCCAAATGAGCTCAACACATGTGGACGCAGCCCAGACTGAAACACTCCGCAGCGTACATCGCCAACAACCGTCTGCTGATCTGTTTAAGTCGCCTCGTGCAGGAGGGAAAATGTTTTCTTTTTCTTTTTTTTTTTCTTTTTTTTTTTTTTTTTTTTTTTTTTCTTTTTTTTTTTTTTTTGTTGTTGTTGTTGTTCCATGCAAGCCGCCCCCATGTGCTATGCTATGACCCAAACTAAAAGGGAAAAAAAGAAATCAAAAAAAGAGAATTGCTTTTGTAGTTTGATCATTTTACGCTATCTGTGGCCAATGTGGCCTTGTTTCCTCGTATCTTCCACGAAAAGCATTCCGTTGGAATACTGGTTGACTCATGGGGCAGGCTCGGACTATTATTAATTGAAACTCATTAGGCGCATGGAAAGGCCCCTCCATCCCTCTCGTGATGGTGGGTGGGTGTGTATGCCCGCCCTCCGAGGTTAGCCATGAAATCCATCCCGAATCGATGATCGGGAGTGGAGGTGACTTGCGAATTCTACTAATATTTTGTAACTAGTTACCGTACGCTATTACGCATATGTTCAACGTCGTTCAACAACCAATTGGAAAAGGCGGTAGGCTTTGAGCTAAACTTTATTCGGTGCACTTAAATTAAAAACGCTGCCGCTTAACCCTCAAGCCAATTCCCAATCTGGATTAGCAGAGGTTAGGTGTGAGTCAATAAAAGTTAATGGTTGGGATTAATCAGATATGATTCGGAGGATTAGGGACCGGGGTTAGTTATCAGATCAGGGAGGATAGGAAAGGCACTAGCAAATGGTCATTGGCCAATGCAAAATGTGCCGAACAGTACTCCGTACGGAGTAAGCTGTAAGGGCCTGTTCGGTGCGTCCGTACTTTTTGAACGCAATAGTGGATCTCATTAAAAATAGTATATTTACCAATTATTAGTAGCAAGCCGGCGTTGTGGGATGGAGAAAGGAAGCTCACAAAAACACCTTCTTTTTGAATGGAGTCCAGAGTCAGTTCAAAAAGAATGTGTTTTTGTGAGCTTCCTTCTAATCAATATTAGTTAACTACCTCCACTATGAATGCTATTCTACACTATATTGCCTCTAAAAGTGCTATTCTACATCATCATACACCGTTGAAGTTAAATACTGCTTATTCATAAGATCTTGACAAGAGATGCAAGTACAGCTGCTCAATCCACCAAACACCTGGCCATTTTCATCTGTACTTTGTAAAAAGCAGCTGTATTATTAGTACAAGATGCTCTTTAAAAAAAGTGGAGATCGTACAAAAAGAACGAGTACACACGGACGCACCGAACAGGCCCTAAAGTTAGTTAAGTTATCCAGCCGAAAATTGGGCCCATGACCTTGCGCCGCTTGCTTGCCTGCTGCAGGGTTGGTTTGGCTCGGCTGTTGCCAACCCTCCCTGGTCGCTTTTTGGAGATTTCTTTTTATATACGGAGTAGATTCGTAATAAATAATATATAACTTAGCTCTCTCAGTCCTCAATCATGATTCACACTTCCATCCACAACGTTGTATATAGGCTTTGAACATAACTAAAGCTTAGTTTCTTAGCGGAATCCCAGTTCCGCGAAAAAGCTCCCCCCCACTTCCCACCAAAACTTTTTCCACCCATATCCGTCCCCGCCCCCTCACCAGGAACGAAGAAGAAAACCTCGCATTGCCCACACCATAGTTCTTTTTGCTCACTAGACCCTATTCCCCCATAAGTCAACAAAACAAGTAAAAAATAAACAATAAAAAAGAAAAAAAGAAAAGACCTCAAAGACCAACTCATTCCCACTGAGGCAAATTTCCCCCATCCCTCACCAGGAACGGCCCCGATTGACACCGAGATCCAAAGCAACCATGTCTCCCCCAGCTGCAACTGACTCTCATGCTCTGAAAAATGGAACCCCAGCCGAGCAATTGACAGTCGACGGCGTGCCCACCCTGCGGGCTAAGGGTGAGATGCCAACTGGCGTCGCCGCTTTTTCCAGTAGTGATATGTTTAAGAGTGCTGTGAGTCAAAACTTTTTTTTTTTTTTCTATCTACTTCGTAAATTGAGGGTGGTCCCAATGGAAGAAGAATTTTTGGGAATTTTGCCCACTCCCAAAATAGCTCCAGGCGGAAGAAAGGCTTTCAAAAGCTAGATGAATTGAAAACTATGATAGTTAGAAACAAATGAGAAATTCTCATCCACTAATGCCTGGGAAATTTATTTCCTGTTTTTTTTTTTTTTTAGGCGTGCTTCGCTAAACCGAAAGCGAAACGCTTCGATCGTGAGTTTGTGTTATATATTGTCCGCCGGCCCCCAGTGCAGTTGAGTGTCCTCTTTATAGGATTAACATGATGTTGTTTTATTCTACATGTAGATCTTCTATCCACTGAAAGCAAAGCTCGAAAGGTAAGCTTGATGCAGCCCTGTTGTTTGGAACTGCGATGACGTCGCATGCATGATCTTAAATATTTACCTTGGGAACGGGGAATAGGGCTCGTCATTGAAACAAGCTGCTCAATATCTCAAGACACCCGGTATGGTCACTCGAATAAAGTCCACTTTGTTATACACCCCCCCTTCCAAACCATTGAAAAGAAGAGTGAATTCAATATCTAATATCTACAATCTAGGCCTGATCTCGTTGGGTGGCGGTCTTCCATCATGCGAATATTTCCCCTTCGAATCCATCTCCATGAAAGTTCCCACCCCGCCGCATTTCTCAGAAGAGGATACGGTCAAGACGGGAAAGGTTGTGACTGCTGGGAAATACGATATACGGGATGGGAAGAGCGAATATGGTATGTCTTTGAAAACCCCTTTCGCCGTTCCCCATTCCTTCGTCCGGGCCCTGTGACGCCCGAGAAGGTGATCGCAGGGGACTCCCACGGAACGCCCATATAGATAAATCCGCCCCCATTGGCGTGGTTCCTCGACTGACCTTTGGTTTTTCTCTTTTTCTCTTCTTCTTCTTTAAAGATTTGGAGATAGCTCTGAACTACGGCCAGTCAAATGGCGCAGCCCAGATGTTACGTTTTGTAACTGAACATACGGAGGTAGGAAATGCGTCAGACCTCAAAGGGATGGATGTAAATCGGTACACGCAAGAAGCTAAATCCAATGATAGATAGTCCATAACCCTCCATACGCCGACTGGCACTGCTGTCTCTCCGCCGGAAGCACGTCAGCTTGGGACATGGCATTGCGCATGTTCTGTGAGCGGGGGGACTACATCATCACGGAAGAGTATACATTTGCGACAGCTCTAGAGGCAGCAGCACCCTTGGGCATCCGCGCAGCCGCTGCCAAGATGGATGACCAAGGCCTCCTTCCCGAATCACTCGACGAGCTGATGACCGGCTGGGACGAGGCCGCAAGGGGCGCCCGCAAGCCTCACCTCCTCTACATCATTCCCTCCGGTCAGAACCCGACCGGCTCCACCCACAGCGCCGAGCGGAGAAAGGAAGTCTACAAGATTGCGCAGAAACATGATATTTTCATCGTTGAGGACGAGCCGTACTATTTCCTGCAAATGCAGCCGTATAAGGGGGCGGGGACCCCGCCTGACCCGCCGCCTGCTAACCATGAGGAGTTTTTGAAGACTCTGATCCCATCCTATTTGAGCATCGATGTTGACGGGCGCGTCTTGCGGCTGGAATCGTTCTCTAAAGTCATCTCCCCCGGGTCAAGAACGGGGTGGGTTGTCGGCTCGGAACAGATTGTCGAGCGCTATAATCGACATTCCGAGGTGTCCACGCAGAACCCCAGCGGCATGGCGCAGATAATCCTCTTCAAGCTCCTGGATGAGAGCTGGGGGCATAAAGGGTATCTTGATTGGTTGATCAACATCCGAATGGCGTATACTGCTCGGAGGAATAGTATGCTGGAGGCGTGCGAGAAGTATCTTCCGAAAAGTGTGGCGAGTTGGAATCCCCCCGCTGCTGGGATGTTTGTAAGTTCAAGTTGTCTCTCAAACTACCCACCCCCCGGCGCTCCCCCATTATAAAGAGTTGTAGTATGGTAATAACTAACGGTGATTCCTACCTTCCTTTCTTTCCAAATAGCATTGGATCAAGGTAGACTGGCACAAGCACCCGGGTGCTCGCGAAGGCAAAGACCACGCCGCCATCGAGCACTCCATCTTCAAAGCTACCATCGCGGAAGGGGCGCTTGTCTCTGCCGGCAGCTGGTTTGTAGCAGATCGCTCTATTCCGGAGACGGACATGTTCTTCCGGGCTACCTATGCTGCGGCTCCTAGCGACAAGATCGAGGAAGCCATCAAGCGGTTCGGTATCGCGTTGAGGGCTGAGTTTAAGTTGGAATAAATTGGCCTTGTCTGGTTCCTCGGGATTTGATGAAGCGCGAGGATGAGGATCTAGGTTGACTATTTTTTTTTTTTTTTCCAGCTTATTCGTTCATAGAAAGCGCCTGTAGAGGATGCATTTGGCATTTTTTTACGGTTTGGAATAGGATACTACCCTTATCTAGACAATATGTCATGAATTATTTAAAATGGTAGTAAGCATCTGATTCTCTATCATACCATTCCCAATTACTCTTCTCATATCGTGGAACAACAGATAATTCCATGTGTGGTCTATTCGCAATTCACTCCACCTGAAGCATCTTAGAAAAAGAAAATTCTTCTCCTTCCAGTAGTTAACTTGGCTAGAAAGTAATTCCATCCTTTCAGTGTAGAAACTAAATATATACATACATACTCGCTAAGAGTTTAAGGATTCTAAGATTAAAAGAAAGAACAAAAATCCCACTCTAACCCTCATCCCATTCAAATTGTCATCATACACACATCCCCCTTGCAACGAGAAAAAAGCCATAAACTTATCCTCACCAAGCTCCCTCCTCCCTTCCCCGCCCTTCACCATCTCCACCCCTCCTCACGCACCAGTCCGCTTCCCCCCCTCCCCTCCTTACCCAAACTAGTACCATCCCGCACCGTCCCGCCTAGTCCCTTCACTGTATCGCCCACGCCCTCAGTTACACCTCCCGCCGTACTTCCCAGCCCCTTCCCAGCCGCCCCGACGGTCTCACCGGCTGTATTCAGGGTGCCGCCTACTAAGTCCTCCGGCGGTTTTAGTCACGCCGCCCAGGACACCGCCGCCACTGCCATTATTGGTGGCTTGTTGGTTTTGGGTGGAGGATTGGATTGGATTGGGGTTGGGTGCGGTCAGTCATTTTGGGCAGAATGTGAGAGAGAGTGGGTGTGTCGTTTTAGGTAGAATATGAGGAGATATATATAAGATATATAAACTTCGTTTAGATGAAGGATTCAGTTAATTAGCCAGCTGATAACCATGATGGACAAGCTGCAGAAATCATGTTTCTTCTACATCATGAAGTTTGATAATGAGTGATGCCCAGTTCAATTATTGTTGTGGTGATAAAGAGTACATTCAAAGAGTGACATATTTCATTTCCATTGCCCATTTGCAGGCTCACCAAATAGATAACAATTGGGACTACTTTTGCAGCTGGTCTCGTATCCAACTGGCAACATGGCAACATGAAGGTTGTAGAGCGACCGGCAGCATTGACGCTAACCGAAGCTGGGAACCAAAGAGACGACCTGGGACTAACCAAATCAGGGCAATTGCCCCGGACCGGATGAGGAATCCTAGATCGGATTAACTGAGGGCCGATGATCTGGCCTGATATCTCGGGCGTTAAAAAGGGGGGGGGGCGGCGGGAACGGGGAAGCACGAACAACACATATTTGTTCAGATATTTTCTCCATTTTCTCCATATGGGTGGATTTTCCCCGTCAATTCCAGACGCGGGTTAACTTAAGTTAGGCGGAAGGAGGAGTTGTATTTAATTTTTAATTTTTTTAATTTTTAATTTCTTTTTTAATTTTTTTTTTTTTTCATATATATTCCCATCTCACTTTTTTGGAAATTTTTTCCTCCTTTGCTTCTCAATCTGGTAAGTTTGATATTCCGCATTACTACTGTTTAGTACGCAAATGTACTCACTCATATTCATATTTCAAGACTCTTTGTAAATCTTGTGGACTGTGTTCCCTGGCTTTGTAAGTATGCTGGCAAATTCAGCATACTTTTCTCATATTCTCTCTCTCATATTATACCCGGCAATCATTAGGCCCACGCTGGTTTGTAGAGTTTCAAAGTTTGTGCTCTTCACTAACTGTTCCAGCGTTATCAGATCTCCTCCAGATATTGGGCTATCATATATCTCTTATTCCATTACCTCCTAAACCAGAGATTAGTGCTATTGTACCTGGAATCTAATCCCTTACCTAGGTATTCTCTCCGTGTCCCTAGGTGGAGTAGAGACAGTTTGTCTGTCTTTGTACTGCTTGTTTATTGCTCCTTGACCTGCCCACCAGAGGAGCATTTTGCTACAAGTAAAACAAAGAGTATCCTGCATGCACGACTAGATAAATCCAGTTCACAGTTATCAACTGTTTTTAGACTAGTTTTCTCGGCAGGAGGCAAGGGATAACATATAAATAACTCCGTCTTGGTAGTTCTATCTTCTTCATCCTGACATGACACCTGTGCAGAGTGCAATCTAGCCTGTTGGGAAGCTCCTGACACTACTACCAGTCTGCTGTCTGAACATAGGTAAATGTCCATTCTCCGTTTTTCTTGGGCATGCTTTCAACTGTATTGAATAGCTGTTTCAGAGAGTACAAAATTTAATTGTAATGGGAATTGCTAACGAGAATGGCTGAGAAGAAGCTGGAGCTCAAAGTTGACCGTAAAGGACGAGCGTACATAAACTGCGGTGCTTGAGCCAGGAGAAACTCGCGGAGATACTGCTCACCTGGGTAGATAGCTTCATCTGCCAGAACAGAGCTCAACTCCGGCGTCCCCGTAAGTGTTGTTTATTTACTTCCTCCCCCCCAACCCCCTTTTCAGTCTTCCATCCTCCTCCCACTTGCCCTCATCAAGCACTCATGAAGCCCATTTCTCATGGCCATTTCTCATTGTGTGCATGATTTCCTACACTCGTCTTGTCCTATATCGGGTTGCTCACTAGAATGGCGCCTCCAATTAGCCGTGAGAGGCGAAATGCCTGCTACGGGTTCGACTTTGCCCCTGTCTTGTTCCTTGCATTTTTCACCATTTTCCTCCTCTTGTGTGTCAATCAACGAACTGACGTGTCTACTGCGTTTAGCGATCAATTCCAGCCTATTCTTACACGCGGATTAAACAGCAGCCAACGCGATATCCGCGCCGCAAGCGCATATTTTCATCCCGACGCTGTCAATCAATCGGGTGTCACTGACTCATCAAAGAGTTCAGACGTTTCTAGCGTTTATCCAGAGCAGTTTGAGTCCTCGCAGCCGCAACTTGGAGAGGGTTTAGCTCGTTCGAGATCTGATTCATCAGGCTCCTGGGAAGACGATATAGTCCCTGAGACTGAATATTTTGAAGGAGACGATCCTGAACCTAGAACTGACGTCTCAAACAACTATCAGCAGCCTTCTGGTCCAGCTTTTTCTGACGAACATATCGATTCCGTTCTAGGTCTTTGGGAACGAAGATCACAAAGGTAGGATATAGAACTTTATATTCGCCTGAACTGGCCTGATAAATTATAAGCTGACTTAGTTTTCAAACCTTAGTCCCACACAAAGCCATATCTCGTCTGCTGTTGAGACATTTCCATCATTTGATTCGAGATCGAATCACCAGGGACTTTACGAAGCAAACTTACGCGGTAATAAGTTACCGTCTTTCGGCACTGGTCCCACTTCATCTTTTTCTTCCGGTGCCCCTAAAACACCGCAAAGGCCTCCATCTTCCTCAGATACACTCCATCTATCTGATTATTCTGCTAGCCCTCCAGCCTCGCACGCCAACTTTTCGAATTCGTCAACTTTATTCCGGCATCGGGCTCTATCTCAGCAAGCTGCCTATGGTTGTCCTCAACTTACTAGCCCGTCATTTGAAGACCAGCATAATCCATCTCCAGACGTATATAAAATCTCCTTTGATACCCCACCCCAGTCAAAGTCATTTAGAAGGAGACCTTTCCTAGATTTCTCTTCGCCTCATCAATCATTTAGCTCAGAAAATCAGCCTCCCGAACGGCCGTGTGACCTTCCAGGCCCGGATAAACGTCGCAAGTCAAAGCCAAAAAGTAATCGAGGAAAAACCCCTTTACCAAGCCCGCACGATTTCGCAACATTCAACAAAAGGAATCGTTTTGATCCGTTGAGCTTTATCCCGGGAAAAGAAAGTAGAAATAGCAGTCTACCAGGGAGCACTCCTGCTTCATCATCATCAGCTTTCAGCCCACCGTATGAGAAGTTTCCCGATTGTCCTAAAGGCCATTCAAGTGCCCAACCCAGCGATACTACCGACAACCGCGATCCCATCGAAAAATACTCTGTCCCATATTCAGAGTTACCTCTCCAGTCAGCCTCAGTAAAGAGAAAGCCTAGGCGAAGCCTACGTCTTGCTCTGTCCCTGAAAAAGATTCTCACCCCAAAGCACAAGACCGCCAGCAAAGACGAGCCTACTTCCCCTCCGCTGCCAACCCAGGCGAGCAAATCTACTACTGACGCCGAAGAAGCGTGGTTTGAAGGGGTTATTAAACAACTACAGGAGGATTGCGCAGAGCAAGAAAGGTACCGTGACGCTATGGATTCACGACATCTTGATCCGTCATCAGCCATGGTGGCCCTCACCAAACAGAAGGCCGAAGCCATGCGATTAGCACGGGAACAAGGCGCTGCTGTCAAGGAAATGTGTCGAAGAGCAAAAACAGAAATGCCCCCGTATCAATTTGAGGAGCTTATTGGAAAAGGGGCTTATGGAAGAGTGTATAAAGGGTCTGTGATCCTGCTTAGTTTTGACCGACTCTTTTCGTCTATCTGCATTTTAGTTCTTTGAATTTAGTCCTACTAACCATGCTTATTTGAGATACAGTCGCCAACTTTCAACACAGAAACTCGTCGCAATCAAGGTGCTAGAAATAGATACGCTGGATTATAAAACAGTGCGGGATTTTAGAGACGAGTCTATCAAAGACTTTATACGCGAAACGAATATCATGAAGCAGGTCAAGGATGCTGGGGCGAAGAATATCAACATGCTTATTGAAGCTTTCTCAATTCATTCCCAGCTTTGGCTTATCTGCGAGCATTGCCCAGGTGGAAGCGTCAAGACTCTTGTACGTGCTTGATCTTTCTCTCCCCCCCTCCCGCACTCTCTCTTTTTCTCTCATCCCATTTTCCATTAAGTTCCCATGAATCGGGTTTAATCTGTAATGCCAGGGCTTATCTTTGGGCCTGAGTACTAATGGACGCATATTAGATGCGAGCAACTGGTGATAAGCTAGAGGAACGATTCATAATTCCAATTGCAAGGGAGCTAGCGGAAGGTCTCAGGGCCATTCATGACGCTGGCATTATTCACCGTGATGTCAAAGGTTTGGACAGAGTCTTCTTTATGTCGTCCAGTACAGCACTGTCAAACTAATGATTGTGTTCGCAGCTGCCAATGTCTTGATTCACGAGGAAGGCCATTTACAGATCTGTGACTTCGGAGTCGCTGGTGTCCTCCAGAGCAAGGTAGACAAGCGCTCCACATGGATTGGGACTCCACACTGGATGCCGCCTGAGATGTTTCCGAACAGGGCAGGGCCCGAGACGCATCAATACGGAAGCGAGGTGAGTTGGTCTTACTAGGCTGGTTTTGGATTACTCAGGCTAATATTAACTTGACTAGATCGATGTTTGGGCATACGGATGCACCCTATTTGAGTGTGCTACTGGCAATCCGCCAAATGCAACCCTAAGAGAGCGGATGCAAATTGGGCGTCAACTTAACAGATTCCCGCCAAAGCTGGAGGGAGATAGATTTTCAGACAGCCTGCGCTCATTAGTGGCATTTTCACTCGATTCTGATCCAAAAGTGCGCCCTACTATGCAAAGTATCCTTCAACACCCTTACATCGCTAACTCTACGGAATCCCACCCAACCTCTTCCCTGAGCGAACTGGTGAAGATATATTACCAATGGGCTCAATGTGGTGGTCAAAGAATATCGCTATTCAACCCCGGAGGCGCTGCTGCTGCCGAGTTTCCGGAGGGAGACACTTTAGATCGCGAGGACTGGAACTTCAGTACGACGGATGGATTTGAACGGCGATTCTCCCTGATAGACCTGGATCAACTTTCGGCATCGTTAGCAGATCTCGAGAATGAGATGGTACCCACCGTACCCGAGCCGTCTAGCGACTACTTTGACGAGAATAAGGATACCGAGTTGAGTGCACAGGATAAAGCCAACTTCGACGAGCGGGTCAAAAGAGGCGCTGCGGCAATGGAAGGTCTTTTTAACGAAGACAAACCGGGTTATAAATATGAGACCAAGAATGACTTTGTCCCCGTTCAGTCAGAGCAGCGATTCTCCTCTGATCTCCCTCTCCGAACAGACACTGACAGATCCTCGGTTACGTCTACTTTCATTGACATCAACCTTGGAGTCTTCGACTCTGCGCATTACGCAGCAGGCTCAGCATCCAACCATCCTCCATTCCAACTTGCTGATGCAGATACAATCCGTGCAAACCGGTCCAGCAGCAGACTCATGCGGAATTCAACTACAAGCAGTGACTCTGGTGAATACCAACCACAGCGCGGGCCCCGACCCCCAACCATGGAATGGACTTTTCCCTCCAGTATGGCAACTGGCACAGATGCCTCCAGCCACGACGACGAGCCTGGCCCGGACATTGAACAACCACATGAAGAGAAGCGGGATACCCGAGCATGGACTTTCCCAATCATGACCGCAGAAGAGGAAGCTCCGCACGAAGAGCCCAACGAATGGGCTGATGGTGGGAACGCTTCATCGCGCCGTATCGAACCCGATGACGAAATGACAATGAAATACCCCCCGCTCCGGTGCCCAGCATACTCACAGCCTCCTGCTGACGGGCCGCCCGACTCTCGACCCTCAACCGCAACATCCACCCAGTCAACTATGTCAGACGCGGATAACGATCCCTTCCGATTCGACAGACCTGTCACCCCTCCGGGTGAGGGCGAGGATGTGGTTGTTGATGATCTGCAGAATGCCTTTTACACCACGTCCTCCTTAGATCCGTTCCCCTCGATCACCGACTCCGCCATTTACACGGACTTCGACGAAGGCACGCACCGCTCGATACACAGCTACTCGGAACTCCATGGCCCGTACCATGAAGACAACATAGCTAGTGGTGAGAGCGCGCTTGAGGGCCCCGGGGGCCAGGGTGGTAGGGCAGAAGGTGCTGATGCTCACGCCAATGGGCACGGTGGCGGCACTGGTGTTGGTGACGACGATGATAATGAAACAGAAAGGAAATCTGTTATAGAGTCGAACATGGCGCATTTGTCTTTCCCAATGCCTGTTCCTCCGAGCACGGAGAGTCTGATGCAGGGCGCGAGTGATGACGTTGTTGAGCGGGAGCTAGATCGGCTTTTGGCAGATTTCCTGGACGGTCTGGCGGTTACTGGAGAGGCGCTTGTGAGGACGGATGTAGGGAGGGGTAGACGGGGTGATGCTGGCTACAGTAGCGATGGGAGCTTTAGGGGCAGTCGAGCAGAGCAGGGGCAGGAATCGGAGATGGATGATTGAGGTGATGATGGTTGGTGCGATTTTTACCGAACATGAATCTTGCGGCAATGGTTTTTCTTCTACTTGAAATATTTTCGCCTTGTGGTCTCAATTTGTTCTGATTTTCTACGATTTGATGGGATACCGCCTGGGCTTACCTTACGAGGAAGGGCGTGATTGCTTCATCGAGCCAACAATGGCGTTTTCAATATGTGCAGGATGTTTATGTGCAGGATGTTTACGTTCGTCAGTTGATTGTTAGGGATGGATGGACAATGTGGGATGTTTTATTTTTCAGTGTATTTCAATTCAGGGAAGAACTGTCTGTCTCTTTTGCGCTAGTTTGATGATTTTGAGCCTACCTACCTGCGAGATGGGATATGGCGTACGGAGCACATCGGATTGAGACAAGCTTGAAATGGGAAATCAATAAAAGTGAGAGGGAACAGGAAAAAAGGAAAAAGGAAAGGAACGAAGAGATAACTAGGAGTTAGTAGTATATTTTAGATGCAGGAATACCAATTGTCTACCTTTACAAACAAGTATGGATTATTGCTTAGTATATTGAGTCCACTAGAGTTATAACACCACCCAGGACCCCCCCGCATAACCTCCAGATATTCGATCGATGATGCGTCGAGTCGGTGTTGGGCGCGGGGGCACCGCTGATCAAGCTTGGCAAACAGATAAGAACCTACGCGTTCTATCTCATACCTCTTTGATCCTGTCCCCGATCAACAGCCAGGATCGAGCGAGTTTGCAGCAGCAAGAGAAACCCATCGAATTTCTCTTTAACAGCCATTTATGCCAAGTGATTGTACGGTAACTACTTAGTTACTTATTTAGGTAACTAGGCGGTTAAATGCTGTGAGACAGGTTTAGCATGTTCATTTAAATAGTATTCTCTCACATCATAAGGTATCCTACTCATCCCCCACTCGATCATTCTTCAGTCTATCAACATATATACTCACTTCACTCCCCAGAGGAATCTTTATGGAGCATAAACCATATTTCTGTGCCACCTCATGTGGTCCCTTTCAGACACACGCTCTCCTATGTATCTTCTCTCTCCCTCTCCACATGCAGGAGTAGAGGAGTCACTCCGTTGTCGCATGCAGCCCATGCACCTGCGCCGTGTACCCTGTGGTTGTCCATGTCCACTGATGCGGCATGGGGAGGCTACCTGCATATAGTTACAGGTTAATGCATGCGTACTCCGGAGTAAGAGAGCTATTTCCTTCTTGTTTGCATGGTCAGATACGGCGAGGTCCGCCTCTTAGCGGCCAGGGCAAATGGGAGATTCTTTTTTTATCTTTTTTTCTTTCTTTTTCCTTTCTTTTTCTTTTTCTTTTTCCCTTTGCTTCCTTTTTGGAATGTTTCATTATCCTCAATCGGTTGCCACCCGGAGATATTGCATTCATTCTGTGTCTCTCTCTAGTTGGTTATACGTTGTATTAAACGGTATATATATCCCTTCCTATATCAGAGTTGTGTTTGCCGTGTTATGAGTTTATTGCCAAAATACCACGGATAAATTCTTCTCTCTCGCTCTCTCTCTCTCATTTTCATTTTCTGTTTGTTTTTATTCCTAGTTTGAGAATGGAAACCGGGTTCTTTAAGACTTCTTTATTATTTATACTTTGGTTCCTTGCATATTCAGGGCAAAAAGAAGTGTAACAACTTTTGCTTGCGGGTGCATGGAAATAGAAAGCAAAAGGCAAAAGGCGCTCGCTGCATCGAACTTAGTTACCTCATTCTTCTTCATCTTCTTTGTTTTTTCTCCGTCTCGGATTCTTTCTTTGCTTTTTTCCCCTCAATTGCTTCAAAAACTTGTTGCTGCAAGTTCCAGCCTTATTATTGATTTATTCATTTCATCATAGGTTAAGCGGGGCATTGTTTTTTTCTTGCTCGTTTTCTCCCTCAATCCCTATCATCAAGCTGCCCTTCTCATTTATCTACCTTACTTACTCAGCTAACATGCAGAACAAGGGAGATTATTTCTACTCATGAAAGAAGTCCTGAAGCTACGCAAATGTACTACTGTTTGTTGGGTTCCAACAATGCTGTTGCTATAGTTGTTGCTGTAGCTGCATGATATACTGTTGGCCTCTCTCTCTGTCTGTCTCCCTTCCCACATACAACACAACACCTCAACCGCTTCTCCTGGCTGCAGTGCCTCTCTCTTTATCCCCATCTCTTATTTTTTTTTCTTCCATTCCCTTTCTCACGGTTGCATTTGCTATACATTTTATACTCAACTGTCTGTTTCATCTACGGGTTCAATGCCAATCTCATCACCCAAGTATTCCAATAATTACCCTGTGGATATGACGCTACGCTCGTTCCTTATCTAAATCCTTTTATTGTTTCTTTCGATCTTTGGAATCTTTTCTCCTCGCCTATATTCGCGTTACACCATGTCTCCATCGATTTCCGACTCTTTTGTCGTGCAGAGAAGTAGTACCCATGCTCTTCAGCTCTCCAAGCCGTCGGAGCAATGGAAGCTCTCCCTCCAGGAGGTCAAACTCCTCTACTTGCGACGTCAATACAAACAATGCGCCGCCACATCTACAAAATTTCTCCGCCAAATGGATAACCAGGTCAGTTATCTCTATGCGCTCTATGCGAAGTGGAAGTTCATACTAAGTAATCTGTTTCCACAGCTCCATGCAATCCATAAAGCATTCCTCCATTATTATAGTGCCATCTCCTACGAAGCACTGGGAAGAGGCGCTCATAATTACTCGAGCAACAAACTTCCACTGCTTAACTTAGCCAGAGATAACTTCACTGCATGCAAATCCTCCCTCACAGTAGCTCTACCAGGGCCCGTTGAGAAAAAACAACACCCGCCACCACAACAGCAACGGCGGAAACTCAACAACAGGAGTCGCGAACACGTGTTGAGGAACGACAAGAGGAAAACATATCCCGTAGTATCACCTACAAAAACCTATCGCGATGCACCTACACTTGTTGAAAACGGAGCTAGCTACCATCATTCTCCGTCAACGGCGCCAGCTCAGCAATCTACTTCTCCTCGCCCGTCCACTATGGTGCCACGTCAGGGACCGCCAGGAAATAGAGAATTCATGCCGTTACCACTTCGCATTCACAAAGTCTGCCATAATGGCTATGGCTATTACCAAGATCAATTAATAGAATACGACCCGCCGTCTTTACCTCCCCCAACGCGCCCACTACCCGAGCTTCCGCCAGAGGCCAATCACACTCCGCTCCCCAGCGCTGCAAAAACCACCACCCATGATGAGCCACAGACGGTATCAACCGTGCCGCTATTTCGACCCCTCGCTCCACAGTTCTACAGACATTCCATTGGATTTTCCACCGCTTCTCCTCCCACGTGCGGCCCCAGACGCACAGGCAGAAACAGTACCATCATCCACCAACCGCAAGCCAGCGCGAACTCCATATTCCCCCTCCCGCAAGACTCCCCGCTCATCCCGCTCATCACCTCCCTCTGCACCCAACTCGACGCGAACATAAATTCCATCTGCACACTGATATCCCGGACCCTGGACCTGCAGCGCGCCCACAACGCGAAGAAGAATAACCGCCTCGCCTCCTTCTGGAGCTTCACGCCGACATATGACGACGAGAACGTCATCGCCAATGACCCATTCTACAACCACGACAACCATGATAAATATGACAATGGCCGGTATGGCGCCGCCACGACCACCACACAGAGTACCAACTCCGCTTCCACTTCCACTGCCACCACCGGCAGCTCCTACAACGGCAATGGAAAAAACACATCACCACCACCCTCCTCCTTCTCCTGCTCTTCTTCCTCCTCCTCATCCTCCTCCTCCTCCACATCACCGCCATCATCATCATCATCATCATCATCATCAAGCACCGACGAAACGCGCCAGCAGCGCATTGCCCGCCTAAAAGCCGACGGGTGGACGACGGTTGGCCTCCGGTCGAAGAAACGCGGCTGGAAGGGCTCGGAATATTACGAGCGCGTGTGTAATGAGGCGTTGGCAGAGCTTTATGGGAATGGGAGTGGATGTGCTAATGGCAGTGGTCACGTTCGATGATGAGGATGAGAATGGGGTCGGGTTTGGTCGGGTCGGGTCGGGTCAGGGTCAGGGTATGTAATATTATTCATTATGCTTTGTTATGTTTCAGTCTGTGAGGAACTATATATGGCCATGGACGGTGGGATTGATTGATTATATGTGGAGTTCTGTTTTATATTTTAAAATTGCTCCTTTTCTTAAGTTCTTTTGCTCCAATATTTTTCTTCTTTTTTTTTTTCTTCAATTATACGAGTTCCTGGCTGTGACGGACATATCATATACGACTGACTGACTCTCTTTCATTATTTGCCGGGCATTTCTTTTCTTCATCTCTGTTTGTCCTCACACCATTCTGATATTTCAGAATTGTGTTCTCGTCACTCTTTCTTCGTCCTCTTTTTTAATTTTAACCATACCTCCGAATACTATAAATAAATACTAAACCCCAATTTGCTAAAACCTGCTGTGGTAATAATAAGTCTTTGTTGGCCTAAACAAGCAAAATAAAGATAGTTATAAATAAAATACTAAATAAATAAATAAACTTAAAACATCTACCTATCTGCTGACGGGTGATAGGAGTAATGGGAGGTTTTTAAATTAGAAAAGGGAAACGAAAAGGGGGAAAGGGGGAATGAGCAGTTTTGAAATAAAACAACGCATGGTGAATAGGAAATGAAAGATATGAAAGAAAAAATAGAATAAATAGAAGGGAATAGAGTCAATAAACCAAAAAGAAAAGAAATCAAAAGAAATCAAAAAACGAAAAAACGAAAACTAAAAAGGGGGGATACGGGTGTTGGTTCTCCCGAATCAAGCGACAGCCAATAACTCTTTTCTTCTTTGTAGGATCAGAGGTTAAGATGAAATAAAAGAAAACTAACCGCGAAAGAATAAAGAAAGGAAGTCAGGAAATTCACTTCAGGGCGGCCGTATATAATTTTAATATAAAAAGGAAAGGGAAAAATCATTATTGCTTCCTTTCCCCATCCCCCTTACTTTTTGAACCCTAAACAAAACTCATTCAAATAAACCCAGCCTTCACCTTGGCCTCCCGCTCAACCTGCTCCTTTTGCTCCGCCTCCTTCATTTCCCGCACCTTAGCAAGCACCACTTCCCGGAATATCTGCCCGCGCGCTATCCTACTTAGACTCCTCTTCTTCGTCCTGTCAGTTGGGGCACCTTGTGTACCTGCGGGGGCTGCATTGGCGAGTGTTGCTGCTCCTGCACCATCGCCACCAACACCACTAGCAGCACCAGCCTCAGATGGCTTGTTGGCCTGTCCTACACCCTCCTTATCCGCGGCCGCCGCAGAGGAATCGGCAGGCGCATCCACACTGCTCGGAATATCCTCCTCGTCTTCCTCCTGCATCCTCAGCGCCTCGATGCGGTTCGCAAGCTTGATGATCTCGATACCGCGCTTCAGACGCGCCTTGGCCATGTACGCCTTAAGCTCAGGTAGCAAGTTATGGTCGCTGGCGGATTCGCCCTTGAGCCAGGGGTGGGACAGAGATTGTTCGCTGGTGGCTCGCTTGCTCGGCTCGGGCTCGAGGAGGCCCATGATAAAGTCCTTAGCGTCCTTAGAAACGTCGCGCCAATATCGTTCGTGGAACACTATGCGGCCGTTCTGGCACTCGTCTATCAAGTCTTGCAGGCTTTCGGATCGGAACGGGGAGTAACCGCACAGAAGGGTGTAGGTGATGACTCCCATGGACCACATGTCGACGGCCTTCCCGTGGCCCTTCTTGAGCATAACTTCTGGGGCTGCGTAGCCGAAGGAGCCTGCCATGGTTGTAAGAACCTCTTTAGGGTTGTCGAGCATTTTCGCAATGCCGAAGTCAGCGAGGACTAGGGGTGAATCAGCTGCAGGGGTAAGGTAAAGGAGGTTTTCGGGTTTGAGATCTATATATACAAATAAAGAAAAAGATGAATCAGCCAAAAATATGAACATGTAATGGTTAAAAAAAAAAAAAAAAAAAAAAAAAAAAAAAAAAAAAAAAAAAAGATGGGAGGGTTTTAATTCTACCTCGATGCACAACATGGCGTTCATGCAAATAGTTCACCGCCTCAAGAACTTGTTTGATGGTTTGGGACGCATCCTTCTCCGTGAACTTTCCATATTCACAGATTCTGTCGAATAATTCACCTCCAGTTGCCAGTTGTGTTACGATATAGTATTTGTCCTGCTCTAACATCAGCAATCGCAAAGCGCTATTGAGTAATTACGCGGTATATCATGATTGTTGGGAACCCACCCTAGACTCGAACCAATCGTGGAATCTAACGATATGTGGGTGGTGCAAGCGCTGCAACATATCCAGCTCATCGTATACCATCTGCTCGTTGCCCTTTACATTCTTCTTCAGAATGATCTTCACAGCGACTTTTCCAGTCGGGCAGTCCGCCTCACGAACAATGCCATAGGTGCCAGCACCCAAGGTTCTCCCGAATCGATATTGTGATCTGAACTGTTGTAAGCGAAAAGGGGTGGAATTTTATGGTCTAGGATGTTTGGCCGTACTTCTTATCGTAGCTGTCGGGTTGGCCCTGCAACTTGTTGAGCCAGGCTGCGCACGGTTTGAAGGGCTAGTTAGAACCAGGCATTTCCACATTTCCGAAAACAATAAACAAAGAAAAATGGGAGAAGAAAGTATTCCAGGGTGTAATGTCAATAGCAGGAAAAGTAGTTCCATTGCTATAAAGGCAACAACATCACGGAAAACTGGCAGGGCACAATTGCTTCCTGCAATCATGGCAAATGTATAGCCAGGTAGCTAATAAAGGGACTGGACATTGACCATTGACACTGAACCTCGAATAAAGTGAGTGCAATAGACAATAACTAGAGGAATTGCCCACTTACAGCTCATGTTGAATACGTCGGAATTTTCAGTAGACTCTTCGAATCTCGGTTACCAAATAGTAGGAGCGGGAGGCTTAAGCGAAGGATAGAAACGAAAAGAGCGCTGAGCAAACTAAAAGCCGGAACTAAGTGGTTGTTGGTATTGAAGGTGTAAAATAAAAACTACCAGGCAGATGAGTATCTGAATTTATCCGTGTGTCGAGGGTCGAGAGGTATAGAAATATTGCAGGGAGGAGGTGCAATAAATGCGTGCTCAAGGCTGAAAAAGATGGGGGGCGTCAAAAACGAAGCGCACCAACGCGGCTCCCCGTTGCTTTTAGACTTCGGGTGTTTTTGTCACAGGCTGCATGAACTTCGAGAGTAAGGCAGACAGCACGCACAGCAATAAACAACACACTGATGAGGGTATCCACAGCAAAAGAAAATAACAGAAGAGAAACAGCCTGGTTTATCTTGTGTCTGTGTGTCTGTGTCTGTGTCTGTGTCTGTGTCTGTCCAGACTATGGCGGGGCAGAAGGAAGGAGGGACCCGGGAAACACCCCCCCGCCAGCCAATCACAGCCCCCGGAGCCTTTCAACAGACCCCTCTCGATCGCCCAGCCTCGGCCTGCGCCACAATGGCTGCCCACCAGCCACAGATGCCGCACATGGCAGTTGTTCGCGCCAAATGATTCACGTGATCTGGACTTGGCGACCTCGGGACTTGACGACATTATTGGGAGCTTATTATTAACTACAGAGTTAACGTACTTCCAATTCCTGATTCCTGCTGTGACGTAACTATATACTCCAGACACACACATATATATTATTATATATATATAATAGTAGGCTCACTCAATGCTGAGTGGGGAATTATACTCTCTAGTCTCTATTCTCCCCGTTCATCACCATAACCTACAGCGTAATAACTACCATACCAGTATATATATTACTACTACTCTACTGTAATAGCTTGCCTCACCATGCTCGCCCTCCTCATATACGCCAGTCTGGCACTCATCGTTCTGGCCGCTTGGGTTTCCGGTTCCCTTGACCCTTGCCAGAAATGGTTGCAAGAGGTCGTCCTCGCCATGATGGGAGAGACCAAGGCATCTTATAGTCTAAAGAGTAAACAGCTATCTCCTCCCCCCCCCCCCAACATGTTTCTTAAATTCCATATCACGCTATTTAGCTAGGCGGCTGGCTGACTGGGGGTTCGTTCATATTTTCCCTCGATTATTGTAGAGAGCTTGACGGGCAAAAAGCTCATCGAAGAGGAGAATTTGAGCAAGATACAAAACAACCTCGGAAACAACCTCGGGGGACTCTTTGCAACGGGTGGTCCTGGCTCGGGCCTTGGGGCTGCTGTTGGGAAGGCTCTGTGATAGTACTGCACATATTGAATTGTTGGGCCTTTGGTTTTCGAAAAAAAAAAATTCCTGTACTGTAACTGTTTATAATGGCCCTCTCTCGTTCTTATACCCTGCCAATAATTTTATCAAAGCGTTTGAAACTGGGCTAGGCATTTGAAGCTTTCCGCCTTTAGGCTTTAACGTTATGTGCAGCACAATACTTATGATAATGAATGTCCTTGCTCGCAGATAATGAATATTTTATTGAAACCCGTTGAGTACCTTCTCCATTATGGCATACTGAGGAAATGTATGTCCTTGTCTGAGTCACTAAAGAAGATTCATATGTAACATCACGCCTAGGGACCCAACCCCGGATCTACAAAGATGGATTGTAGAAAATTACTCAGGATAGACTAGCGGGCCGCTATAAATAACTTAGAAAGTTAGCTAATTCTCCAGGCATCACCCGAGCTAACGCCGTGATATACGTGATATGATATGGAGTGATGCCGCCCAACGCAGTGACCGTTAATTATTTATACGAATACCTTGACGTCTTTCACCCTCTTTTGAGAAGCCAACCCCGGTGTCCTGAATGACTCTTATCTCTAGATATTACTACATATACCCTTCCTCGCTCGCCGCTCAGTCTCTCGTTTTACGGCTTGTGACCAAACTGCAGCTCCCCTCCTCAGGGTACTTAAGAACCCCGCTAATCCGCGTTGCTGCCCCCATCAATTCGGGACCTGTTTTCCAAACGCTTTCAAGTTCTCTCCCAATTACCTTGTATTAAAGAGAGTCTTTCTCTATACCTAACCCCTCTTTAAGGGCTTGGAGGCTCTGATCAATACGTTCTCTCTGTCTTGCTACAGCCTGCCGTTGCGCCTCGGGTTATTTTATCCGACTCTCAGTCACCATGTTTGCATCCAAGCGGCTGAGCAAGGTAAGTAGATTCATATACCCCCTTTCAACGATCCCCCCACCGGCGCCCCCCTTACTCAATGACTCAATACACAGCTATCTAACTCATAACAACCATCAGGAACTCTTGAAGGTAAACTACTGGATACCGGCGCATCACTTGACTCCGCTCCGAAACCCCACCTGATCCTTACCTTTTATACATATCTATATAGATATTCATCATCCAAAAAGGGGGAAGAATGAATTGCCAAAGAAAAAGCAAAGAATAGAATAGAATAGACAAGGAAAAACCAAGGAAACCAACAGGCCCTGACATATACCTCTATCACTTGTGCAGATGCAATCCTCCCTCCCGCCGGGAATCTCCTTAGTCAAAGCAGAAGACCTCGAGGAATGGCAAATGGACATCTGCGTCCTGGACAAGTCCAACCCGCTCTACCTCAATGAAACCTACCGACTGAAGTTCACTTTCAGCAAAAATTATCCCATCGGTATGCGGAACTCTTGCATATCCCCAACACACCGATCCAAATCCATACCATATACTCTATATACATATATATATTATATTCTCTGCTACTTACTACACCCACAACACAAGCTAACCACACCCTCCAATCCCCCCCTCTCCCCACCACAGAAGCCCCCGAAGTCCAATTCATCTCCATCCGACCCACACCCACACCCACACCAGCAGCAGCAGCAGCAACAGCAACGACAACGACAACAACCACAACCACAACCCCCTCCACAACCCCCTCCACAACCCCGTCAATCGTGCGCCCCATCCCCATCCACCCCCACATCTACAGCAACGGCATAATCTGCCTCGACCTGCTCGGGACCGCCTGGTCGCCCGTGCAAACCGTCGAGAGCGTCTGCATGAGCATTCAGAGCATGCTGGCGGGGAACAGGAAGAACGAGCGGCCGCCGGGCGACGAGGACTTTGTGGCGCACAACCGGCAGCGGCCGAGAGATATTCAGTTCTATTATGATGATTCGACGGTGTGATTTTGGTGGTTTGGTATTTTGTTGGGTGGGGATATGCGTATGGGAAGGGAAATGGGTGTGGTTGGGTTGGTGGGGGTGGGGGTGGGAGTTGGGGGGGGGGGAGGTGGAAGAGAGGAGAATTGATACAGGGGGGGGGGCATATTAGATTAGTATGGTTGATAGATAGATGGCTATGTATATGTTGAGATTTTATGTTTATGTGCTCACGAAATAGGCAGGAGAGAAGAGAAGGGGGAATGCAAGGTTGTTCTAGGACTATACACATATACACACTTCTTTTCTTTTTGTCTCCCTTCGTCATTTTGCCCGTTTTAGTTGAGGGATTCGTATTCTGCTAGCATCGTTCTGCTTTTTACATCGGTTGATGTGTTATGAATGAGACTATAAATATTATGCGGCCGCATTTTTAATTTCTTTTTCCTCAGCTCCCTGTCAGTGGTCTATGCAACACATAAGGGTTCAATGCGGTCGTTAAAAAACAAACATGAACAATGGAAAATGAAAAATAAGAGGACAAATTTAAATATTTCCCGCTTAAATCCTCTGCTATGCTAAATATTTACTGAACAGGTAAAAAAAAAAAAAAAAAAAAAAAAAAAAAAAAAAGAGGATAGAAGGTAACAATAGGGAACACTGGAGTAGCGGGAAACAATAGTTGCGGATGGACACCCGTGAGGATAACGGTACAGGGGACGAAAAGCAAAAAGAGAACTTGATCAGGAAGTCTGATATGCAAAAAGAAAAGGAAATGGGAAGGAAAAAAGGAAAGTAGAATCAAATGAATCAACAGTCTGTCCGCGGGTTTTGGAAAAGATTTTACAAGGTGGAGGGTTGATGGACCTATTGAACGGTATAGCAGGGCGGGATTTTGGAGAAAAATACAGAAATTTGTTTGTCTATTTTTTTTTTCTTTTAAAACTCTTTTCCTTCTTCCACCCCTTTTCTACTAGAATTGCAAAAAAGAGGGAAGAGGATTATTAAACATGTCTATGAGTAAGTAGGCGGGTTCTCTTCATGGTTAATGCTGATATTCTCCGATTATCTGTCTACTTCGCCAAACACGAGATCCATGGTACCTACAAAAGAAAGGAGGGAAAGGTATTAGCACGGGCAAAAGAGAGGGGTTTACAGAAGGTGGAAATTAAAAGGAGGAAAGAGGGACATACCAATGATTGCGACTGCGTCAGCTAGCAGATGGCCTCTAGCAACCTGATCGAAACAAGACAGATGGGCGAAACCGGGAGCACGAATCTTGCATCGGTATGGTCGTTCGCTGCCATCGCTGACGAGGAACACACCCATCTCACCCTTGGGTGCCTCAATAGCGGAGTACGTTTCGCCAGGAGGCACTGCATATCCCTTTGTGAAGAGGAGGAAGTGATGGATGAGCGCTTCCATGTTCTCCTTCATGGCAGCTTTCGGGGGCGGAGAGATCTTGTAGTCCTCCACGCGAACGGGGCCTGCTGGCATCTTATTCAAGCATTGGTGGATGATGCGAAGGGATTGGCGGAACTCCTCCATGCGGCAAAGGTATCGGTCATAGCAATCTCCATTGACACCTACAGGGACGTCAAATTCTACTTGGTCGTACGCATCGTAAGGTTGGGATTTGCGGACGTCCCATGGAACGCCGGAGCCACGGAGCATGACTCCCGTGAAGCCGTAATTGAGGGCCTCTGCGGCAGTGACTACGCCAATGCCCTGGGTTCGAGCCTTCCAAATACGATTGTCGGTAAGCAGTTCTTCGGTCTCGTCGATACGGTCGCCGAATTGAGTTGCCCACTGGTAGATATCATCTAGGAGGCCGAGGGGGATATCTTGATGAACCCCTCCCGGTCGAACATATGCAGCATGTAGACGGGCTCCCGAAACACGTTCGTAGAATTCCTGTGCAAGTAGAAATGGGTCAGACCATGAATCATCAAATTACATTGCCTACATCAACATAATTAAGACGTACCATCAATTTCTCACGCTCCTCGAATCCCCACAAGAATGGAGTTAACGCTCCAACGTCCATAGCGTGTGATAATACCGACATGAGGTGGTTCAGGACTCTGGTGATCTCCCCGAACAATGTTCTAATCCATTTCGCCCGCTCTGGAATCTCGACGTTAAGTAGTTTCTCCACCGCCAACGAAAAACATTGCTCGTTCGTCATCATCGAAACATAGTCCAATCGATCAAAGTATGGCAGCGCTTGCAAATAAGTCTTATATTCGATCAGTTTTTCCGTGCCGCGATGCAGCAATCCAACATGGGGGTCTGCTCGAATAATTTCCTCTCCATTGAGCTCCAAAATCAACCGGAGCACACCGTGCGCAGCCGGATGCTGAGGGCCGAAGTTAACTGTGTAATGGCGGACCTTGCGGCCAAGTTCAACTTCAGATTCAAGGGCTGCGGGTTCAGCGTATGAACCTGGCGGCTTGTTGGGCTGATATTTTGGCCCGCCCGGTGCGAATTCCGGATCCGTAGGGATGAGTCTAGTAGGCCGATAGGCAGGAGTGGCATGAAGAGCGGGTGAGGTAGATATTGATCTCAGTCCTGCGATTGAGGAAACTCTGAATGCGGAGGAGGATGAGGGGGCGAGACATAGCCTTTTGGGCGCATGCCGAGCAAGGAATGTGAGCGAGGAAGCCATGGCCACGGATGTAGGTTATCTATCGAGATACGCACAAAATGGTTCGTGCCTCGACTTTGGCACGGTATATGAGGTGGGGGACGGCTCCCACAAGAAGAAGCACTGGTCAATGGCTGTCGACAATTTCCTGTCTTCTACCTGTCTATCCGTTCTGTCGTTCGTATTTGTGTCGGGTTACAACAAAGCGAGGTCGGTGATTGGGCTAGTCACGTGGATGTTTGCTCAGCAGTCATTTTCATGTTTCTGATTGGCTAGAGCAAGCGCTTGGCGGACTACATATTTTTCTCGGAAAATGTCATGTCAGCACGGACCACTATAACGTATACCACCAAAGAAAAAAGTTACCACCACCACTCTTAAGCTATTTTGCGCATCACAACTCAGGAAGAGCGCAACAATGGCGCCAAGAATCGCTTCTCTGGAAGAAATTAATCAGAGGAAGGTAAGAATTCGATGTTGCTTCCTCATTGTGTCGCATCGAACCTAGCAGAGCTAACATGACCCAGGTCATCGGCATAAACGCGGAGACAGTCACAAATATCTCATCAACAGATTTCCCCGGCCATTGGCCTGGCGAGAATCATGAGTGGTCTATTGACGTATTTAAAAGAGTGAGTGGGAAAAGGAATCACTTTAAATCCCTATCCATTACTCATTCTAATCTCCCCTATCCGGATATAGAACCTCAAAGTCACCTTCCACAAGAATGAACCTTACGAAGCTTCTTTCTCTTTGGTCGGCGTCGACGCAGCTATCGCAAACGCCTTCCGTCGCATAATGATCGCCGAAATTCCATCCCTTGCCATCGAAACCGTTTATATACACAATAACACCTCCGTCATCCAGGACGAGGTGTTGGCGCACCGTCTGGGTCTAGTCCCTCTCACAGGCGCGGCGGAGGGGATCAACTGGCTGCGCTGGTTTAGGCAACCAACAGAAGGCAAACCAGATTCCGGCAGCGAACTCTCAGATTCCAATACTATCGTTTTACATTTAAGCGTGGAATGCACGAAGAATCCTAAAGCCAGCGCAAATGAGGAAGACCCCCAGAAGCTGTATAACCATGCACACGTGTATGCCAAAGATATTACATTCCACCCGGTAGGCCGACAAGAGGCCTACTTCCCAGAGCCTTATGGTGCCATACGGTCCGCCAATCCTGATATTCTTCTGGCGAAACTACGACCTGGCCAAAAGATCGATATTGAAATGCATTGCATAAAGGGCATTGGTGCTGATCACGCTAAATTTTCCCCGGTGGCAACAGCCTCATACCGTCTCCTTCCAGATATACGCATACTTCGGCCCATCCTTGGCCAGGATGCTCTCAAGTTTGCACGATGTTTCCCTAAGGGTGTCATTGGAATCGATTCTGTATCCGCGGAGGAGGCGTCGCAGGCTGGGAGCGGATATGAAGGTCATGAAGGCGAGAAGAAGGCTGTTGTGCTTGATCCCTTCAAGGATACTGTGAGCCGGGAATGCTTAAGACACGAGGAATTCCGGGGCAAAGTCAAGCTAGGGCGGATACGGGACCATTTTATCTTCAACGTTGAAAGCACAGGGCAGTTCAGGAGTGACGTTCTATTCCTAGAGAGCGTAAAGGTGCTCAAGCTCAAATGTAGGAGATTGAAACGTGATCTGGCTAAACTCGCTGACATGACAGAGGCTTCATGAATCTTTATAAAAAAAATCATTTTCCCTTCCTTTCTGTCTTTCTGGTAAGCTTTTTTTTTTGGCGTTGGGGGTCTTTGTTTCGGCGGAGTTAATCGGCTGATAAGCGGGATTGGGGAAGTTATTACGATTTGACTTAAAGAATTGTAGCTATATCTAGAAAAACTTATCGCACTTCCATGTATTCAGATGAATTGTCGTTGCTCCCAAGGATACCTTTGGGAGTAAAAATAGCCATACCATCGCACTGTCGGTTTTATTAACCTGATCATTTAAATGTCACTCTAAACCGGAAGTCGATCGTGTAAGCTGGGTCGCTAACCGCCACTTCGTCTCCATTCGTAACAAGTTCTTTCAATTTCAGTTTCAAATTGGGCCTTGTGTGCTCTTCCAACTGTCGGGGAGCGCGCTGATAAAGCATCTTCGCCTCTGATCTCAAGCTAGGGGCTTTGAGTTGCGCTTCCGGTAATTCTCCAAGGGACAGAATGAAATCTTCCAAGGTCGATTCGGGATCTACCATAATCGGTTTCGCCAAATTGCCGCACACAGGGCAGTCGCTCTTCTGTTCGGCCGCAAATGTGTAAGTATAGACCCCTTCTTCCCCCGCGTACATCATATAGTTCTCTAGATAAGGGTTGCAGGACGTCGCAATCTTCAGTGCTTCCGAGGTGCACGCAGCGGCGATCACAGCGTTTGTAGAAGCGATTGCAGGAATGATGTTTTTTACGACACCCTGAGTCATCGAGAAGGTCACACCAGGGATGTTGAATTGTTTCGCGCGTTCAAATGCCATGTTATAAATCCATGTTACATGCTCCATGTCATCGCCGTCAAATTCTTCATCCTTACGGTGTTCTTCCCAGGCAATTTGATGCGCCCATTCAATGCAGTGCTGTGGTTGTCGAGGAATCGTCGCAATGGTGCATAATGGCACCGCGGCGCGGGGAGCATGCATGTCGAGTTGGCACTCGATGCATGAAGAGAGTGTAGGAAGAATAACTCGGGCTTGTCCCTTGAAGCCTATATCACGTTTCAATATTAACCCTCAGGCAAGATCTCATAGATTGCATCATGTTTGGTGATAGGGCAACTCCAACAATACGCACCTTCTGATCCGCCATCGATGAGCGGTTTTAAGCTCTCAAGATTCTCACCATCGACCATCCCAACTAGCATCGAATTTATCCAGCGCCGTGCTTCGATACTGTCAAGCCCGCAGACAACCATTTTGAATTGCATGTAGTAACTTTCATCCTTGTCTTGGATCTTACCGACGTAGGGAGTGATCTTTACCCCTTTTACTCGTCGCTCCACGAAGGCAGCTGCCACTTCAGCCTTAGGCTTTCCAACATCATCTTGGCGGAACAAAAATTGTCGATTCAAATTTGATATATCGATGGTATCTAGGAAACTGTTACTAACATCCATTTCATCATTTCACGGGCTGGTTGAAACGTACCCATATCAATGACATGAATATCTTTAAATCCCGACAGGGCCAAATTCTTCAGAATTTCACATCCTAACCCTCCAGCTCCTCTGAGCTGCTGTTAGCAGCCAAAACAGAAAAACAGCCTAGGCAAGCCCACTTACATGACCCTATGAAGAATTATCAGCAACTTTCCACAAGGTGATCGTTGGTTAGTTAAGGAGGCACTTACAGAATTTTAGAGGTTTCAAGATCCGTAATGGTTTCTGGGCCAGGCACCCAATCCTCATCACTAAAGGGACCTGCGCGAGTGAGCATTCTGTAGAGTGGCTTCCTAGATGGATGTTAGTAAGTATTCATATCAATACAAAATTTTGATTCTCGAGTACCTACCAGCGCTGAGGCTCCTGACGGGGAGGGACGTCAGAAGCAGACATATTATCGAAACGTAATATTAAATCACCGAGAGATTAATATATTCCCAATGAGATAAATGAGTATCAGAAACCGTTAAGATGCCCTGAACGTTTGCGATTCTATCTTCAGGAACGAAGAGCGTAGCGCAGATGATCAATATTCAACGCCTACGCAGCGTAATAATAAAGACTAAGGGGGCTATGGCGGGCACTGTAGGGACATATACTTCCTAGACCTGTATTCGCTACTGTATCATTGTTGGCTGAGCTCGCTGCTTGCTGCGCGGATTTCTACCTGCTGTCATAGAATGTCACGTGATAATTTGATGTCCACTTCGGTTGTTTAGTTCGGAAACATGCATGGATGGTGAAATAACGCAGGATGAGTATCGTCCCATTTTGATCCGCTTCACTTCATTCTATTGCCGTGTGGGGTATGGGCCATGGATGGTCTCCTTACTGCCGTCAAGACGGTTGAAACCCGTGAGGAGCTGACGGTTTCAAAACCACTCCAGCAAAGATATCCCGCACATGAGGAGAAGCGCCCGTGTCCGCAAAATGGGATAAAATCTCCAGAAGAAGCGCTACACGCCCTTAAATCATCTCCAGACAAATACTTTGTTGTACAAGCGTTATACTTTCTTGATCCTACTCGAGCTCCTGGGGATGGTTTCAATATAACTACTCCAAGCGCCGTCGCGGCGCAAATTTTGCACATCTTGATTGCTACAACCATTCCCGACCATTGGAGTGGTCTCGGAAATGAAGATATCTCAGAGCCAGATCCAGAGGGAGACCGCAAACTAAAACCAAAAGCAGCACTTCTAAGATGTTTGAGCAGCGTGACAGGTATCGGCGCTCTGGTAGCTCATCTGCGCTCATTACTCGCCAAACAAGAGTCCTTGTCAGGTGAAAAACGTTCGGGTAACAAGTTGGTTATTCAAGACTTAATAGCGGTCTTGTCGTCTGTTTTAAAACCTCCCGATTTTCTATTCAACACATACATGAATATTTCGAGCAAGGTCGAACTGCCAGCCCAAAGGCAGATTATGTGGAAAGAGCTTATTTCACTCCTTGCTGCCGGAAAGGTGCTATCAGTCGCTTCCGAAGGTCTTCTTACCATTAAAGATCTTAAGACCCCTCGTTCGATTCATTGGATTGGTGAAGGAAACCAATATGCGGCCTGGCTTGGGCAATGCATTTCCCTTATGGCTTCAAAAGCCCAAACAACAGAATTGGATTGTTGGAATTATTTGGCCCAGTTCGTGGCTAGATCGCTGAGTCTTGGATATACCGGTATATTGGCCCACTCTAAGGATGGTATAAATGGAATTGCTAAAGTTTTTCACTTTCAGCCCAGGTTGTGAGCGAGATATATGACACCCTTCTGTTTCAAGAGAATGCCTCACCGGACCGGTTTGGCATTCTTTTAAATAACCTCAGACGTCATGATCAAATAGTACTCTTCAAATCTATACTTCATGATTTGGAAAAAAGATTTCTCCCTGCTTATCCCAATGCGTTACAGCGCCCGTTGGAAGATCCAAGCAAATGCAAGACTATCAACGGAGTCTCAGGTGTTGTAGCGACTATTGTTCGCGGCCGAGACATCCTGAAATCCCAGTTGAGTGAATGGCTTGTAACTGGATTAGAAATGAACATCCAAGGGATCGATTTTCGCCGGGCGCTTTTGGCATCATTTGGCAACCAGCAAGGTGAGCTTTCAAGGTGGATAATATCTCTACATTTTACTTACTAACCTCTAATGTTAGAACCCATACTTGAGATACTGAGAAGAGCTCTAGAAATATTTGGTGATCAGCTATACATAAAGCATACACCCACACGTGGGCAGGAAGGTAAAATATTTCTATCTTCGAAGCGAGAAGTTATCAATGACGAAAGCTGAAAAAAATGCTTGCAGCGAATGTCCAGATTATTCTTTTGACGGCCGGATATGCTCATCGGCTCTTGCCACATGAACTACTCTCCATCACCCAGTCAGGAACTTACCTGACCGCGATATCCAATCGACTCGCGGCCTCCTCGCCACGGGCCCGCTTCCTTGGCATGATAGTTGGCATGTCATTATCAAAGCTAGCCGATCCTGCAGGCAAGACTATGAAATTTGACCTTGAAGAGATGGAAAGTGAAGAGGCACTCTGGTATATGAGCTTGACAAATGTGAAAGATGAAATTGGTTCGATCAATGACTTGAAGGATGTAAACGCCCAGCATCCTCCAAAGAAACCAAAACGTCATGTGCGGAAACCTCCTCAGGATGATCAGCCAAAAATAAGTCAGGAGAGGTCAAAAGTCCTTTCTATTGAAGAGGTGTCTGAGGAGTCGGATAGCGATGACTTCCTACCCTACGAAAAGCCGGATACGGATGCTTCAGACTCTGAAGATGACCCAACGCTGATCAACCGGTCAAAGCCCAGTTCCCCAGTGTAAGTTTCTACTTCACTTGTAACTTTGTCTTCGTTAACTCCTTTGTTGCTAACGTTGTACGTAGATACATACGGGACCTGTTATCTTGTTTGCGGGATACAGATAATGCAGAGCGATATAACTTGGGGATATCAACTGCACCAACGCTGATACGGCGCAAAGCATCTTTTGGCACCGAAGTTGCAGAAAACTCTGAGGCGCTGGCACTCCTCATTGTGGGGCTACAAGACAAATATAATTTACCCAGATTTCAGGAGTACAAGTTACAGAGTGAAATTGCATTACTTGTAGCCTATCCACTGACAATGGGCAGGTGGTTCGTACATACACTTTTCAACGCTGACTTATCCCAAAGCCAGCGATCAACAATTCTTATTGCGCTTGGTTTGAGTACCCGCGAATTAGCAGGATTTGGAAAAGAAGACGCAGATGCAATGAGTCTCCCTCCTGCCGTGGACTCCTCGTTCCCATCAAAACGTCTACCTTCCAATCTAGCAACTACGTACGGCGACGTAAACAACCCTATTGATGCTATATCGAAAAAGCTCTCACAAGCTACCTTAAAGCCTTTGGCTCTCCACGCAGCCGATTCGTTGACCGGGCCCAACGCTCTCAAGGTCCGAACATTCTCATCTCGTATGGAAGTGGAGAAAAGGAAGCAGCAGAGGGAGCAGCAAAGAAGAGAAAAAGCTGTTCCTAAAGACCTCCACAGAATCCTTTCAGATGGGTTCTTCTTTCCTCTTACCAATGCTTTCGAAGTAACTATGTACTCGACCCCGTAAGTCAAAGTCCCTTGTCAAATCTCTGACATACACAAAACCACCCGCACCCGTCAACCCACAGATTATCATATGTTTCAGGGTGTTCAACCGCTTACTCCTTCAGGTCCAACAACACGTACAATCCATTCTTGATCCCACATCTCCTCCACCTCTTCGTTCAGACAGTTACACTCGTCCTTTCCACCCTTGGTCCAAACTCTCCCAATCTAGCCACACTTACGCACGAAGCTCTCTCTCTCCTTATGACTCTACACAACCTCCCAGTCGCCACAGAACCCACAGTGCTCCCCGCAATGCTATCCTTGTTTCTCGCAATCGTAGATTTAAATATATCATCCGGCAGTGCCGGCGAAGAGAGACTTGTTACTGAATTTGTAACGCAGGTGATGGAAATGCGTGAATGGGTTGATGGTGTGTTTGAGCGCGCTTCGAAGGAAGAGGAGGAAGTCAGGATGCTCTCTGCAGGTATAATGGTCAAACTTGGGGATGTCATGGAGAGGTACCAGGGCCGATTGTTGGGAACGAATCTTGGGTTTGGATATTAATAGCTATGTGGATAGCGTATACACATATTAACCGGGGTTCATGTATATAGATGGATATATATGCCTAGCCATAGTTTTTTCAAAATTACAAGTTCAAAGAGAACCTCTTAAGGAAATGACTAGGGAGCTCAAAAGAGACTGTTGAAGCACTTCCTCCTTTGTAAAATTGCTCGGGTTAACAAACAGCTACCCACATATTTTCAGCCGCGGAACCAAAAATGCGAAACGCGGGGCAACAGTCGACATTAAGGGCCTGTTCGGTGATTTTTTCCGTAACAGTGCCAGGGCTGTACAGAAAGTGGATATTTAACTTCTGATGGTGTTAACCTTCATTATTGTCACCTTTTCTTATATGAATAGTAGTCTGCTTGATGTTTTAAGTACTTCCTTATGAATGATTTTTTATGATGATGACTATCATGTCATTTCAGCAGATATATAGCAGTTTGAAAATCCTGTTATCTATCTTTACACACCAAATATCAGTGAAAAATGGATCTTAATGAGTCTCAAATTGATCACTTTTGCAGTGACAAGCCTTATTAACTGCTGTCTATGATATAAATACTGTGCATTATCATGGTTGCTCACCATGATTGTTGATTTTTGATGATATTTGCAGGTCTCTGGACACTGTACAGCCACACTGGAACATATCAGCAGATATCATGACTCATTCCAGTGTATACAGTACAAATTTAACTTGAATAGGTTTAGATTGATCACTTTTTCAACTAAATAACTTGTAGGCTACTGGGGCAAAAGAGCTCAATCACCACCAGCGCACTGCTGGTAGAAGGGCCGATCAACCGCGGGACCCCCAACATAACTACACCATTGAACTCTATAATATGAATCTGATTGTCAGCTTGACATGCTTGGTGAGTTGTACAGAGTTATACGCAGAATCTACTGAACAGAAGGCCTTATCCGGCCAGGTTAGTGTGTATAACCCCGGCCAGAGCCGTCCAGAGCTGTACAAGCTGGCACTGTACGGACTTATACGGCCCTGGACGGGGTCACCGAACAGGCCCTAAAGGGTATTTAAATACGCTGGAAGGGATAACTGCAAGGAGAAAATAATGCCAGATATTGGTAGAGCTCTATGTACTAGACTTAGCAAATCCCTGCTGTTCAATCGCCCCCTTCAACATTCGATTCCCGCTGATTATTCCCGTCGTACAAACAACAATCCGTCTTCGCTCCGATTCTCTGCTCGCAATAAACCTCAGCGCCGCAATCTCGGTAAAAGTAATCCCACCAAGGAAAAATACAAACACCGTCTTTATGCCTCCGGTTCCCGAGAGGGTTTGGCGCGCCCTTACCGCCTTCTCATCACCTTTTTGGACGATATTGAACGTGGAACCCCGTGCGCTTTTTACGATCTCTTCGAATCCTAGCCAGCCAGGGGATGAAATTCCGGCAGAAACTCCTGCAGCGGATGCGGGGAGGCCCTTTGTGAGGGACAGGATATATGGTTTCTGCAAGACGCACTGGACAAGGCGTACGCTGAGCGGCGCATACCCACTGTAGACGTATGCGATATCATCTGGATCCTGCTCGTTCACTTCATCGACAATAAGTCGCAGACTCTTGCGAAGATAGCTATAGTTGGATTTCAAACCCGCCGGACCGCTTCCGGTGGGGAGCAGCATAGCAGTTGCAGATGATCGTGCCTGAAGCAACTCCATCTTCTCAAGAGCATGGAATGTTAGGAGATGCTGGTACCCGTATGCTTGCAATATTTGTTTTTTAAAGTTTTCTAAATCCCGGGGTCGGAGACCACCAGTCATACAGGACTCAAGGCACAGTAATCGGAGAACAGTATTTAGAGGAACGTCACGTGCGATGAGTTCTTCGACAATCTCATGCTGGTAAGTAGGATCGGAGCCGGCTGCGACATTTTGCTGAACTCCAAGCACTTTCCTGAAAATGTCAGAACGGGTTTGACGCATGATATCTTCTGCAAGATTTGCGTGAACTTGAAGACTAGTGCGTTCTGCTTGGTACGCTGGTAATTTGTTGACGAATTCCCGTAGTTCGGCCGGCGATTTGGCTACATGGCGACTCTCATAGTCGCTCTCCAGCCGTCGGGCTACTTTATTTAATAGACCTCCAACTATAGCAAAATTTGCATTGCGAAGTTGACCAAATAATTGATCAGAGGAGTCGAGTTGTATCTTTCGTTTTAAACCCTGTTTGGCAGCTGCCGACGATGTACTAGAGGACGTTACTTGAGAAGACGAGGGTGTAGGTGCAGAAGGGCCGAGGATCATGGAGTCAACTTCGGCTTGGTTATTTGCGATCTCAAAAAATTCGTCAACGAGACCTTCGTATGTGAGTTGGGTGAGCAGTGGAGTTGCGAAATCCACATCTCGATCGATAATTATCAAACTCTCCATTGTTGAGCTAACCATAAGTCCTCTGCTAGACCCATAGTTCAATCCAGAAGTTTCTTCAGCATCTAATTCTTTTCTCATTCGCAAAAGTTGATCTGCTACTTTCCTCGCATTGTCTCCTTTTCCAACAATCCGAGGAAAGAAACCATGCCGTAGCTGCAGATTCATTAATGCTTTAGCGGAAAGATAAACTGGGCCTGGGTCCTTGTGCTACGATATATTAGCTTAAAAACATCCGTTGAGACTGGAAACCATATCTCATACCAAATAGAGGTCCGGGAACGCATTCCCCAGCTCCAAGGAGAGAATATCGCTCTCCAGAGGTAGAAAATAGAGCGGAAATTCCGCGATATTAACGTCTCCAATAATACCTTCGTCTTCTAAAATTTGATTACAAACAAGAGTACGGCGTGGGACCCAGAATATGAAGAACTCATGTTCGACAGCTCCATTTCGTTGAAGCTTTCTTATTTGTTCTAACGAGAATGTTAGCACATTATGATGGCTATAAAATATATGGGGGAAAATAAATAAAAATGCCAAGGGAATGTGCTGGAAAATTGTTTTATATAGGGGACAAGACTGGCAATGGCGGGTGAGAATAAAACCTCCAAAGCCTCATGTTATGCCCCCATTTTTTTATACAATAATAGCAATCAGATGGAATAAGAGTAAGTTTACACATAAGAGGGAAGCCAAGAGCGGAGATAAAACAAGGAAAAAAGACAAATGCATATGCATATGCGACGTAAAATAATCATACCAGCCGTGGATTGTACCTGGGTAGGCTTTTCAGCATGCACCAGGAAGACAATGTTCTTTTGGGAGGAATCGACATTTCCATTCTCAAGCAAAAAGACACGGTCCACTCCGTACTCTTGAAGAACGGAGAACTTAACAAACAAGCCAACTGGGCCAGCCAGGTCTTTGCTAATCACAAGGTTCTTTTTGCCTCGCACCTGGATATACAATTAGCACATCATGTTGGGTAGCTTGGTTTCTTTACATGCCAGCCTTACTCACGCCTTCAAGAAGATTCAGTAGATCTCTCCGGGCTTTCTCTCGGATATACTCTGCTTCTGACCCAGGATCGGGAGCCATTGTGCAGTGCAGTGAGAACTGGAGCTGTTGATACTTGTAAACCAAACACCGTCTGCCTGCTGTTGCTTGACGACGTCAGGTCCACAAAAACGGGAGCCATTTATGGTTAGAGCAAGTAGGCTTTGGGGAGAGTCTGCGCTAGCTCTATTTGTACTGGTCAAACTTAGTCAGCAGCCGCTTCCTGTTGGAGCTACTACACAAGCCCTAACACACGTGACCCACACACATATATTTAGCTTTCACTAGCTACTAGTTAGATAACAACAACCAACCCATGTTCAACCTCTCTCACAGGTTATGAAGCCCTTGCACTTCTACAAAGTGTTATAACCATGCAATAATCATACAATAAGCTTTTCAAATAGCTGCTTTTTTTTCATTCAAATACCCCATACCAAATGCCTGTCAATATGAGATTGATCAACCGCGAAGAGACTCCAGAGAATCAGATAGCTGGATTCTTTCCAACACCAATAACCGCGCGAAGATGACGCAATAATCAAGCCCAAGATAATCCTCCAGAACCCGAAGATATGGCAGACCATGATGAAGCCACCATTCTGAGGCAGCTTATTGCTCAGAAGGATGAGGAAATACACTGAATGAGAACTGCCCCTGCCAATCAAAGCACTCCAGCTACAACTACTGTCAATGATGACAATGATCTAAGCCCTGATCTTGCAGAATACCTTCAAAATCAAGGTGACATCTCTGCACTGAGCAGAGTTCTTCAAGAATTCCGTGAATGTGTCAAATATCTTCAAAAATCAGGTCTTCTCAAATCAACATCTGATTACCTCATTTGGAAGGAAGAGATCCTGCTTGTTGTTAAGCAATCTCATACAGAAGATATCCTTGCTAGCAAGCCCTTGGAGAATGTCTCTAAGGATATGAAATGATTCTGGAAGGAACGCAACTCCTGGCTATACAATTTTGTATGATCTTCTGTTTCTATTGAAGCCAAATCTCTTTTTACTATACCTCAAGATTCCCTGAGTTCTGCTGCTCTATGGAACACCATAGCAGCATTCTTTTCAGAACAGGTGGAAATCTGCAGAGCCCATCTGTCCAAGGAATTCAATGATATCAGTGCAACTGCCATCTATGATGGCTCCAACCACTTGTTCATAGAACATCTGCTTGCAATCCGCGTTGAGTATATCCACCTTGAATATGCTAATATCCCCAACTTCATATTCTTCGACAAGCTCCTCAACAGCCTCACCAAGAAGTGGTCAACCTTTATCAGAGATCGCATGGACTATGCAGCAAAGGATGATAATGTCACATCACTAGAAGATGATTTCCTTGATCTCTGCAGAGATATACTACTCTGCCTGCCGTTGGATGACAAAAATGCCAGAGATGACACAAAGAATGCCAAAGACACCATCAAGAAGGATAAGGATAATAAGAAGAACAACAAGAAGTGCACCCACTGCAAGCAGGATGGCTATGAAGAGCCTTACTGCTGGTTCACACACCCTGAAAAGTGTCCTGTCGATTGGAAGGATAGAACAAAGAATAATAATGAAAGCTCAGCGCCTACATACACCACTGTTGAGCATGTCTACTAAAATGATAACCATGATACCGATAACCATGATACCGATAACCATGATACCTGGGCTGTTGAATGCCCATATGATAACCCAGGATAAAGATGATACCCCATGATAACCATGATAACCCATGATAACCAGGCCACCGAGTGTGCCTATATGATAACCATGATAACCCACGATAACCAGGCCACCGAGTGCCTATATGATAACCATGATAACTCACGATAACCAGGCCACCGAGTGTGCCTATATGATAACCATGATAACCCACGATAACCAGGCCACCGAGTGTGCCTATATGATAACCACGATAACAATAACAATAAAATGACAAAAATATGAGAAGTGAGACCCCGCAGTGTTCGGATGACTGGAGGGGTAATACAGATACAGGAAGGATGGATTTGAGCGTTTTTTCTTGCATGTTTTTTATGTTTTTTCATGTATGGAGCTAGTCCTTATGAGGAAACTAGACTCTACATTTTGTAATTAATTTTTATTGCATATTTGAATGATTTGGGCGCTTTTGGCTGCGTGGGTTAACTGGCCTGCGTAGCATGGGGGGGTGTTGGAGCTACTACACAAGCCCTAACCCACGTGACCCACACACATATATTTAGCTTTCACTAGCTACTAGTTAGATAACAACAACCAACCCATGTTCAACCTCTCTCACACTTCCCCGGATCACGTGTTATTTCTCGAACACCCTCCTCAGCCACCAAGCCACCTCGTCTCCTATCTCGATTTGAAACTCCAACCTTTTCTCGTCTTTCCTCTTGCTAACTCTCAACAACTTTTAACATAAGCTGCTAGAGCAATAATCCTTTGTTTTTCTGTCTGCTGCCTCCTACATTATGAAAAAGTTCGGGTTTGGCAGCAAGAAAAGCGAGGGTGCGGATGAGGATGGCAACCGCTCAGCGCTTTTCGGGTCCAGGTCCAAGAACAAGAGCCCGGCACCCCCCTCAAATCCATACGCACAACCTCCGCCGTCGGGCGATCCGTATAGCCAAGGACGTGGGCGTGGTGCACCGCCTGGTGCGGGTGGATATGGACCCCCTTCAAATGCTGGACGCCCTGGCATGAATCCTCCAGGGCCCCAAGGAAACAGCGGACCCAGAAATCCCTACGAGAATCTTGATAACAAATACGGCCGAGCTAATGGCGGTTATGCACCTGGAGGCCCTGGGTACCAAAGTGGATATGGGGGAGACAGGTATGGAGGAGATGCTTCTGGTCCCCCAGGCCCAAAATCTAGATATGGCCCTGGAGGTTATGGTGGACTTGGGAGGACCGACCCAAACGATACAGCTTCCGTCGATGATAATAGAGACGCTCTGCTAGGAGATGCTCGGGCACGGCAACACGAACGACGTCATAATCCTTCCCCGCAAGATGTCCCACACGGTGGTGCCAGCGGTGCAGCCGCAGACGGAACCAATACCACTTACGCCCCGACTTACCAGGAGAGACAACTCACAGCAGAGGAAGAAGAAGAGGAAGACATCCAGGCGATGAAGCATGAAATCCGAATGATAAAGCAACAAGATGTTTCTTCCACCCGTAATGCTCTTCGTGCCGCCTTAGAAGCAGAACAGACAGGTCGTGACACCCTGCTACGTCTCGGTGCTCAAGGAGAACGGATTCACAATACAGAAAAGAACCTCGATCTAGCCTCGAACCAAAACAAAATTGCCGACGAAAAATCCCGTGAATTAAAAAAGCTAAACAAAAGCATGTTCGCCATGAATGTGTCCAATCCATTCACAGGCGAACAACGACGACGTGCTCGTGACGAGGCCATCATTGACCGCCACCATGAGGAGCGCCTTCAGCGAGAAGCCACTCGACAAGCCGCATTCAGGACAGAGCAACGTATGGACGACACCTTCAAGACTTTGTCAAAGAAAGCTGCCAATGGCCCACAGAAACAAACAAACCTCGCCGACAGGTCCAAATACCAGTTTGAGGCTGACAGCGAAGATGATGAGATGGAAAACGAGATCGAGTCCAATCTTACTGCTATCGAGGGTGTTACGGGCAGATTGAATCTACTTGCTCGGGCACAGGGTCGAGAGATTGAGCAGCAGAATGCTGATTTAGGCCGCATCATAGGCAAGGTAGGTGTACTTTTTTCCCTCAAAATATGAACGAACCGTTGCCATAGGAATATTTATGTGCTAACAAACAACCCTATAGAGTGACCATGTGGATGATCAGATAGTCATGAACAGTGCCCGTCTCGGTCGCATTCGTTAAGCATCGCAACATCGCCCAACTCTATACTTCGCTAGTAATCACTTTTCTACAGCACCGTGACCTTCGCAAAATCTTCGCCGGATTCCCTTTCGCAAACGTGCTTCCCAGCAAAATCTAGATCTTGAAGTTCCACCTGCACCTACGATATCCCTCCCTAGCCTTAATATTTGTCCGCATACCCACAATGTCTCTGATCAGCTTACTGCACAGTTATTTCTTACTTATTTGGTTTCATTTGACGATATATCGAATCTTGCCGCGTTGATCGTGATGATGATATGATAGACTCTTCCTTTTTTGTTTCGTGTTCTTTTCCGAAGTGTTTTTAATCTACGCGGAGCTTCTCTCCGCACATATGCCCTTGGTCTGTTTGATAATTGCTGTCCTCTCATAGCCCAACCACTTGCGTAGTTTTGTAGCAGGCGTTAGAAATATATCCCGTATCTTTAATCACTAGCCATAGTTTTTCGCTCCCCTTCTTCCGAAGTGAATTTCCTTGTGTTCCAAAATCACAGTGGCAATCCAACACACTTTCGACAAACACAACAGCTAATATGTCGCTGCGGGAAGCTTGCCGTGTCTGTAGAAGGTAATATTCCACGGACTCACTGAAATCGTCAATTAGATAATCAAAGTGAAAGAATACAAAAAATTAAAAATTAAAAAATAAAAATAAAAATAAAAATAAAAATAAAAATAAAAATAAAAATAAAAAATAAAAAATAAAAACTGATCTCAAATAAATAGCCTCTAGACCAGCCAGGGCATGAAACGGTAAAGCGTTTAATATAGATTCTGTTCGGAACTACTGAACACGTTCCTTTGCTGATCCTAGATGAAATGTTAATTTATAAGGAGAAAGCGCGCTGCCCAATTAACATTTGGATTGCCAATCTGCCACCATATTACACCCAGCTACTTCGGTGGTTCAAACCCTTGTGCCATGCCCTCCATCAAGCATCAAGGAACTCCAATAACTAAACAAAGAACGCTGACAAATGATCTTTTCGTTTCAAATTTTTCGTTTCATTATTTCTTTTCTGATAATCATGTATGCACCCTAGTTATAATCTCCTCAAGTATACCGTCGACCCAATAGGACGAACCAACCTTTCCAAAGGTAAAATCACCATCCTCCCCACTGTCGTCAGCCCGGACTCCAAGCTCAACACCGCCATTAAGGCTATCAAGTAGCGGACTTTCCAGATCTAGAAAGTCAAGGTTTACCTCGCGTAGGTTCACCGAGTTGTTGAAGAGCAATTGATCGGTTGTTAGTTGAGGAGCTAGGTTATGATCCGCTGGTGGTGGATGGGAGACTAGGATCTGGTGAGATTGCTGTGGCTGCTGCTCCTGTTGTTGTTCCGGGTTGGGGACTTCAGTCATGCCGTCAACCCCATAGTATACGTCTGCATCCTGAACAGTGAACTGATCTCCTGGTTGTTGCGGTTCCTGTTCCTGTTCCTGCTGATTTGGAGGCTGCGGCTGGGATTTCGTTAGTGGTGGCAGACTTTTCAGCCGAACTTCCACTGGTATGTTGGGTTGCATAGTCTCGATTGCCTGATCGCTATCTTTTCTAAGGTGAAGCTCACGGACGAGTGCAGGTAAGTCTGTATCTCGAGGGTATTGCCCTCTTGCAAAAGCGAAGTCAATTGACAATGAGAGCCTGAGGTAGAAGCGTGGCTGTCGAATGAAGACTTCAGACCAGCTCTTTGTGCGTTTGTTAGATGCGGCAGGTCCGTTAGATGTCTCAGTTACTGGGCTCGATTTGTTCGTGTCCTCTTTTCCGTTATCTCTGCTGCTGTTCGGGCTTGACATGATACTTGATGATTCGTCCGGCTGGAAGGATATGAGGAGGTTTTGTTTCTCCGCAAATCTAAGGACTTCCTGAATGAGGAGAGCGACGTAATCTGTGCCGTCATACCTGTTTCGATATAGTTGCATGACCTCCGCATAGTAGCTCCAGCGCCGTTTGCGTGTTGCGGATTGGGATGTGGTTCCAGATAGCTTAACGTCAAGTGCATTTAGGACTAGAGGTAAAGCAGTGTATGCGATGCTTTAAAAGTCAATCGAATCGTTAGCCATAGGTCTATTTCATGTAAATAGACTCTCTTCACTGAAATGGAATTAAAAAGGTGACACGGGAATCAAACATACGCGCTGATGGGAAGATGTCGCGCCACTCCACGCATGAGTAGTCGTTTAACGCTTCTCGTGATACTTAATGCCGCATCTTCCAGTTCATCCTTAAGTCCCTCTAGAAGTTTACTGTAAGTCTCGGCGATAAACCTTTGATGTATCTCAATGGTAAGGGCCTGATTGTGACATAGGGCGACGCGGGCGGTGCTGATTATATGACTGTAAGCATGGCTCGACGAGAATCAATAGTCAAACGTCTATAACCATAGGGGCACTCACTGATAGTACATGAATGTCAAATTCGAGTAAAGGGTGACAGATTCATGGACGTCATCCGAGGCAAAGATAGAACCAAAGGCGGCTTTCGCCTCATTCGCCCATTGAGTTAGGGTAGCTCTAATGTCTTCTATCTCTCTGAGTGACTTCATAAATTCCTTCTCCGTCATCGATTTGGGTTGCGAGAACCCATTAGGCGCATAGACAATCATTATAACCCTGGTTAGCACAATAGCTAGCTGGCACTGGACGCGTAAAACATTTGCAAGAATGCGCTTGGTTTCCGCATTGTATACCTCGGACTTGTGGATCTCGTCTTGGAGATCCTCTTCAGCCATGCAGTCAAGAGACAGATCAAAATGTTGAGGTGTGATCTGAGGGTACCGGCGTAGCCCTAGGGGCAAAATTCTGTCGCGGAGTAGGATTGACCACCACAGTCGTTTCTTTGTCCCCCTGTGAGGATCGGTAACGTTTGATTTGCTATTATATGAATGCGCGCCGTAAAGAATGGCATGTTGGATAGCAGTTGTGAGCCACAGGCTCCCGGCGTGGAAATCGATGGACGAGCTCTGGTAGGTGAGGAGAATCGCACCCTGTGCCTTTGCTAAAACGTCGTTCTCCGCATTTAGATCAAAAAGAAGCTATACGGAACTCGTTAGTCTCCCTTTGTTGAGCAGCTTTGGCAATGGTAAGCAATAACTTACCTTTGCTCTCCGGTATAAAGTATTGCGGGCTATGCGGCTATCCACGAATCCAGCAGATTTGATGACACTTGGCGGAACAAACTGCACGGGAATGATTAGCAAGTTTTTTGACGTTTGATAGAGACAATATAAAAGTTAGGGCAAGAAAAGCTTACTGCACAGCTCGCAAAGAACATTGCCTGCACGATGAACAATGATATAGCTCGTGGCTTCTTTATCCCATCATTTCGATTTGCATACATACTCCAAAAATCTGCCTCGTTCAATACTGGTAGGCAAGGATGGACATGTAGAAAATATTGACGGACGAATTCATCCAGGATTGGCCCCGAGGGTACATGAAGACAGCCTTTCATTTCCAGAAATTTGACATCTTCAGTTGGTAAAGTGTGGAGATCGCGAAGCTCAATGAAACGGTAGAAGGAAAATATGACATTTGAATCTCCATTTGGACTATCTAACGAAAAAGGGAGGATGGTTCTAGGAAGGTGAGAATTCATCGACCTTAACATCTCGAACTGGGTTTCTTCTGGAGATTGTCAGCCTCGTTAGTGACTATATCACATCGAACAGTGTAACCCAGAAACAAACGGACACCAGCACTACTTACGTTCTCCCCACATCCCCCCAAAGAAGGGAGGTTGCCGAGGAGGATCAATATATTGAGGGAAAGTCGGTCTCGCTAAAATACTTTCCATTGGCCCCATTCTACTGACCATTCTACTGACCGGGTCCGATTTATGCACAAGAGTACCATTTTGAGAATGCGGCTCGGGCCATTGGAGCTGAGTTCGGACACCACGGCTGCAAAGATTATTAGATCATGACAATATTAAAGCCCTGAAAACACAAATCTGGGGTAAAATATAACACGATGGGGCTTGATAAATCCAGACAGCCCTGCATCTTCGGACTCACGTTGGAGGTTGGGAGGAGCTCGATCACTCTACTTACCCTCTACAAGCACTCGACCGGATAGTACATTCATGGCCATCGAGCCGGCAGTTTGTACAGGGACTTCCATGAATAGAGACATCACAGCGAACTTTGCGTTCATGGCACCAGGTACAGGCCATCCGAGCCCGCTTCCGCGGACGCTGTGAGGAATCCATGGTGCGAGTTTGCTGGCGAGAAGAGGACGGTTGAAGCTGTTGGGATGGCTGAGCAGATGATGAGTTTCCAAGTCCCAAGTCCATCATCATCCCATGCGATCTGCGATGCGCGCTTTCAGGTTAGAGCAATGCAGAGTCTGATTCTGCCTGCTACCTACCCCAAGACGACTTTCGCCCAACCACAACGTACCCAAGCACGCTATCAACAGGCTTCTTGGTTGTGAGCCGGACGCCATTATAGAGGGCTAGGCAATTGGCCAAGCGGGTTTCATGCACAGTCAACCAGAGGAGAGTTAACTGCGTAAGAACGGACTGCGACTACTCAAGTAGAACCTGGATCCGTCTGCATTATTTCTTCCTTCCAACCGACGGGTCCTTTCTCTCCCCAGATTTCTAGCTTTCGAGGTGGCCTTGGGTTTTCGAGGTAGTAGTAGCGCTATGTGGACATCCGCGGCTCAGAGGGATTTCGAGATGTTCAGGCTGGCTCACCTTGCTTGCAGCTCAGCTTCATCCGCGACAGGAGTAACTTATTGTTTTTTCCTCTTTTTCCCTTTGCTGTTTTTTGAATGTTCTCTGCCCAACGAACTCTGGCAACTTCTCGCATAACATTGAACGGCGATCCAATCCCGGCCCTCTAGGAGGGGTTGGAACGCTCGCCTGCAAAAAGTAGTATGATCAAAAGTTTTGGCGCTCCGCATCAGTTAGTTACCAGTTAACTTACCAGCGATATTATTGGATATGTTCTCCAATTTCCCAAGCCAACAGCCGTCCACCGAAAGGCTAATAATTACCACGCAACGTCGGCAGTAGCCCGGTAACACATTTATTATCCCACCAGTCTCTGTTATCTCAGCAAGCTCAGACGCTTCTCCAGATATCCATTGCTGTTTTAACACTGGATTGATGATTATGTCATGAGCTAATCTCAAATAAGCAATAAGCTAACCTAAATAGTAAAATCAGGTCATGTGAGTGATGATATCTTAGCAACATGAAAAGGATTTGCTCAGTATCCTGAGTATGAAAGAGAATTTCAACTCAACTTCATAGATTCATCATTTCTGTATCACCTTAGAACCTTAGAATAACAATATTCTCGCGATGTATCTGATTTTTATATTCATATCTCAAGTTCTTAGAATAGAAGTATCATCTCAAAGTTGACCAGTGTGTTTTTGAATACAGGAATTTTGATCCAATTTCTCATATAAAAAAAAGCTCTTAGAAATTCTGAGATCAAAAAATATGATCATTTTCAAGAGTATACATCTATCTTAAATATAGATTTTTTTGAAATATTAAAGAAATATTTCTATTCTTCTTCTCTTTAGCTATAAGCTAAGGTGATTTTCAAATCTCAAAGATATGTGAATATATAGTAATAGAAAGTCAAAGTTGAAGAATCTGAAAAATCCTTGTAAATCTCAGGAATCTTCATTGAAGATAGAACTGTTTCTTCTCAGACTCTCTGGTGAGAATTGCTCTGAGCACATGACTTGTATCAAAAGTAGGTTAGTGTCATGCCGGATTAACTAGTTAATAATAATGCTGCAACCCGTTCAAACCGAGCCAGAGGTCTGAGCCCGCTGAGATAAAGTCTCTGTGCTGTGCGGTGGCCTGCCACATGATGAAAAATGTCTGTACTACGCTACTTCATGCTCCGAGTTTCAATCGATATTATTTCTGATACACTTTATTGTGAACAAGTCTGCCGCACAGAGGGCAACCCTTCCGTACCAATTGCACACCAAAGATTGAATATTGAGCTGATCTCGCCGTCTAAACAGTCGTTCAATAGTTCAATGACACGCAGAAAGGCTACTTAGCTCATCTGGCAGAGCGTCTTTAGCACTCTGATTCAACCAGTCACTGTGTCAACTCCAGATTGCGGGGTTACAGCACTGACCAAGCAGCTCGCTAGCCTCCTGAAATTCAAATTCCCAACATTATTTACGAGAAATGGCCAGGGATAGAAGAAGCTATTCCAGGGCTGTGACCCTATGGAGGTGAACCGGTGACCTCCTACCTACCCTACCGCAGTCGTCATGGCGCGCTACTTCGGCCTTTTTCGAGATAGCATGTGAATGCTCGGCAACTCGAGTTTCTGAGAGAGGCATTATTGCTCTTTTTTGAGTCCAGCATTGGCCGCTCTTGGCGCTAGAGGTACGAGGCTGGGCTGTCATCCCAAAGACCTGCTAGTGCGACGTCCTGGCAAATATGGCTTGAAGCAGGGGTTTGACTTCGCTTGTTATGGATGATGCAGAACAGTGGAAAGATGGTGGGAGGGTGTGTTAAAAAGGTGGCTCTCCTCCCTTGATGTGGATAAAATGGATCGGGGATTTCGCCCACATTAATTGCCCAGCCCGCCGGCGGACAGTAGTGTCGTTATATTTAAATGGTGTGACGTTAAAGTCTTTCTGAGTCTTTCTGATTCAGGAAAAGCCGCCCAGGAGATAAATATTGCCCAAACAGGCCTTCAGTTTCCCAATTTTGATCAACACTTATGAGCCTTCGATGCTGGTATTTAGTTAGATGTTTGGTTTTGAATCTCATCATTGCACTTCAAGATTACAGAAACACACAGTGCAAGAAAGAGACTTCATATAGAGACATAACATCTGTGACTTACAATTACTGCTACGTGTCAGTAGAGTTATTTCATCTCAAGCTACTTCAGATATTCTCTTTTTGTGAAGGAATGCCATCAAAGCATGTTAAATTAATGTGCAACACTAACTATATTGGTCTTGAGAGTGGGAAAAACTTCAATGTTGAGATTACTGTTCAGCTCATACACAGAATTTCTGTCAACCTCTAGAGAAGTTCATGCAGCTTTTAATTAACAGATACATTATTGAAATACAACTTCAGAAGAATCAATCATATAAATAAGTTTCAATTCTTCTCTTTACAACATTTCTCTGAATGTCAGAGAGTAAGCAGAACAAATTCTCACTAATTATGCTGAGTTGACTCTGAAACTAAAATAAGTCCATCACAGATCATTATTTCTTCAGAGAGGTATTTCACTCACACAGCTCCATGCCTCTGATAGGATCATCTCTTTCCCTCATCAGTTAAATATTATTTAGATGGGACAAGCAGGTTCAAATGTAACTGTCCTCAAGTCTCTCAGATACTGCATTGCATACTCTCCTCTATTATTCTGAAGAGCATCACCTGGACATAGTATAAGCATGTTTGCGGCATGATGAAATGTAAGAATGTTAACAATTCCTCTTCATTTAATATGTCTAACTATAAAATGGAAACCATGTAAGCATCTCCAAAGTTGCCTTGGTTCAGCCTTCTATACAGGCTCCAAAAATTTTTCGCTAAGAACCATGCCCGTCGGTAACGAGGAATTTACCACGTCTGTTTGTCTTGTCCTCGGCTTCGATGTAGAGGGGAAAATCTTGTCCTATACCATCGGTACTGATATCACTGCCGAAATCTTCCTGAAACTTCTCCCAGACTTTGCTGAAAAATGAGGCCCAGTTTGCACTTGGTGATATTCAGAGAATGAGATAAACCCGGCAGCCATCCATCACTTTGGAACAAATAACCACAGTCATTTGGTTTTATGTCAAATCTATTTAACCTGCCTATATGAGATTATCCCAGGCAATATGTGATGTCCAAAGTTTCTGGCAGGACCTTGCGGATTCATCGAAAGAAAACCAGGGGTCGCTGCCAATCAGGTCAGAGAGTCAGCTCATCAACGAAGGCAAAACTGGTAACTATGGAATATTCAGAGCTGCTCCATAGTTAACTCTCAGCGAAAAATCCAGAAATTGATAAAACTTAAAAGAGTATTAAAAAAAAAAAAAAACGTGCAAGCCGATCCCGCAAAACTCGGATCGGGAACAGAGCATGGTTCCAACGGAAAAGGCTCGGCCCGATTTGTCAAGCGACGCTAAGGAGAGGAAACTTTCGGCTATGCCCTTATCAATCTTATCGATTCCATTTCGTACCTGGATGGATGTGGCATCCATCCCTGATTGAATATGGGGTCCTGCAATAGTTACACTATTAAGCCTTTGTTCAGTTGTTACCTACCTGTAGTACAAATATGCGTGGCTCTACGCTATAGATTGTGTATCAGTCTTCCGGGTATATTTCATCAGAGCACCTGTTCATGAATATAAACTGTCTCCCAATGTTATGTTATGACCTACCTGGTAGAATATTTCTGCCAAAATTTTCTTCCCCGTCCGCTGTAGGAGGACCGAACAAAAATTAAAAATAAAATAAAATTGCAAGAATTAAAATGCTTAAAAACTGCCACGAAACGTACAGGAATTGTTCCAACTTATATTCTCTGGGAGAAAAATAAAAGTGAAAGTAAAAGAACAAAAAGGCCCTGGCATAACCGGACGGGTCTCGGTGTGCATCCAGGAACATAAATAGATCTAAGGGGGATAAAGAAGAAAGTACATACATGTACTGTACATACATACGTAGGTAGATAAATCGGACAGGAAGGGAGGGGGGAACAGGCGAAGTGATGATGAGAGGGAAAATCCCCCCCCCCCTGACTACAGCTACTTTTGTAGTGCTCAAGAAGGGGTGAAAAGACTACGTTACTGTTCCAATAGGGGTTTGAAGGCTCAGGAAGACCATATGCTGAACGACAAGGGATGAGAAGAGACGTTCCGTGTAGATGCTTGTACGGCACTAACGTATGCATTGCACGGGACGGTTAAATGTTAAAATCAAAATGGAGCATGAGTGGATGTCAGACAAACTTCCAACATGGGAAAGATAGATACTTTTAAGTATATTATTGTATTTTGACAACAAAAAGAAAAATGAGAATACAAACTGAGAAACAAGAAGAACAGGTGATGATAAATGAGGGGAAAGAGGAAATGTGATAAATACTGCAGGCAAAAAAAAAAAAAAAAAAAAAAAAAAAAAAAAAAAAAAAAAAAGAGAGAGAGAGAGAGAGAGAAAAGAAATCCCCATTCTTCAAAAAGCGTATTTTCCCCTCAACTCTGCATCTTGTAGTATTTAAAATCGCATCGCAACAATCAACAACACTCTTCACGAGGACGACCCGGTCCGCACTCCGATTTGCGAACAGAGCCCCAGCCCCATTTTTCCTTTTTGTTACCCAGGTTATCTCTTTCCGTGTCCTTTTCCCTCGCGTTTCATTCAGCCCTTCAGCTCTCTCGGGTTCAGCTAGTTATTAGTAACCCATGCTTTCCCCATCATTATTATTATTATTCCGTATCGTGTTGTTCTCGAGATCTGCGGCCACTATACCTCTTCCGGGGCGAACGCGCGTACGGCCTTGGAACGAAGAGAAAATTCTTGGGTGAATGTTGGAGAGGAAATCTTGGGAGGAGGGGTTTCGGTAGGGGGCCATGCCGAAGACGAAGACGAAGACGAAGGGGGAGGGGGAGCTTTCTTCGGAGAGGGGCAAGGGTCCGTCGAGGACGGATTACTTTGTTTTGATTGTTGGCTTTTTTTAAGCCGCAGCCATTGATTGATGAGGAGAGGTGAGATAGAAGTCGTCAGTTTTATATATACGAGTGAGTGGAAGGGACTCGTCGTGAGCAGAGTAGGCTAAAAAAGCACATATTTCAACACCTTTCATGGCATGAATTAGTTTTAATGATGAACTAATATTTCCTGTCCTTTCGATCTCGAGTCAAATGTGGCGAATCTAGACATAGCCCATAGCACACATATTTATCCCGATTCCGATTCAATAAAAGGTTATGAAAAGGGAAGCGAAGGGGGCGAAGGGAGTAAGGACAGGCCAGGCATCAGGAAAGCCGCTTCAGAACGGAACTATGAGTTTGTCTCGGGTCTGGTAACTTCCAGCGGACCGAAAAAAAAGCTTCCAAACAATGGCTTGGAAAACGGGATATACATAAAAAACAATAACCACATTTGAAGAAGGGTTTCTTGATTATTTTTTTGTTTATTAAATAAAGTTGCGAGCCAACCATGAAAAAAGACCGCCCATCATTTGAAATTCGTGCAGAGAGGCGGTTCAAAAGAAAAGGAAAAGAAACCAACAGAAACAACAGAGGTAACTTAGTTCAGAAGAGGAACGTTACGTAAGATAATATCCACTAATAATAGAGATTAGACAATTAAAGTTAATAGATATATATAAAAAGAGCGAAAGAAATTATAAAATAATAAGAGGATAAAAGACAATGCAATAAATGTGCTGCAGGGGGAATATAGGAAAGAGACCAAGCGGCAAAAATTATTTGATCTACAAATGACGTTGCGGGCAAAGCGCAAGTGTAAGGGGTGGAAAATAATAAGCCAACTTTAAACCCCTGGTTCATCCAACACATTGCCACTTACTCAAGTGGCACTATGGTTAGGTGGCAGTGATAAAAACACGCAGACGACAGCTGCAAGGGACTGAAGCGGGCATATCCTGGTAATGGCCAGGGAAGCATTAAAGACATGGGACAATAGCTAAAGTATTCAGGAGCTCAAAAACTCGAAAACAAACAAGAGCCAGGGGCGAATAGTGGCAATGGAATAATATAAGAAGAAAATTTTTCCAAATTGTAATAGAAAAATAGACAAATGATCAACATCAAGGCATGAACAAAAGGAAAAAAAAAAAAAAAAAAAAAAAAAAAAAAAAATGAAAAAAAATGAAAAAAGAAAAAGAAAATGCAAGACATGATAAGAAGCAACGAACGGCAATCGGTCCACACTGTGGTATCAATGAAAGAGAAAAAAAGGAGACAAGTGATACGGAGGTAGAAAGAAGTGCGAAAAAACGTAGAACCAAATGCAGAAACAATACGATATGCCAGGACAAAAGGAGATGGAAAATCCACGGAGAAGCGACTGGCCCTAGTCTAGCGAGGGTATGTATAAAACTGAGCAAATGAAACGAAAGGAATAAAAATATGAAGTCGTCCCATTCCACGTTTAGGAAGCAAAAAAAGGGAAAAAAAAAAAAAAAAAAAAAAAAAAAAAAAAAAAAAAAAACCTAGCGCCTCTATCGTCAAAAAAAAAAGACATGACACAAACACACCAAAGATAGGAAAAAAGAATATGTGTTTCCCCCTCAAATCCGGTGCAATTCCCCTACCTTATGCCATCCGAACAAAAAAAAAAAAAGAAAAATTTCTCACACTGGGGTATCTTTGATTTCCGGCCGTGAAAACTCGAAATCCCACAACTCGAGCCGGGTGAAGAGAACTAGCAAAAGTATAGCAAAGAAAATATATATATAATACAAGCAGTAAATGGAGTGTGGGTAGAAGTAGGAAAAGTGGTAAATTAAAATCTTGCAACCCAACCTAGAGTCGTATATGACGATGTGAAGAAGGTGGATAATCGTCGAGCGAGGGAAATAAAGAAGGAATATTAGGGATTAGGAAGACCAAGGTTGGTTTTCCGCACGCACTTTGGGTTATGCCTGATCGAAGCAACGCCGCGTGCGAAGAAGTCGTTAAGAAGGTCGATGGAGTTTCTTTTGTAGAGAAGACGGACGAGAGAACATCAAACGGCAGCGAAGGGCCATTTTGGTGCAAGGAGAAGAGGATTTTTATTCTTCTTGCTGTTCAAGGGGAGCCGGACTCCTTTTCGCCCTTGTGGACTTTGTTGTGTCGACGAAGATTCGATACCACGGAGAAGTGACGCCCACAGCCTGGGAATTCACAGGGGAATGCTGTTGGCCAAAGTGGCATCAATGTCAGTACTCCTGTTGATGGCAAAAATCTGGAAAGCTTCTCCTCCGAATAGAGATATATATCGGTTGGGACTGGACTCACGTTTTTCACCTGTGTGACTGTACATGTGGGTCTGCAAGGAGGAAGGTCGGGTAAATCGCTTATCGCAGACTTTACACTTGTGTTTCTTCTGCGTGTTGGATGGGACTTTTGAGCTGAACTGGCTCATCATTGACTGAGGCCCGGATATGCAGCCATGCATGAGGCTGGACGGTCGAGGGAGGGTTCGCGATGGCATGCCATCGTAAGATTCTGAAGTGGTCGAGCTGTAGTCGGTGACGGAAGAATCGACAGAGACCACTGACGCACTGTAATACGGATAATTGCCCGCAGACGAGATCGATGAGGCTGAAGAATGCGCAGCTGGGAACCCGTAGGCTTCCCTAGGTCCCCTAGCATTCTGAGGGGCATATATATTTCGCGGGGTTGCCAGATCTTGGCTCAGCGCAACCATTCCTCGACTAGCATCCAGGGCATCGCCATACGTGGACGGCGGTGGCGGTTGTGACTGGACCGTTTGCGACGGAGCCTCGTTGCTGAATATCAAGTTAGCAAAATCGCACTGAAGATCCTCTATTTTTTCCTTATGTTTTCTTTTTTTTTTTTTTTTCTGTTCAATCTGGTGAAACGCTAGAATCATGGGACAAATCCAAAGAAAGGGGAAGAAGCAATGGACGAACCCTTGGGGCATATTCCTCGCATTCGAGTGTTGGTGATGGTGTTGCTGTTGGTGTTGCTGCTGCTGCTGCTGCTGCAGGGATTGCGCATATTCCATGGGAGGATAGTTAGCCGGAGTGAATGGAGCTATTGGAGACGGCGATGTATAGCTTTGCGCCTGTTCAAAAGTTGTCCGCGGAATCTCTTGGGGAAGAACAATCATCTGCTCATGACCGCCATACGCAGGAGCAGGGCTGTAGTTGCTGCTCGGGGCCATTGATGGGGCAGGCACCGGCACGCTCGTATATGGCATAGAGATAGCAGTAGGTCGTGAAACTTCCTCGCGCTTTATAGTCTGATGCATCGCGACAGAAGTTGCGGGAAGAGATGTAGGGTAGATGGGTTGCGGAGGATGAGCGGACGAATGCGCTGTCCAGGCTTCATTGAATTGGGGAGTGCCGGGATGAACTTGGCTCTGATACGCATGGTCGTAACCCATCCCACCGCCATACTGGCGGTTTTGGTTTTCGATAACCATAGTCATAGGGAAGGTTGGGCGTGGTGATAGCTAAAAATGGCAAGGGGTTCGAGATGCAGAAAATCGGCGGGTCTGAACGACAAGAAAATAAGAGGGAACGTCAGATGGTCGATCAATTGATCGGTTTGAGTCTTTTTCTTTCTTTCTTTCTTTCTTTTTTTTTTTTTTTTTTGTTCCTCTTGTTTCTTTTTCTGCTTCTGGTGGTCTCGTCTCCTCAATAGGCTTTGAGCCGACTATTTCTCCGTGATAGGCAGAGATCTAGCTCATGTATGTTGTTGGTTTGAGTGTATGTCAATATGTATGGACTGCAGACAGAATATGCAAGACTCGACAGAGTCAGTGCGTACGTATAGTATGCCTGTCCGTCTGTGTGGAGGTATATGTAGGAAGCCGGGTTCAAGGAAGTGTACCCAGGTATGTAGGACCGGAATGGGGGACAGACAGCTCGTGTGGTTCCTGATGTACGCAGCGTAGTTACAGTGCGGAACAAAAAAAAATATAAAAGCGAGTTCAGATCGAAGGTCTGGGGAAAAGGGGATCGGCGCAGTTAAGAAGAACCAGGTGAGGGAGAGAAATCGCCAGAGTTGACGAGAGGAAGCACAAGGTCGACAGATCGTACGGAGTTCTGTGCAGGATAGGATAGTTAGTTAGTTACAAGGTACAACGGCACAACGCCGCCGCAAAGATAGTTTTAAGTAGTTACTTGTACCTAGCGTTATTCAGTTCCCAGTTCCCAGTTCCCATCTTGGCAGATAGGGCGGTATGTATCGCTGGCCCGTATGGCCGCTGTATGGATGGGTATGGGTTGGTATGTAAGATTGCGTGTATTCTGTATGCCGTACTTCTCTTTGTAAGTACAGACTGTATTGGTCCAGGAGATCTCAGCTGGGTATTACTAGTTCTAGTTAACTTATTACTTACCATAGTTACCACTCCTACTTCTATCAGGAGAATTCAAATATTAAATGCCAGATGGTGTGGAGCTTGCACTGCAGTAAGTTGGAGCATACGAAGATTGAGCCAAATCACGGAGAACAAGATACAGGAATAACAAGAACAGCAGCAACAGTTAATTATTATGATTTCAAGCAAGTCAATAAATGCCTAGAAATGTCAAAGGAAAACTGGGTTGAGAGGAAGCACTGTGAGGAGCAGACAGGGACATATCAAATCACAGAAGAAATGCCAGACCAACTCAACTCCACTCCCGCAATCCTCGAAGCCGCGAATTGGCTGGGTTTTAAGATCCAGGAAATGCGCCGCCAGGTACATGTAATGTACCATGTACCGTCCACGAGCAAAAAACTCCTGGGCCACATCTTCCTCCTGGTGGCCCGTAATAATAATAACCTTAGAATAAGAAGTTAAAGTTGTTCCTCCATCAAGCTCCAAGCGCTGTCCCAAGGGTCGGCTTTTCCAACTCCAGATGTCCGTAACCCATTAGAAGAAGAAGCCACTGACTACGGAATAACTATGTATATATATATCGTGGCTTAGTATCGGTATATAAATTACATGAAAAATGACGTAATGAGTGTATTTGAAAAATGAGGCTTCATTGTAATTTTCGACAAGCAATTATTCCAATCCGGCAACATTATTATTGCAAAGTTTCTCTTCGTTTTTAGAAAACGGCATATCTACAAGAAAACAATTCGATCAGTAGTTCTCCCGTAGTCTACGTCAGGCGCTCTTGTGTGTGCCCATATTCCATTATTTCGAAGGAGACGACGACGACGACGACGACGACTACTACTACTACTACTTCTACTTTGGTGGATCTGGGTGGGGAAGGGAGACAGAACGAGTTTCTTGTTCTGGTCAGTTGGTTCACAGCAGAAGCAGAGGTCGGTCGGTTCGCGGGAACTGCCTGCGCAAGGGCCAAGGGATGCCGTTGTGGTTGGCTAGTTAGTGCCACCGACGCGGGTTTCTTTTGGGGAAAGCTGCAGATCCTTACTTGGGTGGCTTAGAATCCAACGGCTCCACCCTTTACCTACTTACTCCGTACAGACTACGGAAGTACAGTGCAGTGGACTTGCCCCAAGGAGAGGAGTCAAGTAGTAACTAATAAGTGAACAACTGATAATTATTTATTAATTCTTCTTCTTCTTATTTCTCTGCTGAGGCTTGTGTTTAGCGGAACCACTGCTTGAGGTTGATGCTGGCAGGGGATACGGGCGGGTGTGGGGCTCGAACTATAACTATAGTTTTACTTTTTTTTTTTTTTTTTTTTTTTTTTTTTCGCTCCCAGATTTCGGAGGGATCCTGGACTTATGGATTACTACTACTACTGGATACTCGATGTGAGAGGGTATGGATGGATGGACGGATGCTGCTTCCCCCTTAGAAGTTGCAACAGGATTTTTTTCCGGCTTTAGCGGCCTCAAGCTGCTGCGATGTAAGCAACTCGCACAAACCCTCCGAACTGGATCAGAAGTTGAGCGCTTCACACTCAGGGGGATTTTCTGCTCGCGTCGGGACAGCAATGCTTGTCCAGCTTCCCTTTAGAATATACTACCCCCTACGAGTGGGGATGGCAGCCGCGTTTTGTTATCGCCAAAGCCCGGAAAGAGAGAGTGGCAATTTCTCGCCATGTCCTCATTGCTCTTCATGCCTGCCATCAGGTTGCGGTTGAAACAGCACGTTTACCATGGACATCAACACACCTACATGCAAGGAAAAGAACAATCGCAGTCTTTTTTTTTTTATCACATCTGTTGCAATAGCGACTGGGATGACATCCACTGCCAGGTAACACAGCCAGGAGGCACAGTCGTGAACTTGACAGGTGTCGTCCGCCTCACTGTCACCCGGGGTTCCGATGGGTTTCCCATCCGTTCTGTTGCATTTTCGAGTTCCTAGACTTGCGAGACGCCGTATGTACAGACCTCGTATACATGTACGACTTGGCGATGCCAAGGACAGATCAATCCGGTTGGTATGGTTTCCAGATCCTTGCCGCTGAAAGCCAATTGATTTTCCTTTTTTCCTTTTTTTTAAAAAAAAAAACTGTTCCTCTCTTCCTGCTTCCTCCTATTTCTATGTCCTTCTCCGAACTCCTCAAAACAGGGCAATGGAAGCTGAAGCTCTGAATCAGAAACGCTACAAGGGCCCAAAAAAAAGGAGCAAGATGCCCAGTTACATCTCACCCCTGCCAAAATAATCTGCGAAAGGGGTGCAAAACTTGTTTCAGAAATTATCCACGAGGTCTTTCTTCTATGTGCGCGGCTTAAAATATTCAACGAAAATGCCAGACGAACGACAGGGTTTGCAAGTATGACATACCATTGACAGCAATCGGGTAGGGGGCTGACGCCCCCGATCTAAAATTTCCCAGGGTCCCCTCCAACTACGGAGTACCACCATCTAGATGGATGGAATTTCCCCCCCCTTTTTCCCATCCCTCTCTCAAATCCGAGAGCACCCCCCTGAGTCCTGAGTCATTGGCAAGGACTGAAGAGGGTTAGCAAAATAGCTGAGTGCGCAGGTCATGTGCCACTGCCCAACCGCATCCATGGATGCCAGGATGCATTCCCCGCCTCCATTTGCATCGGTGCATCCTCCTGATGAGAGTGACAGGAAAACAGCACGAAATGTCCAGCTCAAAAAGAAGAGGGGTTTCGGAGAGGGAAGCCGAGGGCAAGACAAATAGGGTGGGAAAAGCACCAATCAGATGAGAAGGAATTAGTAAAAATTCCTTCCTCCCGCCTGAAACGCGGAGGGCGGAGAACAAAGAAAATAAAATTAAATGAAAGACCTTGAAGAATTTTACTTCTCATTGTTTTTTTCCGTCTGCTCTCGCATCGTCACATCGCATCTTCTGTACAGGGAACATGCCTAGGCACGGGCCGAACATATGCTTGCATCGAGGGTGAGCACGCAGAGACTACCCCCATACTGGCAGCCAGATATTTAAGCAACTTTGTCCCCTTTTTTTTTTTTTTTTTTTTTTTTTTTTTTAAATTTCAAACCTTTTCCATTACATTTCTATGTCAGTTTATTGTGGCAATCAATGATAGCTCAATTTAGACATCTTACAAAAGTCCCACCATGGAAAAAAAAGAAGAAAAAAAGAATCCTCTTTTACCAAAAATGGCTGAAAGAAGATAGGAAAGAAAAAAAAAAAAAAAGGAAAGAAAAAAGTCGAGCAGTGGAAGGACAAAACCGAAAAAAAAAAAAAAAAAACCAAAAAAAGGACGAGATAAGATGCCAAGAATCTCACAACCACCTTTCCTCTCAAAAAGGCCGCGTAAGCTCAGCTGGGATGTGCATAAATCGCGGGAAAACAAGCAATCTTGGTTCGTGTTTAGTGGAGAGGATGGCTGGCATTGGCTGCGGGGATGTGGTGCCTGTCTAGTGTCGGCCAAGCCACTAAACCTAGGAAGTGTGGGGCTCTACCCCACCTGCACACCCTCACCTCACCTCACCTCACCTCACCTCACCCCCCCCCAAAAAAAGAAAAGAAAATTCCACTAGGGTCAGGCCAGCGAGAGGCAAGGCCACTACTTCTTTGTTTGGTGAGGTTGTCGTAAGGCAAGCCCGGAGCTTAACCAACATCTTAATAGGGACTGCGCCGGCGGACGGAAAGCTTTTTAGATAGATAATTCAATAGTGGGAATGAGAGAGGAATGGTCATTTCAATACGTTTTTCTACGATATGATAGTTAGTATCATCCCACAGTAACTTTGTATATACAAATAACAATGTACTGTACGGAAGAACACTCCTTACAATCATTTCCATTGTGATTAGTTACCAGAATTTTTACGTCATCTTTATTTGTGGAGTCGTTTGCCTATTGTGGACAAGGTTAAAAAAAGAGTTACAGGGGTAAATCGCGGAAAGCTTAGCCTTGCAGAAACATGATTTGCCATTTTCTACGGAGTACGTAGTTACGGAGTACAGACATTATTTTTAATTTACACAACAGTAATAACTTACACAGTACCTACATAACATCGATAACTTACTGTACAGAAAAGGAATATTTTGACTTCAGATCATAAAGCAGAAATTCTTCAGTGTATATATCATGAGTGAGTCTGTGTCACACAGTCACAAATTGAACAAAGATAGCAGAATCTTCTCTTTTCTCACGATGTCTGTGCTGTATCTGCATCAAAGCAAAGGCTTAATTAAAAATGCAATTTAGCTGGCAATCTCTAGCGCAGGTGGCACTATCAATTTCCAAATGATCTGATTTATACTCCTTACACAACCCGGAACATGGCTGAGGATCGAATTAGTTCGTGGTGGTTGAGAATTTCTTTTCCTTTTTTTTTTCTGTTATATATAATAACTATTTCTTTTACTCTTTTTACTTTTTTTTCTTTTCTTTTCTTTTTCTTTTTCTTTTTTTCTTTTTTTTTTGCCCCTCTCAATAAATAATGCAACCTTTTCTCAACTGGTGTGCTTGTTTACATTTCAAATCCTTCTATCTACCCCTTCTTTACCCTTCTTCAAAGGAGACGTTTTACATCAAGATATAAAGCCGCCATGGGCCACCCATCTTCAACCGCCATAACCCTACCAATATGTGACCGTCTCCTGTAGCCCGTCCAGGCTGTCCGGAAACCCAAACCAAGATATGTGGGACTATTATTCAGACTGTCCCGCCCGCCGTCGACACGACAGGCGGGAATCCGCTTGCACCTTTAGCGCTTCAGCCACCTCGGCCCTGGCGGATTGAAGGATATGCTGACTATTCGCCAAGCGCCTAACTTACGTAGCTGGGGGGGGGGGGGTCCGACCGACCCCGAATACGCAAGGCGCGCTTTCTCATCCGCTACCCCTCATTATTGCTTGCTAAGCTCAATAATAGCCAGTTAGTTAATGTTGGGGGTCCCGGGTTGATCGGCCCTTCTACCAGCAGTGCGCTGGTGGTGATTGAGCTCTTTTGCCCCAGTAGCCTACAGTTAAACTACTACTATTATATGTCCAACAAAACTCCGTACTGTGTAAATGCGAAGGAAGCTGCCGCTCTGTCTGCTTCACCGCCCAGGGTCGGATCGAGGAAATACGGTGCGCTTTTTTGGAGGGTTCAAGTCCGCAAGCCTATTTAGCTGCATGGTTTGGTTTTTTGTTTGCGCTTTCCACCACTTGATAGGCGCGCCATCGTGAACCCCCGTGAAAAAGATACGAATGCGCCCTGCAACCTGCAACGAGAGGTGAGTGATAGTGAAGTTGGATGAAATAAGGATAAAAAGGATATGCAGCCTAGCCTGTCTAACTCTGTGCACAATCCAAACGCGCGAAAGTCAAAGAGTTGGGGCGCATGTACTCTGTAGTTATCTGTACGTACCGTTTTGAAACCTTCCTCGCCTAACTCGGCAGAAGCATGATGACTGGGATAGATATGTAGCTTCCATTTTGATCCTCTCCAATCTTCCATTTCTTCTCTCAAAAATATCATTTTTACCCCATCGTTTGAATTATTCTTCTCTTCTCCGAGCCACCCAAAGCAAATTTGAAATATCTCTTCTCACTTACTTATTCCAGTTGAGCTCACGGGCACGCCACGCCATATTTATTTCATGCTTGCATTCATTATTTTCAGATTCAGATTCAGATTCACAGCGCATGCAGCACGCATACATTCATATGGAGTACGGTACGGACATGCATAGCTCAAAACCTTAAAAGGTGCGTGTAGCTCCTGGCAAAGCAAAATGTATGTACCCAATACGCATCGGCCTTTTTGATATCAAAAACTTCTCCCCCGGAAGTATCCCATGTACATTTTTCTTCTCCATGATAACAGAAAATGTTCGCAATCGCAAGAAAATGACATGAAGTAGTTGCCGAGCCACCCAGAGAAACACCCTGACCGTTCTTGTGAATCTCTATTTTTCTTTTTTTTTTTTTTTTCCTTTTCGTTTTCCCCCCCTCCCCTCCTAACCGCATGAAAACAAGCTTGCTGTGGCTGTTCCTTTATTCCCCCGCGCTGTTCAATTGTGGCTGGTGGCATTTAAAAATAAAATAAAAATAAAATAAAATAAAAAAACCCAATTATTGAACTGGGCTTGTTTTAGCCAGGGGTATTGTAGAAGGGAAGGGGAGAAAGAAAAGGGATGTTGCGCTGTGCACAGCGCGCACACTTACACTTACCTTGAAGCTACAACTGTAGGGTATCCATGGATGTAATAATTTGCGGAGCGAAGCGAAGCAAATATATGATGAAAACCCTGGTCATTAAAAGTGGAGAATTTCCTTTTTAGGGTTCTTGGCGCGAATACAGCCCACTGATTGGTGTAGAATTAAGCGAAGTGCAATCCCATGACATTGCACTATGACTTCTTCTACGCGCCCACAACGCGTTCATCTTTCATCTCATTAACCATATCATCAACCATACCATCTACTCCGTACAGATCCTTGAATAATAGATCACGCATCTCATCAACTACCTACTCCGTACAGATCCTTGAATACAGATTCTTGAATAATTGATCACACATCTCATCAACTACCTACTCTGTACAGATCAATCACCTCTCATAGATTCTCAAGAATGGATAATGTGTCAAAAGCCTGCATTCACTACTTGTGAAATCAGTCTCTTGACCAATTCATTTCTTTACAGTGTTCTACTACTTCTACAGCTGTCTGCCTTCAATGCTGCACTCAGAGAACTCAGATATTGTAATCTTCTCTCATTACATCTTTTCTATTGCTGATTATCTCTTTACACTGTGTAGAACTGTAAACAGATATGTGCAGTGAAATCAGATTCTTCTACAGTCACAGATTCTGTGATAAATGAGTCTGAACTTCTCTTATCACTTCAGATATATCAACACTTCATACAATTAACAGTAGTCTCTCAAGCCTGTGAACAGTCTATTGAAACAGACATGTTATCTGAGGTTAAGTTTTATCACTGTAAGATTCATAGTTCTGATACATCTTTATTGACAGCAGTCTGTAAAAAGAAAACTGTCATTCAAAGAGCTCACTGTGTTGTCAGGTGTTATAGAGAATATCTCTCATTAACTTCATTCTTAACTTAATTAAGAAAATGACTGCAGCTGTTATCTTTGACAATTAATTCATCTCTCAGTTCTGTAGATTTCTCTTCAGTCTTTCATCAATTATCTATATTATTCTTCAACTCATTTTCAAGTCAATCTCATTTCACTTTTACAGGCATGCTTCTGCTGCAGACACCTTTTACATCATTTTTCTTACTCTTAACTTCTCAAAACCCTGTTTCTCAGAGCCCTGCAGATCTGTTCATTAATTAGCTTAATAGAAGAGTTAGCAGTCTCTTGACATCTCAGCACTCTACATAATCTGAAAGCTCAATTGATACATTAAATATAGAAGCTCTCATAATTCTTCAGAAACATGATCAGTTACAGACTGTAATTGTCTCAGACTCTCTGATGAATTCTCAGAGTTCTACTTATCTTACAGATTCAGCTGTTAATTCTGATGATTGACAGTGTATGCAGGAATTTCATTATACACTTGAAGATTTACAGATGAAGATCTGTAGCTGTTGTCAAATTCACTGATTCAGAATGAATCTTCAAGATAATGTTTATACTCATTGTTATGCTGTTGATTCAAGATGACTGTCTGACAAGCTGTTTTTATTCTCTCAAGAGAATAACCTTGATTCTGATGATCTTGATTCAGATCTCTCTGTTCTCAGTCAGGTTGAAGAGATGTTAATTTCATACATGCATGTCTTCATTGAGATCTGTCAAGTCAGAGAACATCAGTATAAGTATAAAGACCATGTTATTAACTTTCTTAGAGACACTGACTGTGTTTATAACACTCTCTCACTTCTTTCTAAGAATCTTGATGTTATTATATTGAAGTCTTCAAATTCAAATGCAGATCCCTGCTTACAATATCAGTTTCATCAAGATTTCATGATTTGTAAAGAAGCTGTTGCTCAATAACTAATCTATCTCTGTAAAAACCATCTCAGTTATCAGAACATTGTGATTAATAAAGAGGCTTAGAATCAGTTATCTGAAAATGAAGATGTCTCTGATCAGATTTCTTTTCACAAGCTTGATAAGTAAGAATTGACAGTCATTGAGAATGAGAATCATTTGAATCTTGACAACTTGAATATCTCATCTGAATACTCTGATGTTTCAGATCTTTTGATCTCACAGTCTGAAGTTGAGCAACTCTACCATGAACTTGAAATGTCATAGTGAGAATAGATTGATCACCTCACTCTGTCTTTGACCTGTAATACACTACTTAGTGAGTTTAACAACACTCACTCACTCTTTTCTTAAGCCTTTTCAACACTTTTTTCATGAGATGAAGCTGAATTCATTCTCTCTAGACAAAGAACAATTAGTCTTGTAGATTACATACAGTTCCTTCTTAAATATCATAACAGCTGCTTTGCCCATCATAGTCATTTTTAATATATTCTTTTCAATTCTCTATTCCACAGATAGATTAATAATCAGAGCTGCTTTTTCTACAATTAAACTGATTCTCTTATTAAGAATCTCACTCTAGAGAAGCTGCAGACTACTTTTACTGCTGACACTTCACAATCTGCTGTGATTTTGAATTCACTTACACAGTTTGCAGAGAGCCTTTGTAAAACCTGTTCTTTTTGAGGTGCAAAACATCATCAGCTATAAGTCTATGTTTGAAATATCAGATCTTCACATCTATTTCTTACTCTCTCAGCCACAGATCATCACTGAGATGATCTGATGTGCCACTTCTCTGACTATGTCATTTAAAAGTGTGACACTGATCTTGAGAGGTTGAAGTTTGTAAGAGATAGTATTCATAACTATTCTGCTATAGTTGCACATTACTTTCATCTATGACTTGCAATCTTCAAGAAAAAGATTCTAGGCTTGAAATTCAAAATCCTAGATCACTGAACTTGTTACAAGTGACAAGACCGCAGATCAGTGCACTCACATAGTGTATTTTAATATAAGAATGCACTGAATCCTGAACTTGACATGAATGAAGACTTTCATCAAGTCTTTGCTGACTACTGAGGCCTCATTATTACAGCTGAGAATTCTGAGCCTAATTACACTCAGTCTGAAGATGCACAGTCACTTCTTTCCCTCAGTCATTCTAATCAGATGAATGTCATTGAACATTTATCTGCAGTTCTCAACTGTGTTCAACATCATCACTGTAGTGAAAAGTACTGCATTCATAAACACTGAGTCACTGACAATCTACATTGCTGATTTCACTTCCTGCATGAATGCTGGACTGACTGTGCTATTCTCAAATCTTTGAATAGTAGATATTACCAGCTGTACTCTCATTGTAATGACTCAATTCTCAATAACTACAACAGATTGATTACAGTTAGCTGGCTAGTAAATACTGACATTGTTCTCTGCACTGACAGCTGTGCTGTCCTTGATTATCTATCTAAGTACATTGTCAAGGCTGAAACAGACACAGAATTCTATCATCAGATTGTTCAATGAGTGATTTCAAGAGTCAGTTCAAGTCACTCACTGCTCTCTACAGTTGTTAAACTTATGAATTGACTCATTGATAAGTGCAATTGATCTGCTCAGAAGATTTGTCATCTTCTTTTAAATCTTTCTTTACAAATAAGTTCTCATGAGTCAATTACAGTTGATTGTCAGCCTGAATCTCAACATTGTCATAGCTATATTCTTGAATCTGATGAATTACAATATGATTCATTCTTTTTGAAAAAATATAAGCAGCAGTCAACTGAATTTGAAGATCTTTCATTTCTTGAATTTCTTTAAATCTTTTCTCACAGTCATCAAATTAAGAGATATTTCCATGCAAAACTCTGAGTATTGATCTACTTTTCTATTTATCAGTTTGAAACTGATTCAGAGAACTATGTTTATGTCAAACTTCTTCTTCATCACTCTTTTTATCAAATTGAAGATCTCAAGATTGTTAATCTCCTCACTCCTTGACCCTCTTTTACAGAGGTCTTTAATTATTGCCATCTTTCTCATAATCACTCAGTTGATGTCTATGATGAAGACATGCTGGAATCAGAACCTGAGTTTGAAGATGATCAGAATGATGAAGAAGAGCTTGATCTCTCTTAAGCATTACTCACCTGTCAAAACTCACAGTGTGATAATGATGACCTCATTGACATCTGAAACTGTAAACAGCTTGGTCATCAGTCCTTAGATTTCAACTATGATTGAAGCTCTCATATTGACACTTATATCAACCTTGACACAGAATTTTAAAATAATATGAAGACTGACTTTCTCACAGACACTACTCTTCATAAACATGACTCATCTAAGACTCTAGACTCTGATCAACACCTTCTTCATAACACTATTCTCTATCATTATACTGAGATTCTTAATGACAGATTCTCAGATCCTTTGCTAATTAATCTAGATAATGAAGATGACACTGATAAAACTTACCTGATTATAATTTTGTCTACAACTCTTCAAAATCTTGCAGAGGCTCAAGATCTCTCAACCTCAATCATTCAAGCTGTGTCAACTGATGTAGCTGCTCACTTCATTAACACTTGAACCTTGCATGTGTTATTTCGGCTTCTTATATACAAGAACATGCCATATGAATTGCTCAACCCTCAAAATCTTCAATCTTTGCAGGCTCTTTTTAAGGATGTTCACTATCTGTTAATTGATGAAAAGTCAATGATTGATTTACAGCAACTCTCATGAATCAATCAGATCTGTTGTTACATATTCTCTCACAAGAATGCTTATTTTGATGATCTCAGTGTCATTCTCAGTGAAGATTTCTATCAGCTCTCATCTGTTTTTCAAACTCTGCTCTATCATAACAGATGTATTGATTATAAAGAAGACATTCAGAGCTGTTAAATCTACTTAGCTTTTAGTAAAATTATTCAACTTACTGTGATTCAATGATAAGTGAGTGAAGATGCCATCAGCTGTCAGTTCTGTGAGACCTTGAAAAATCTTTGTCTTGATCAGTTAACTCTGAATGATTGAGAGTTTCTTTTAAAGTGTGTGCAGGCTCTTATTCCTCATGAAGCCCTGGTCTTTGAGAATGCAATTCACATTTATACAAAGAAGTGCCATGTTCATACCTATAATAATAATGCTATTTGAAGCTGTAAACAATCTGTTATTAATATTCAGGTCATAAATATTGATATAGATACTTCTCAGTTAGATTCTGACAAGGCTGACAATCTTCATCAGAATCTTTCTCTCTTTATTGACTGCTGAATCATGCTTCTACAGAATATTTGAACAGACTGCAGTCTCATTAACAGTGCTCTTAAGACTCTTTATGACATTGTATGAAGTCCAGATGTGAAGAATCCCTGTCAAGATTCTTCATTTACACTGCTAATCAATTTTGACAAATATGACAGCTCTGCTTATTTGAAATGAGAGAATCTTAAACTTGTGCCTATCTTCTGCAGCTGCCATGACTTTTCTCATGTTAATCAAGCCTGCAGCTGCACACAGTTCTCTATTACAGTTGCATATGCTATTACTGTTTATAAATCCCAAGAATTATCACTTGATCAGGCTGTTCTTGATATTTCCAAGACTGAATTCCAGACTGATCTCACATATGTTGTAGTTTCACAGGTTAAAACATATCAAGATCTTCTGTTTGAACAACTCTTTGATTATTCCAGATTTCATCAGCCTGATGATGAAGTAAGCAGAAGCATGCAGATGCATAAGATTGATTATACAAGATATCAAAGTCAACAGATAACTAAGTTATATTTCTTTTCTTTTTATAGGCCTCTGCTAATCTATATTCTATATAGCTTCATCTGCTCTTTATTTCACCTTTTTCACAGTTCACATTTAATCTGCTCATTCACTTGTTCTTCATTGCTGCAAGTTCTTTACTCTCTATTCTATCATTCTCTCTGCCTGTTCTGCTCACAGATTCACTGAATTCAATCATTGAATTTAATGAACCTATTGCAGTCAATTCTATTATAATCACTGAATCTGAGAATGAGCAGTTAGTAATCTACAGAAGATATTGAAACAATTCAGATATTGATCTATACAGCTCAGATTTAATATAATGACATCTTTGACCTGAGAGATTGAGAATCTTCTGAGATCTGTGTTATTGAGACCTATGTTACATTATGTGATAAGAGATATTGAATTCTTGCAGCTGTCAACACATGTATGAGAGAAAGTGAATGAATCTCAGAGTGTTTTCTTTCTCTTTGAAGAATTCATCTTATCTCTCATCTTCTATCTCTGTCAGCTGTTTTTTTTTTTTTTTTTCAGAAATCATATCATTTATCTCTATTAATTCATCAGAAGTTCAAAAAATCATTAATACTGTTATTATGACTGAAAATAACATCTTGAAACATGTTCATTGTAAGTAAGATTCTTAAAATGATGAAAATTGCAATTCTAACAGTCAGCATAGTTCTCAATAACCTTGTTCAGTCTGCTGAGTCATCAGCTATTAATCTCATTCTCAGTTCTGTGTCTGTGCCTGTGTCTGTCTCTGCTATGTCTGTCAGTTCTAGATTATCAAGTTAACTGTTGACTCATTTGATCAAAAGAATGTCTGAGAAGCTGTCAAAGAAGCTACAGACTCTCATCAAATTGTTCTATACTCATGAGTCAGTCTTGCAGAAGAGTTGTCAGATCAATATAAAAATCAATACAAATCATGAAGCTCTTCTTCTATAATTCTGCAGTGCTGTTTTTGCAGTTCTCTGCAGTCACTATATTAGAGAAGAAGACTCTTTTATCATCTGCATCAGTGCTCTGAATCAGTGTCATAGAGCTTGTACTAGTTGTCATTACAATGATACTGAAAGTTACTGCTCTTATTATAGAAGTGAGTCACTTTTCAACATGAAATATATTAATTCTAATACAATTAACTAATAGTTATACATAGTCAATGTCAGTAAGAAGAATGATAAAGTGAAAGAAAAGAAGCAGAAGAATGAAAAGAGAAAGAAAGTCAAGAAGAAGAGTTCATTCAAGAAGTACTCTGCAGCTGAGAATACAGAAGCTAGAGTCTTGAAAAAACAGACAGCAAGTGTTGAGTCAGTTGATAATTGTGATATTGAGATTTTGACTCTTTATATTGAAAATGAGGCTCTGTGCAAGGAGAATGTGACTCTGAAGATCAAATTCAGAACTATTACAAGCCTTCTTCAGGCCACTCAAACTGTCCTTGAGAATGACATATGAGCCGGCGGGGCAGGATGGAATGTTTTTTGTTTTTTTCCTTGCTTAGTTAGCTGATGCTTTTGCACTGAAAAATGAATCTCTATATGTTTTTACAGTTCTATCCCTTCTATTATTATTAATAATAAGCTGTAAAATCAATCTTGCAGGGCCTTCTGTTTTGAGCTTAGCTCCACAACATCTTTGCACACAGAGGCTCGTGTGCATTAAGATATTTTTAATGTATATTTCAGTGGTCTGAGATGGGGAGGGGTGCGGTTGTGAAAGCCGCTGGATTGACCGGGGCAATGAATGGTGTAAGTTATCTGGAATTGCTGGGGCCAGTATTGCACGCCGCGGACTGGTCTGTATATTTTACTATTTGCAAAAAACTGCTATCACGACAGCAAGATAGAGAAAGCACTGTTACTCCGTAGTTGATGGAAGGTTGAAAAATAAATTACATGATGATGGCCTTTGGGCCTTGTAACTTGGATTTTGGAAATATTTTATCATTCCTGGTAACTTAAACGCCTTGTATGGTAAAGTAACTACAGGGTATGTATGGTATGTGGTTGTTTCGATTGTTCACAATCACTGCAACTTCCCCAGATTACACATTCGATACAGGGGGGAGTTTTCCCCTCAAGGTCTGTATAGGGGCTACATGGGCATATGAAGTAGGATACTGATACTGTCTACAATGCTGTAGAAGAAACGTCTGGGTCCCCCCATGTTCTAATTCCTGCAAGCTGGAAATAGTTGATTGATTACGGTAGGGCGTTTGAATCTTGCTTCTTCTGCCAAAGAATAAAAGGGCCGCGAGGTCACAGAAGCTTCCTCATTCCAAACAATTAACTATTTGATTCACAGTCGAAGACGGAATATGGCGTCATTGTGCCGCAATAATACCATTCTCATTATCATTATAGTTGCATTATCCCCGTCCCGCTACTATTACATTCCAAGGAGTGGCTGCAAACCCTACGAAAGCTTATCAAAAAGCTTCAGGCTCACAGTTCTTCCCGCGAAGGCGGCAGAAAGCTTCCCTTAAAGAAATAATAATATCTAGAGAACGCGTTAATATGATCGCCCGGATCTTTATCAGAATAGCAAAATGGGCCTCGCAAATCATCAGCCAAGCGCCTGGCGATCTGCCGCCAGGCACTGTTCACTTTTCTTGACACTCCACTGGGTTTGTCTTAGCCAACGCCTTTTTTTATTTTTTCATCTGCAAGATCTGAAACATAAACCTACCAGCAGCCTTTCTCAACCACGTTTTTTCGGCCCGATCGATTTCTTGTCTCATATTTTTTTTTCGATAGATCCGTCTAAGAAGCTGGCGCGGATCACAGGGCGATCAAAAACCGCCAGATTGTCTCTGATGCAAGTCAGGAACGCGCGCGTGTTTTTTGTATTATTATCTATGTTGGCAGCAGTCACTCTGTTTGCTGTACGACTACTCCGTAGCGACAGAGATATGCATCCGACCCGGTATGGGATTGTCGCTTCCTGGCTTTTCTGACTCTTATCGCCCAGCAGAAGAATGCAAAGCAACGTGTCCCTGCTATCGCTCCAATAATGAGTGCTTCTCAATCCCACGAAGACGTGCCGCTTTCCATAGTAAACGCTAGCCTGTCGGAGCCGAGAAGGAAACAGCAACTGGCCACGACGACGAACGAAACACTGGGAGATCTCGATAAGGCTGAATAACGACAAGGGATCAATCTTTTGGAGCCGCCAGGCCCAAGTCCATGATAAACCCAACCAAACGAACCTCATCTCCATTGGAAATAAGCGGGCAGCGAGACTGTTTAAAGTCACAAAATACATAATTTGTCAGGAGCCAGAAAGTGCATCCCGCATTTTCGTTTGTCAATGTGCTTACAGCGTAGATGTATTTCAGTCGCAACTTTTTGAGTATCGGCCATACATACGGAGTACGGAGTCCTATCTGTTGAACCAACCAAAAACCAAAAAGCAATAAGAAAGAACGAAAGAAAGGCCCAGCATTGCCCAGACTGTCTAACCCCTAACCAGGGCCCGCTGAATCCTGATTACGTTGCCCTCCCTTCCCAAGCCCGTGAAAACCCTGGTTTAGGGGCTTGGCTAGTGCAGCAGATGAGATAGATCCACGCTGGACGCCATCGAAAATTGGGGCAACGGGCATGGTTGTTCGGGTTCTCCAACAGGAGGAGAGGAGGCAGAGGAAAGCTCCCACTGGCCGCCGGCCCAACCAATAACCGTCGAGAAAGAGCTAGCGTTGGTTGCAAGCTTTCCTTCCCTGGGACATCAGAATCAAGGACTCAAAACCAGAGTTTAGGCGGGGAGGAGGGGATATCGGCTTCCAACGCCACGGCAAGAGCATTTGCAATTGCGAGGATGCGGGGGGATGCTTGCTTCATGACCAATTCTCTGGCGCATCACTGGTGAAATATTGAGGCAAGTTTTGGCTTGATAATATAAAAAGAAATCCAGGAATCAAAATCCTGAATCGTCCCGACCCCAGCCGCAGCTGAACATGGGCGGCGCTTGGAATAATATGGTCGTGTCCAAAGGAAGAAAGAAGCAAAATAGACACGGAGACAAAAAGTCACTAGTTCACCTCTCGGGTGGAGAAAAACCGCATCTTCCTTTTTTTAATTTTTGTTTTCTTCCCTTCTCCCCAAAGGTGTTGTTGAATGAAGGGTGGAGCATCGTAAAGGGACAAAAGAATAAGTGCCGGGCCCGCACACCACAACCAGGAGCAGTAGCGGCCAGCAGGGCCACCAAATCAGGGGTCTTGTTGATCGCGCCGGGCTTCCCCCCTTGTGCCCCATCTGTACGGAGTACTCCGTAACATTATGAAACACGCTGTCGATTTTTTAAGGTCTCCGCCCTCTGGCGGCCCCAATGCATCATCACTGCCGCTGAACCTCCATATGATCGCTCGCAACTTCTGCGTCTCGTAAACCACGGCGGAGGATAATACTTTGGGCCCCTGATTATTTTCCACTCCTTTTGCTGACTATCTTTTTACACCAGGATTGTGAGCTTGAAAGAGTTTTAATTTCTTTTATTTTTGTTTTTATTTATTTATTTATTTATTTATTTTTTCAGAAATTCTTCTCCTTGCGCCAAATTGATCGCTCTGGCCAATGACAGAAGACTTAACTACATTCCATCAAATGGGTGCGGTGCCACCTTGCTTTTCCCTTTTGCAGAGGCCCCACCCCTGAGAGAAGTACAGTACTCCGTAGATGCAAAAGAAAGAAAAAGCAAAAAGCAATGGGAAAAGGGAAAGAATTATTAATTATTATTGAAAACGAAGTCACTGACTAACTCCATCTATCTTCTTCCTCCGCATTTTTGAAAGGAATTGATTTTTGTGGTGTATCGTATCCTGAGCAGTAAAATACCATCAAATTTACAAATACATAGTTACCCCTGAAATATTTGATACGGAATGAATTTCCACCGCACCTTTCGAGCAGCTCTTCTTCAGCTTCAGAATGCCTCTGCTACAGTGCGTGCGTGCTGCTATTAATATTTAATAATTAATTGTGCATTTGCTGCTTCTACAGAAATCCCTCCACGCTTTGTCACGTTTTGGGGGGGTCAGGCTACTTCCTCGGCGTTGCTTTACTCCCTAATAACATCCAACAAAATGAAAAAAGAAAGAGAATTCTTCCTGCAATAATCGATTTTGCCAAGAATAAATTTAGAATCGAACACGCAAAATTGCTACTTCGACTGCATTGTTATTATTATATTTTATTGTGGAGTGGAGTGATTAGTTAATAATACTTAAGTATGCTCGCGCACATGCATGGATTGCCTGATGATGTCAGAGCTATCTGGGACACACTCACTCACACCACTCTATCACATACGCAGTAGATGCGAGACACTTGTCTGCCGGGCGCCCCTTTGGCATTATTATTAGGTTGAGATGAGAGGTAGGTTAGGAGGAATCCTGGAAAGAAGTGGGCTACGAGCTATAAAATAGCAACACAGCTCAAGTTTCGGATATCCTTTTTTTAACTTGGTAAATTATTAATCTTCATTTTTCCGCCACTGGATGAGGGTTACGTTACGAGGAATAAATATGACTTCCCATTGGATGAGTATTCTGTTTGGACAAATATCCTGTTCAGCCTAGCGGGATTGGGCTCGCACTTGTGGTGTTCTTCCTACTCTCAATTCTTATATTATTACAACATGGTAGTTAACTATGGAGGAACGGAACAAGTAGGTTAGATAGGAACTGATAGATCGATGGGCTGCCCAGCATGATTTTATCTAGTAGTCTGGTAAATATATATTATGTATTTTCTTGCAGTCTTATACGCACCAGGTATATAGATTATTTATAATTGTCATGAATATGTGTAATCTCCCTCGACTCCTTTTCCCCATCATTTATTAGATCCCTTGTCGGAATAACCTTCGGTTGCTTGCTGTTCCATCACACAAAATCCGGGGAAGTTTGATCTCCGGAAAATTCCTCGGCCCGAAATGTTTAGGGTTTGCAAAGATTGAACACCAAGATAAATTAACACAAAATCGGATGGATGCTGAATATTTCAGACCAATTTGATGTTTCCGATCTTTATTTGTTCCGTAGGACTATACGATCACAGTTTCTTGTTCCCGATTGGAAAAAATCCCGCGTGGAAAAAGTTTGGGCTTTTCTAGGCGCATTTGTTTTAAATTTGCTGATCGTCGGTCGATGAGCTTTGGAATGGTCCGGGGTAAAAAAGGGCAGAATCAAAGATACTGACTGATAAAGATAAAAATCTAAAATTTGCCTTTCTCTAACTACCCAGGTAGGGTAGGTAGTCTTTAATATGCAAAATGTCAGCCCAGCCTTTGAGAGAAAGTTACTGCGTAGCATAAATGAAACAGCTCCATGAATGATATAAAATTTTCCGATTCAAGTATACATGCTTTTCCCAGGTATTATTAAAGGTACAGATAAATAGTAATTTGAAAAGAGAGACGAAGATATAAACGCTGAAACGCAATCGCCAAAAAGGAGGAAAACGGCATAAGAAATGATGATAGGTAAATAACAAGTTAGAAACGAATCAAAGCGAATATAAAATTAAGAAGGCTTGGACATCCAGCAAGGAACGCCTGTTCAGGATAAAACTATCATAAATCACAAAACAATCGCTAATTCATGCCTCGCTAAACCTTCGTCTTCGAGAGTAGGATAATAAGGTACCATGGCATCCGCCCCTTGAACATAGGCATCATTGTAAAGCCTCCAATATGGCTGCCTTACTTTTCTTGCCGGGTGGAACAAGCCTGCCCAAACATAGTTCATCACAATGCCAGTGCCCACGGCCATGCGGATAGCCTCGATAGCCTCGATTATACGATCAATGACGTGAGGGCTTGTCTCGAAAAGGTTAGGATAAAGCAAATTGAGGAGATGGAGCATTGCATCTTCACATCCAAGGCCAACAACGCCAAGAGCAATGTGCTTCACTACGCTGGCTGCTGTTTGTCGATGTACTTGGTCCCGGTCTATCAATGCGTCTTCAAGCAGTGGGGTGACAGCGTAAACGTAGTCTTTTGCCATTTCACCGATGTATTCAAAAAGGAAGGACATAGCTTTGAGTACGCCATTCTGGACGTTCAATTCTGGTACTCGATACTCGTTCATAAGGGCAGGTAGAACTGTGAAAGGGGCACAGGTTTCGGCAACAATACCGATGGCAACAGCTGTACAAACGCGGGATTGACGTTCTTGTACGCGAAGGTTGTTGAGAAGGGTAGCAAGGACGTCCTGGGGGCCGATTGCCTTTGCAATGAAGCCGAATGTGTTATTAGCTGCACGACGAATACCCTTTTTGTGAGCTTTGAGCATATCGAGCAACTCAAAACAAATTCGCATCCATTCTCGGGCATTAACGGATTCCGGCCCTCGATCCGCTATCCGACCAACTAAGTCAATTGTGTTCTCTTGTACTTTCTCGTGGCGATTTCGTAAAATAGGAGTGAGACGGGGTAACAGATCTCGAATAGGTGGCTGCATTTGATTGATACCGACAACGGTGACAATAGACCGTAAGGCTCCAAGAATGGAACCAAGGACTTCTGGATACTCTTCGCCGAGATATTCGTAAAGGACGATACCGAGTTTACCCATGAGGGCATCCTCACCGCACTGTTTCATGACCATAGCAATGCGGGATATAAGATCGGCGGCCTGTTGACGAACTGTTGCGGACTTGTTATTCAAACGCCAGAGAATTGTACTGACAATCTGAGGAAGATACGGCTTGCAACGAGTTCCAAGTGCGTTGACAACGGTACCAAATCCGTTCAAGATCACGATATCCTCTATGCTTTGTTCCTGGAAAGCGAACAGGACGCCATCAATAAGTCGCTCCTCTAGCCTTTCGCCAATATCTGCTGCGCCGAGGGACGCAATGACTTTCTCGACGGTTTCTACTGTCATTTTTCGATATGCTTCGCTCTCATCTTTCAGGTTGTTGACAATCTTTTCTATAATTTCGCTTACTCCAACTTTTTGGCCCAAATCAACGGTTGTTTCGACTACTTGCCGGTAGTTTCTTTTATCGAGTGCCATGCGCCTTACCCAGAAGCATTTGAAGAAATCGGTTAGCACATGTTCCTTTAAATAGGCAGCCGTGACACCATCCGTTCCCGCACACTGAGATACAACTTTCAAAACAACCTTCTTCATCTCTTCATCAGGCGAAGAGAACTCGCGAAGAAGAATTTCCATAATCTGGCTCGTAAAGTAGTTTGCACCCTCCTCATCCATAAGTGGAATAATATAGCCGACAGCCTTGAGGAAGCCTGCAAGCCCCTTGCCTCGCTGCTTTCTTGCTCCTGTCCAAAGGGGCCCAAGGATATCTTGAAAGCTTTCGATACCATATGGGTTTGCAGCTTCAGCAAGAGCAGCAATCGCCAAGCTAGTTACGGTACGAACTTTGGCTTGCTCATCACTGAGATTGTCCCCAATACAGTCCACTAAGCCCTGCAAATGTGGTAAAACTGCACATCCCATCAGGATTGGAATTTGCTGAACAATCTTAACACCGGTATGTCTTGCTTGCCATGATTTTTTACTGCGGCACACCGCCCTTAAAAACGGAAGGAGAGCGGGTATGCCAAGAGCTGATGCAACAACAGCAAAGGCTCGCGCAGTCGTGTTTCGTACGTATTCGTCGACATGATCAATATCAGGACGCATGGTGCTGATCATGTGGGCGAGACCAGCGGCTTTGCTAAGGTTGGAAATGATCTCTCGACCTTCCACACGAGCATAGTAATCCTGGTCAATAAGGAGAGGCTCAATAACAACGAGGATTTTGTGAACATAGGGTCGAACAAGGTCATCAAGTTTGTAAAGTACCCGGTCGATTACTTTAACGAGCAAATGTCGTTCCTGATCCTCCAATGATTTCTCCATGAGCAATGGAAGGATTTGATTGAAAAGAGGTCCTGCACCAAATTGACGGGCGTTATCTGTAAGTTGTCGAAGGGCAGTCTTCCTCATT